ATACCGCACCAGCACGTTCCGCCCCAGCGCCCACAGCGAGCCCGCGCCCGCCGGGTCCCACAGCACGCCGTGCGCAAAGTCCACCGTGTACGTCGTGTCCGACTTCTTGATCTTGCTCAGGTTGTTCACGTCGTTCGCGTCCTCCGGCACGTACACCGTCAGCCGGTTCGTCGCCGAGCTGGCCACCACAAACGCGCCCTTGTACGGGATTCGCTCAATCGAGTGCGGGTTGCCCTCCGGCGACGCCTGCCACACCACGTCGTCGATGTTGGTCGACCGCTTCGATGTGATGTCGATCATGCCGACCTTGCCCGCGGACGTCGCGACGAGTGCGACCCAGCCGCGGTCGGCCGTCTTGCGGATCTTGACTTCGGAGATGTCGGCCCAGGAGCGGTCGGTCCATGGCCAGGGGCCGCCGTCTGCCGTCCAGGACCAGTAGATCGCGTCTTTGTTCCAGGAGGCGGCGTCGCGGGGGAACACGCGGACGGTCTTGGAGTTTTGGTCTGTTACTGCGATGTGGTAGGCTCCTGTTAGGGAGGCCAGGAGGGCTGGGAGGAGGAGGGATTTGAGATGCATTTTGTTGGTTATTGGAGCTGTGTGACTGTTTCGATGTGATGGATGGGGTAGTGGTGGTATTTATACGTAGTGGTGGTACTTTATACGTCATCGAGGCATGCCTCTCTCTATGCAATGTCTTTGGTGACGAGAAGCAAGGCGTGATGGTTGTATAGATCAAATACGAGCGACTAGCCCTGCCAGGACAAGATCTACAAGGCTTTACGAGCTAATTTCCCTTAGCCACGCGACTTCCTACCATATTAGGTCGGCCTATTTTTGGACCCGTGTCTCGTATATCCTCAAGATTTGATGAGTGTATATGGTGTGATATATGTCTGGCTTCATCTCACAGCGGACATGCCAAGGCGCTCTCGGTGATTGCTACGGTTTTGAGCATGGCTCTTCTTGGACAGGAGTGTACATCTATAATTATCATTCATCCTGGTCTAGCACGATTACTCGGCATAGGTCCTGCCAGATGGGACACGGCGGTGCCCTTGGTCTTGTCGTTAGGATGTTGTTTGGAAGTAGGATCCGGACTCTTTGAATAACGCAATGGGAGTAGTGAAAGACTAGTCGACGGGTCAGAGTGTCGAGGTAGAGTAATGTTGAAGGGAATCAAACACCACGTCTATATCACAGTATAATCTATAGATCCCAGAACTATGATCAAAAACAACCACCATAACCAGATCACTCTACATCTACTACGTCCCACAGAATAACTCCATGTTCTATACCCAGCATACACGATACACCTAAGCTCAAGGCCACTCCGCTAAGCCACACCACACACCCGAATACGAGCTCCTCCACCTTAGCCCATCACACCCCTTCAACACCTACCTACACTCCCAGCATCTACCGCCGTATCCAAATCAACATGTCGCACGAAAAGTCCGCCTCGCGTAGTGGCTCGTCGAGCCAGCTCCCCCCGGAGCTCTCCGACGTCCAGTGTACGTACATACTACACCACACTCCCTACCTACCGCACTCCAGAACCATGCTAACCGACCCAGGCTTCACCGACACCAAAGGCGTCATCACAACAACCATGTTCGACGTCCCCGGCTACCGCGTCACCAAAGTCTTCGGCACCGTCTACGGCATCACCGTGCGCTCGCGCAACTGGGCCGCTGGCCTCGGGATGGTGCTGAAGAGTATTGCCGGGGGCGAGCTGCGGTGGTTTACGAATATGGTCTGTCTCCCCCCTCTGGATTCGGGTCTAGGTCTAGGTCTACGTGTAGACGCATGGGCTGGGCTAATGTGGGTTAGTTGTATAACGCGCGCAACGACGCCGTCAGTCGGCTTGTGGATGAGTGTCGCAAGCGCGGCGGCAACGCGGTCATTGCGCTGCGGTTCGATCAGGGGGATCTGGGTGGTTTTGCGCAGGTTTGTGCGTATGGCACCGCTTGTCTCGTGGAGAAGGTTGAGCAGGATGAGGAGTTGCCGTTGTATCCGCAGTTGTTTCCGCATTGAATCTATCTGTATCCTGGGGACATACTATATGTCCTGGTGTTGGTTCTAGGCTGTCACCATGGCAAGAGTGTATTGAGCTTCCTTTACGTCCAAGTCACTGGAAGTAGATCTATAAACAGCATTCATGTAGGATCCGGCCTACGTCTTAATACATACATCATCAAATCGCTAGCTTAGACTCCCCTCCACCCCCGGATACCCTGCCTCCCCAAAGATCGTCCCCCGTGCCTGCACCATGGCTGCAATCTCCAGCAGAAACTCGTACAGGATCACCACGTTGGTGAGGACATGGCCCAACGTGGCCGACCGCGGTTCCTCGTCCATCACGGCGCTGCTACCCTCCTCGGCTGGAGCCTCTGCCGCGTCGTTCGCTTCGTCCTCGGTGGTGGACTTGCGTACGGCCGTCTCGACGAACGGCTTGGAAAGGCGTTTGCGCAGCTCTTCGGCCGCCGCCGCGGCGCGTGAGGTGGACGAGTCGCGCGACTTGGTTGACTGCGCCGAAGGCTCGCGGAGAGGGGACCCGACCGAAGGTCGTTGCGGGGATGAGGTAAGGGCTTGTAGGTCCAGTGGGCGGGATTTTCGGCCGCGTGGCGATCCAATGTCAGCTGCCCGTGGTGTCTTTCTCGGTGGACGCTCGGATGAGTCCCGGGTGGGAGTGCCGGACGACGAGCCGGCACGACTGTATCGCGCGGGATTGTCTTCCTGGTGCAGGAGGTCGCGTCGTGCTGCAACAAGAATATCAAAGTCGGGCACTTCTCGACGCCATTGTTGGATGCGCTCGACGAGTTGCTGCAGGACTGCTGTCAGGCTCGGGGTGTCTCGTTTAGACCACGAAGGTTCCTGGTGCGCCAGCTGGATCTGCTCCAGCATAGTAGAGGCCTCGGTGGAATCGAAGCCAGAGTAGTCGTACTTGGACGGATCAACCAGTAGCCATCCGTCAAGGGAAATCAGATGAGACGAGGCTATACTCATGAGGACCTCTGTCAACGCCAAGTTCACGATCACGCTGTTGGTGAAGAAATCCTCTAGACAATGCAGGAGTTCCTGGGTAATAGGGGCCTCCTGTCGGATCTGCAGTGGGCAGTCTTCATCATCCTCGTCCGGTGGGATGTACAGTCGAGACTCAACCACCCACGTCGCATCTTTAAGGTAGTTCTCGAAAGACTCTTCTAACGTTGGGTCGTCTACAATCGACGTCGCCATCCCGACAAGCACCTGTAGCTCGGCGTTCAATGCGCCCACCGTCCGCTGCTTGGCCGGCTGGCCAGGGATGGTCCGAATCAGTGATCGCGCGAACGTGTGATGGCGTTGGAGGACAACGGCCATGAGTCGCAGGGTCGCAAGCACAGTCTGTCGGTTCGCCGACTCCAGACCGACCAGCGTCAGATCCCGGAGATTGAACAGCGAAGGAGACGGTCGAGCCGCCTCTTCTGAAAATGCTGCTAGGACATCCAGCGACTTCCGCCGACTCAAAGACATGTCCACATTTGTCTGGGCTTTGGTTTCGGCCGCCGAAGGCGACGCGAGCAAGAAGTGGAGAATGCGATGGACGAGGTCGCGCTGATCGATGGAGCTGAGGATACGACAGAGATAGGTGAGAACTGCGGCGGTGGACCCGCCTTCTACATCCGAAGATTCAAGTAACGACGGATACCTATACTGTCAGTTAAGTGTAGAAGGAAACAGGCACAATCACTCACAGGAGCTGTTCCAAGAACAAGACCTGGAAATGGTCTAGAAGAGTCCCGTTGACTTCGGCCGATTTGCAGTGGTCGATTGTATCCTGCCAGAACAAGAGATACGACATGAACGAGTCCATTGTGATCCCAAGAGAAGGCGGAAGCGCAGTCTCCTGCTTGGCATGGTCCGATAGAGCGATGATGTGGGGGATTTTCTCTTCTTCCGTGTCTGCGAAAGAAAGACTGCGAGGGTGAGCATAGTCCATTGAAGAGTGCATGTCGACCTACCTTCCGAGTTGACTGTAAAGAGCACCCAGTCCCGTGGCCATCAGAGTCGCCAGATCACTCTCAATCAGCCACCTCTCCAGGTCCTTGGATCGGGACGCGGTCTCGATGAGATACAGCAGACCGGTTCGCGCAAAATCACCCGCACGGCCTGCGTGATGCACATATTCGACCAGCAGGTAAAATAGGGGGAAATCGTCCTTTCTCGTCGCACCGGCAAATTCCGCCCCCGTGTTCTGTTGGTCGCGTTCCTGCTCGTCCGAGCGGGGAGCGAACCACGCGGGAAGTATCGTCGGCTGCAGACGGATATTGTTGGCGACGCCGAACAAAAGCTCCACCAATCTGCCTTCTACATCCTCGGAGTGCTTGTCGGCGCGTCGAACCAGATCCACCAAAGCCCGCGCAAACAACCGGTTGTCCACGACACCATCGACCTCGGAGTCAATCAGAGTGTTGAAGAAGATGGTGGCCGAACGGAGCGTCGCGTCATCGTAGGAAGATAGGGCCAGCTTGGTCACCGTGACGAAAATCTGAGAGGAGGCGGCATATGCGAGACAGGGGTGCGGAGCAGGACCGCGGGATTCATCGCTCAGCACGGAGTTCAGCCGCTCGATACAATTGCGCGCGTGGATGGTGGCGGACTGCTCGCCGGATGGGGCAGTGGACGAACGCCATATTTGCTGTGACGACTTAGTTGGGTTCAAATCACCATGCAGGAAGATCCCACCTGGAGAGTATTGCAGGTTCGTTTGAACGTGGCCAGCCGCTCCGTAGGGGACGCTGAGCGAAAGCCCTTGGAGGACAGGGAACGCGAGCCGCCGATTAGCCGAGACCACTGGAGAGGTTAGTGATGAATACAGAATAAAAATGGATCAACACGTACAAAGTCCATTCTGAAGCCGGCATGATAGAGATGCTCAAAGAGACCGCATGGCGGAGAAGATCGAGGAGAAACCCCCGTCGGAGCCTCAGGACAACACCCAGCCTGATCAGGACTAGCGCGCATGTGGTCCCCAGAAACCGGCCCCATCGGGGTTAGCGCAGGTACCTCCAGTTATCTACACGTGATGACAATACTTCTACGATAGAATATTAATAACCATAGAATAACCCCCTGTAGTTGTCGGAGACGTCTCCCAAATACCAGAATCGATTCATCCAGTCCAGAAAAATACAATCAAGCTACCAAAAGCCTATTCACATCGCGAGATGCCAAGCCGTGAACCATGCCTACCATCACAACGCCAGAAGAGTATGCGCCCGCTCTCCATCCAGTCTAAAGCCATAACAAGAAAAGAGAAAAGTATTCGAAGGTGAAAAGAAACCGCCCGAGTCGGGATGTCCGACCCAGCGTTAGTCACTTTCATCCTTGGGTCGCCGCCCACCACGCTTCCGTTTGGGTTGATCGTTCTGATCGCTGCCGTCATCTTCATGTTTGCGGCTGGTGGGTTGATCGGGCACTTTAGCGATGATATCGGCCAAGAAGTCGAGCACATCGTCTTTTGCCACGGCCTGTTTAAGATGCGATGCGGTGACGCGTTTGGAGTTGCGGTCCTTGGCCTCCTTGGCGGCCTTGGTGACGAGGGAGATCATAAAGAGCTCCAATGCTTTGGCTGGGGGGAGAGTTTATGTTAGTATCGTGTCGCGCATAGAATGCCAGGAGGGGGATGCTTACAGACTGCGATGGGGGTAACCTGGGCCACTTTCCCCACATCTTCATCGGCCTGCATGATGCGCTTGATGCGCGCCACGGGGAATTTCGTCTTGACTTCGACTGCGGCGACGGGATGAGGCAGCGATGGCTCCTCGGGCAGCGCGACGGGCGCTGGAGCTGGAGCTGGAGCTGGGGCGGGTATGGGCTCCATGAATTGCGGCTCGGGCATGGGTGGTGCGGGAGCGACGGGGGCCACCTCGGCGGCGCGCGCGAGACGCGACGATCGGCGCGCCATGTCGGAATCGAAGCTGAAGCTGGGGAAGGGAGGCGGAACGTATTGTTGGGGCACCCGGGGGAGCGGGGCGGGCGCGGAGGCCTGTTGATGATATTGCGGGGTGAAGAAGGGCGAGGCGTCGTAGGAGGCGCGGTGAGCCAGGGGATTGGCGAACTGGTAGGACTGGGTGACGGAGGGGGAGATGGGGGAGTGGAGGGCGGAAAGATCGGGCGATTGCGGGCGATAGTTGTCTTGATCTGTCATTGCTTGGGGGAGATGAGTATCGCGTCGAGTAAGAGTATAGAGTATAGAGAGTATGGAGTATAGAGAGTGGATGTACCTTGTGAGGAGGAATGATTAAATCATTAAAGGGAGGGGTGGGAGGAAGGCATTCCCAGAGTATGAGGCGGATGGACCATATATAGAGCAGAAGAAGTAGAAGTGGAAGTGAAGAGACAACAATATCGCGGAGAGAATAACCGGAATAAAAATATGGAAATAATAAAAATAATGAGACGCGACGGGGAGTTGGTTAGTCAGCCGATGGTGGGTGGACGGAAGGGAAGTTCTTTTTTTACTCCGGGCAGCAGCACAGCCCTTTTATCCCTTTGAACTCTGCGGCCTCGTCGGACTCGCACTAAAAAATACTTTCTTTTTTCTTTCTCTGTTTTCTGGTTCTCTACCTACTCTACCTTGTTTGATCTCTACGGAGATTACAGATTATCAGTATTATTATTATTTTTATTCTTCTGTATTTTTTTCTTTTGTTTCTTCATCTCTTATACTACCTACACAATACACGTCATTCCTTATTATAACCCCCCCTACTCCTTATGTACTGAATCTCATCATCATCATCACTACCTAACCCTCTCAGCTCTTCGCCACACCGCACCCGTCGACTCTCCCGCTCTGATTGGATCCCGAGCAGAGATTATTCATCATCATGATGACTCTGACGAAGTCACCTGATCGTCCCGATGAAGATAGCTGAGCTCCCGAGATGCACAGAGCTGAAACCGTGATAGACTACTTAACCAAGGAGTCTATCATAGGTATCGCTTATACTTATATACGATGCATCGATGTGGACGATTACTTGATCTAATCTGAGGGACCGATCTATACCTGTACTCCATATACTTAGCGCTACCACCATTATCTTGTCCTTCGATAAATGCGATTATATAGAGATCTTAGTACGTATGTACTCACCATAGATAAACTCAAATAAGATAATTCATACTATCACTACTGTCCCAATCACACTGCCCGGATACATTCACTGAGCGAATCAGGACAGCCAAAAGACAAGAAAGAAAATCCGCGGGGCAGGGTTCTTCCGTTCCGACTCCGACAGCCAAATTCGGTCCTCTCCAACCAAGTCAACCTCGTTCAATCATCCAATACATTCATTCAATCCCTTCTTCTCCTCTCTTTTCCCTCTTCTTCACCTCTCAGTCCTCTCCTTGTCGCCCCCAGCGATGGCCCCTGCCGGTCACTAATGCCGATCTAAAGTCATGCCGTCTGCGCCTCTTCTCCCCTCATCTGCACCCGTCTGACTGTCATCTTCCCCTCCTCCACCTTTCTTTCCTCCTTCTTCCTCCCCATGGCGACGGCTGATCAGCCTTCGGGCTTGATGGACATCGCGAGGTACGTTGATACTCTTTTCCACGTCGCCTTCCTCCCCAACGACCGACTGACTGACCCGTATCAGTTCCCTCTCGCAAGATGAAATTCCCTTCAAGCTGCGATGCGCAATCTGCAACAAACTCGCCTTGAACGCCTTCCGCCTTCCCTGCTGCGAACAGGCCATTTGCGAGTCCTGTACGTGGTCGCTCACTTCCGGCTTTTAATTTCACCGCCTAACTTTCGCTCAGGTCAAGCATCGCTTCCCGAGACTTGCCCCGTCTGCGCGCATACCCCGATCTCCTCCGATCTTTGCAAGCCGAATAAAGCTCTGCGCACCACCCTCAAAGCTTTCCTCCGCACCGAAGAGAAAAAGCGCGAAAAAGAACGACAGTCGACCACTCCCATTGTCAATGGTGTCCACCCCGTCGACGAGGCGACCCCATCTCAAGAAATTCCCCCGGTATCCGAGACCCCCGAAGTCAAGACAACGGAAGAGACTGTCGGAGCGACCCCGGCAGCAGACGTCTCTCAGGAGCCTCCAGTGGAAACCAATCTCCCCGAAACCACCGCCGAACATGCACCTGAACCCGAACAGCAACTCCCCTCGGAGGCACAACCTGAGGTTCGATTCCTTACGAACTTATACGCCTGCGTGGGTGTACTGACTGATCTTTCTCAGATCGAACACGATGAATCCGTTCCCGCCGAGACCGTCGAAGGCATCGACGGCGCAGAGCAACCCGCCGAGCAACCCAACGAGAATGATGAAACGGGCGTGGCCCAGTCAACCGAACAAGACGAGTCCCAAACCCCCGCGATGGGCGCCATGCCTCCCAATGGCATGGGCATGACGCCAGGCATGTTCCCCAACATGGGATGGAACGGCAATGGGGACTTTAACCCCATGTCCCAATTTATGGGCAACGGCATGTTCAACTTCCCGAATCCTATGGGTACGTCGTCTTTCTCCTTTCGCATCGCCCTGATCCAATACTGACTTCATCTAGCAATGTCCGGCATGATGGGCCCGATGACCGCGAATCCGGGAATGTTTGGGGGCTACGGGATGAACATGAATGGCATGAACAATGGCATGAGTATGGGGATGAATTACAACGCTGGTCAAGGCATGTATGGCGGATGGGACGGCTCACAGAACAATATGTGGAATGGAGGCCAAGATAAATTCAATCCAAATGCTTTCGCAAATGGTATGGGCCCGCAGTATGGGCCCTCCTCCTCTGGATTTGGCGGCTATAATCCCAACGGCGTTCCGCAACAACAGCAGCAAGACTTCCAGAATGGCTATTATGGCCCCGGGTTTGGTCGCGGCAACTTCCGGGGCCGTGGTCGTGGCTTTGGCCTTGGCGGCGCTGGTCGCGGCCACGCGTTCGCAGCAGCCAACTACCCTAATGCTAATCAGGCAGCGTTTCAATCTCCTAACTCGCCCGCCGTCCCTTCGGACATGGCGTCTCAAGCGCCGGAAGACCAGGACGCCCATCAAGAGGGCCCCACTGAGACCAGCGAGCCGCCACCTGGTCAGGATCAGCCTGCACAGGATGCCAACGGTGATCCTTCAGGCGAACCGGCAGAGTCCGCCCCGGCGGGTACGCAGCAAGAACCAGACGAGTCGCAGCTGCGCGGCATTCCAACGATTGACAGTTTGGACCAGGCCAACGCCCAGATGATGCCTGGCGGACCCATGGGCATGATGGGCCACATGGGCCCGGGCTTCGGACGCGGCGGCTACATGCGCGGACCCTACGGCGGTCGGGGAGGCTTCGGCGGCCCACTCGGGCATGGCGGTAACATGCACGGTGCTAACATGCAGATGCCTCGAGGACCTGGAGTTGAAGGCGCCCCCGCTGCGCCGCGCGCAATGCGAGAAGGCCTCCCAAACACCAGTATCTTGCGACAGCGCCACTTCCAGGGTCCCGGATCCGCACGGTCGTCAGTGCCATCCATGAGAACCTCGGAACCGCCCCAAAGGTGAGTCAATCTTGATCCTGGTATCAAAGCCGGGCTCGTTCTGTAGTCTAACATGCACTGTTCTCTAGTGTGACTCCAGCTCCAGCGACGGAGGATCAACCGCCTCGTTCACAATCCAGATCCAAGTCCCGCGGTCGATCTGCGTCCCAAGCCCGGAGCAGGTCGCGATCTCCCGCCCGTCACTATCGCCAGCGGTCAGTCAGCCGCGCCGACAACACCAATAACAACCATGAAGAATCCGACCGCCGGTCTGACCGTCCCCGGCGCCCCCGCCATCGCGACGATCAGTATGACGACAGACACGAGACAGGCGACCCCCGTCGCACACGCTCCCCATCCGTGGACTCGCATCGCTCGTCGCGTCGCAGAGACAGAGACCGCGAACGCGAACGAGATCGTCGCAGCGGCCGACGGTCTCACCGCTCGCACCGCTACCGCAGCACCAGCCGCGACGCCGATTCCCGGGACGGCGATCGACTCGCCCTGATCCCAGAAGAAAACGGAACATCTCCCCGCGGCAAGACCCCCGAGCCCACCGAAAGCTCCAGCCGCAGCTATCGCTCGTCCAAGGACCGGCCAACCCGACGGGAAGAAGAGCGTGAACGAGACCGTGACGCTCGGCGTCGGGACCGCGATCGTGACAGACATCGCGAGCGAGATCGAGACCGCGAACGAGACCGCGACAGAGACCGGGATCGATACCGAGACCGTGAGCGAGACCGCGACCGCGACCGCGACAGGAAACGCTCTCGCCGCGATCGCTCCGAGTCCCCTGCCGACAGCGAGTACTCCTCGCGCCACCATTCACGCCGCGTCAAACGCACCCGCGACGATGACGTCCGTAGCAGCGGCGACCGCGACCGTCCGCCCAAGGAGAAACCGCCGCGCACCGCGGAGCCCGAAAAAGACCCGCATACGCTGGAGCGCGAAGCCCGCAACCGCGAACGCATGCTCAAAGAACAGCAGCGACGCGAGGCGATGCAGGCCGACCGCGACGGCGGCAGCAGCAAGTCCAGTCGCCGCCAGGATAATCGCCCGGAGCGCAGTCTTGCCGGCGGGCGGCGCGTTAGCTACAAATATGAAGATGAGGAGAATGACGCGGCTCGCGCGGCGCGTGTCGAGAGCGAGCGCGAGGCGAGTCGCTGGGCGTGAATGCAGTACGAGTACATATCTTTATCTACCGATCTTGTCTATCTGGTTGTTTCCATTTGAAAAGCGCATATAGATGGATGGGATTTGGCATTGTCCTGGTTATTGCATGCATGGAAGAAAATGTGGGCATATGTGCATTGTAGATATGATGCTCTCGTATAATGCAAGATATGTCGATTATTTATTTACCTGGTAGACTGGCTTATCGGTATATTTCCATGGTGTTGAAGGTGCTCGCCATTCTAGCAGGCTTTAGGCGTGGGTGCACGCGTGAAGATATATATCCGACTCAACAGAATCCTCTATGAACCCCGCTAAGAACAACTCATAGCACGCAGCTGGTATTTCCATTGACATTGCAATCATGCTGCCAGGCATATGACAGAAAAGAATATAAAACACGACGAAACGACACAGGCTATACAACAACAGCAACGAGGATGTTTTTACGACTGGATGATAAAATAATCACATCCATCCAATACAATACACACATGGCTTAATTACAGACAAAGTCGGCTAGCCCAGCTTGGCCTTGAGGGATTCAATCTCCGCGGTCAGGTTCTGCATTTGCTGCGCCTGCTCAGCGATTGTCTTCGTCTGCTGGTTGAGCAGGTCTTTGATGGCGCCCAGCTCGCGTCCGACAGCGTCGGCGACAGTATTGGCGGTGGCGGTGGTGGAGCTGGCCGGGGGCGTGCTGACGGCAGGAGTGCTAGGGGCAGGGGAGCGCTCGGCAGTAGTCTGGAGTACAGGTTAGGTCATTGCTTAATATAAATCTCCAAAAGAGGATGCTTCTTACCGGAGTAGTGGCCTGCGACTTCGGCTCTTCCTTCTTATGCCACGGGCTGGTCTTCACAGACGGGGAGGCCGTCTCGGCAGACCGAGTGGGCCGCTCAGCCGGCTTCGGGACCTCGTCGAAGCTCGAGTCCTGCTCAGTAGGCTCGGGTTCCTCGTCCTCCTTGTCGGCGAACTTGTTCACCATGGCAGCCATGGAGGCGCCCTGCTCCTTCATAGAGGGAGCAGGCTTGACCATCGGGGTGGGCTCGGGAGTCGGCTCAGGGGCTTTCTTCGCCGGAGTCGGCTCGGCTGCCTTCGGCTCGGGTTCCGGCTTGGGTTCGGGGGCGCTTATCGTCGAGGTCGGCTTGTCCTGCACGCCAGTCACCTCCTTTAAGCCCTCACCTTCGAAGAGGCTTGCCATCGAGATCTTCGGAGGAATAGCTTCCTTGCCCTCAAGCCACTCGGTAGGACCCATGGCCGCCTTCAGACCAGTCGTCGGAGGGTAGATATCATCCTGGAAGTTCTCGGAGCGACGGGGCACGATGAAAGAAATCGGCTCAATGTAGGTGTCGTTGACGGTCTTGTAGGCCCGGGCAACCTCGTTCTCATGGATGTTCACGCCGCGCTTGGGCATGAATCCAATGCCACGCTGGGGGTCGGCAGACTTGTACTCGGCGAGGTACTCGAACTTGTCATTTTCGAGTTCGAAATAGCGGATGTTGCCGTCACTAAGGTATGGTTAGCTGGAGCCTTGTATTGATATATCGCTGTTGCGGCTTACCCTCGGCCAGCCAGGTACAGGCATTGAGTGCCCTCATCCCAGAAAGGCATGCAGACACCAGAGATCGAATCAAGCACCTTGAAACCGTTGATGGGCTCGCGGGGGGCACGGATATCCCAGAGAGCGAGCTGACGGTCACTCATCTTGGAGAAACCGGTGGTTGCGATGCGGTCCCGCTCACCCAGCCAGACAGCGCGGCTGTTCTTGGCTCCCGAATGGCCCTGTGTCTCATGCGCTGGACGTTCCTGACGCACATCCCAAATCCGGAGCTTTTTATCGCGAGAGGTGGTGACGAGGAGGGAGCCGTTCGCGCTCCACGATTGCGATTGAACGATATCCCCCAGCTTCAGGGTCAACTTGGGCGCGCCGGCTTCGATATCCCAGATCTTGACAGTAAAATCACCCGAGGCGGTGGCTAGGATGTTCTCGGCAGCGGGGTTGAAGAGCACGTGGCCGATCTTCCTGCGGCGCCGTTAGATTGAGCTGTAAGGGAGCAGTGGGGACACGAGGAGGCTGACTTGGGATGACCGCTCAGCTTGCCAACGGGGGAGACATCGCGGATGTCGTCGGAAGGGACGTCGGGGACAACACTGAAGTCCTCCGGAACCCGCCAGAGGAACACCTAAACTCGCAGGGTCAGAGTGACAGACAGCGGTGACCGAATTCGAGGATCGTACCTTGCCATCGTCGGAGCCGGAAGCAATCAGATCATCGTTAAAGGGATTCCTAAACCAGGTTGGTTGCTGCTTATACGACTCAAGTGATGTCCTTCCGGGCAACTAACCAGTCGGTGTCGAGGACCGCAGCGGTGTGGCCGCGAAAGAGGGGAATTCTCTCGGGGAGCTTTCCGCGCTCGTTGAGGGGCAAGACAGCAAAGGCGCCGCCACCGCCAGCTTCCCAGTTCACAGACAGGTATTTCGGGTTGACCTAAGTCAGGATGGAGCCGTGTTAGGCGCATTGTTTGTCGATTGGGCGGACTGGAGGGCAGGGGGTGTTTCAGGGGGAGGGCGCGGACCTTGACCAGGTTGGTATCCCAGGCATTGTTCGAGATATGGAGGTTGTCATAGCATTGATCCTGGAGAAATGGTCAGAATCAACTATCACGAGAAGCAGAGCGCTCTCGAGGGTACCTTTCTCGTCGAGCGTCCGAAGACGTGACCTGATTAGATGCAATTGATACCTGTCAGATTGAAGGCTGCGGACTAGGAGCTCGAGGGAGAGGTCTCACGGTATTTGGAAGAACGGACGAAACGACCGGACATGACGAGAAGATCGGAAGAGCACAAGAAGGGGGTGAGGGAGGAGAAGAGGAGAGTAAGGAGGAGAGGAGCGAGTCTGGAGTCGAAAGAAAGCGACGAGTTGATCGTGAAGGGAAACGAAGGCGGAGGGTGGAAAAGGAGATACGAAAGTTACACCGCACTGGAGGTGGCGGGGTGGTAAGTTACGGTACGGTCCGGTCAGCGTCTCCATCAGGTTAGCGGCTCCCCCACGGCTGAGTCAGCGGGGTTTGTTTACTTGCTGTCGTCACTCCAGAAACCGGCGCAGCTTTGTATTTGTCCATCTGCAACTCCATCGTCGTCTTCATATCGACCCGCATATCAGCCAGTCCCTTCTCCATGCCGTCATCCATCTCGTTCCCTTGAGCGTTACACCACTCTATTGTCCACCCAGCTCCCATTGACTGCGACAGTTTTCACCCTCCGTGGTCCTCGTGATCCTCGTGATCCACCCCTGTGAAGCTCAGCTCCCTTTCTCTTTGGATGCGGTGGATACGATCCCTTTGACTTCGTCATGGATTCGGAGAATACGGTAATGGTGGCGCCATTCAGCATTGAGTTGCCCTCCACTGACCTCAGCAGATGATACAGAGATCGCCCACTCGGTCGCGTATCCCGACAGCCGGCCTGCGCGAGATGAACTCTTCCAACACAAACGCCCGTTCGGGGATCGCGCCGCCAGGATTCATCGCGAACAAACAACCAGGGTTGGGCCGTATGACTATAACTATCTCTAGCCACTCCAGGACCCTCGCTGACGATATCAGAATCCACGCGCACGAGGAGCACCACCCAGGCCGACACCACTCGACCATCGGCCGCAACAGCTACGACTTCTCGGACCGGAACGACCTCTAGCAAGGTGCACAGTCGCACTAATTCTTACGCGTCTTCGACCATGACCCGATCTGCTTCCACAGCGTCCCGCACGACAAAGGGAGCGTTCTCCTCCACCATCGGTCCCGGTGGCCGACCCCCATCCAGCGTTTCTCGCCCACACACCTCCCTCGCTGGCAGCCGTAGAGCCAATGGCACCGCAGTGCCCCGCCCCGCGACGTCCCTGGACACCCATATGGAGGAGGATTCAAGTATCTTGGGCAAAAGAAAGGGTAGGCCACAATTTCCCAGTTTTACTCCCCCTTCTCCCGTGCCGGTGAGCGTCAGTGGGTGGTTCCCAGAACGTACATCTGTGGATGCCATGGATGATGGTCCCGATTCAATAAGGAGCAACCCTCTGAGAAGCACCTCTCGGCGTACCCACCGTGAGGCATCCCTGTCAAATGCTCTCGGGAATCTTTCATTGAACCCCCTGTCTCATGGCCCTCTGGAACCCGAACCCCCGTCGTCGGAACGCTGGAACGTTTCGACGACACCCACTCCGGCCAAACCCCTGACGGAGAGACCCCGTTCACCTCTCAAACATTCCCCACGCAGAAGGCCCCCTCTACCACAGTTTCTCACCAAGGAGTCCTCGACCACCTTATTTAACTATTCTACAGGCGCCGAATGGGACCGCGAGACGCGCGAGAGGTCCATGGAAGAAATGTTCAACACCTTCATATCGCGAGTCAGCCAAGCCGGTCAGGAAAGCTACGGCTTGAAAGAGACCGTCGAGTTGTACAAATCGAGAGGTGAGATGCACTCTGGAGGAGTTGAAACTACCAGTGCTTATGATTATGTTTAGTCAATGAACTCGAAACCTCCCGGAAGGAACTCACCGACAGCAACGTGTCTTTGCGTGTCGAACTCGAATCGATAAAAACACAACTGGCGACTTCGGAGATGGCTCTGAAGGATGCCCACAGAGACCACGAAATCGCAATCGAGGATCTCAGCAAGCGTCAACGGATCGATATGGATACTATTCGCCAGGAAGGGAAGAAAGAGCTGGATGCTCTCCTCGCGCGCCAGGAAGACGAAATCCGTGAACTAAAGCGACGCCATGAAGATGAGCTCGACAACGAAAAAGCCGCACGGCTGCGGGAACTTAACCAAATTACCTCGCAGACCGCACTCGATACCCAGAAAGCGCATATCGAATTGGAACGAAAGGACCGAGAGATTGCTTCGCTGCAGAGCACCATCGACACCCTGCGACAAGAACTGGAACGGGAGCGCAAGTCCAAGGAGGATCTTCGGCAGAACCTCGATACCGCAAGCACCAACAGCGTGACTTTGGAGTCTTCCATCCGGGCGCTGAAGGCGAGAATCGAGTTTTTGGAGTCAGGCCGGGAGGAGCAGTCCCAAGCCTTTGAGCGTTTGAACCAGCGAATGATGGATGCCCTGGCGGAGACCGACGCGACCAAGGACAAGCTGAGGAAGGAGGAAACCCTCCGGCGAAAACTACACAATCAGGTGCAAGAGTTGAAGGGGAATATCCGCGTTTTCTGTCGTGTCCGCCCATCACTGAATAACGAGAGTGAGACCGATATCGCCCAGATCCAATACCCGGACCAGTCGGAAGATTGCAAGGAGATAAACATCGTCGGACCCGAAGAGAGAACCGCGCTGGGAACCGTCAGCAGGAAGAACAGCAATTTCTCGTTCGACCGCGTTTTTGGGCCGTCGACACAGAATGCAGAGGTCTTTGACGAGATCAGTCAGTTGGTCCAGAGCGCTTTGGACGGATACAATGTGTGCATTTTCTGCTACGGTCAAACTGGTAGCGGTAAGACGTACACGATGTCTTCCCTGGATGGCATGATTCCCCGTGCAGTGCACCAGATCTACGAGACCGCCACTGGCTTGGAAGAGAAGGGATGGAGATATACTATGGAGGGTAACTTTGTTGAAGTGTACAACGAGAACCTGAACGACCTCCTCGGCAAGGCAGAAGAACTGGACAAGAAGAAGCATGAGATCCGCCACGATATGCAGCGCGGCAAGACGATCATCACGGATGTCACTACTGTACGCCTGGACTCGCCGGAAATGGTGGAGTCTCTCCTCAAACGCGCTGCGGCCAACCGGTCAGTCGCGGCGACCAAGGCCAACGAGCGTTCTTCCCGGTCGCACTCGGTATTTATTCTCAAGCTCATCGGTGAGAACAGTATCACTGGGGAGCGGAGCGAGGGCACCCTGAACCTGGTGGATCTGGCGGGTAGTGAGCGTCTGAGCCACAGTGGAGCGACGGGAGAGCGCCTGAAGGAAACTCAGAGCATCAACCGCAGTTTGAGCTGCCTGGGCGATGTCATCGCTGCTCTTGGACAGGGCAAGGAGGGAGGCCACATCCCTTATCGCAACAGCAAGGTATGTCGAGGGACTTTAGATTTTGTTGTATGCAGCTCACTAATTCCCACCAGCTAACCTACCTCCTCCAATTCTCGCTTGGCGGCAATTCCAAGACCCTGATGTTTGTCATGGTCAGCCCGCTGCAGGCTCATCTCTCTGAGACCTTGACCAGTCTCAAGTTCGCGACCAAGGTGCACAACACGCACATTGGCACGGCGAAGCGCCAGGCGCGTGTTCGTGATTCTTGAATGATACCTTTTTGTTTCTGGAAGTCGGCGGGTCTTTATGAAACAGACCTTGATGGGTGTATGGAGTTTTGTGCTTGGCGATAACGCGATAACCCTTGCGTGGACATAGTTTTCTGGACTGATTAGCTGGATCAATGATAGGATTGCACATAGTCACCATGGATGACTGGTTGTAGGCTCTTCCACGAATGCAACGATATCGTGCATAGTCCTGTCCTTCTGCTCAATCCACGGAAAATGACCGCAGCGATCATACACGAGGACTCGCGCGTCGGAGATACCCAGCCTCGTGCGCTCAGCGATCCGCACTCCACAGATCAGATCATCCGCCCCAAAGATCATAAGCGTCTTCGCGCGCACCGCACCCAACCCCTCCACCATCTGCTGTGGCCGCTCAAGCCTCGCATCACTCCCATACACCCCGCGATAGCACCACAGCGACAGGCGCGAACGCGCCACAGGCCCAATCGCCGCACGCAACTCCCCCACATACCGCCCCGGATCATAAAAGTACACCGGCCACAGCGCATCCACCGACCGCGCAAACTCCTCATCGCTATTGCGCGACGCGTACTCCCGCCGCGCCGTCTCCAGCGCCCCGCGGTACCGCTCGTCGCGCCGCGCCACGGCCTCCAGATCCGCGCGGTCCTCGAACCCGATCAGCTGGTGATTCAGCAGGACGAGCTGCTGCACCCGGCACGGGTACATCTCCGCGTAGCCGAGGGCGATCGCGCCGCCGTTCGAGTGGCCCAGGAGTGCTGGGAAGCTGTCAAGTCCTAGGTGGAGACGCAGATCTTCGAGGTCGGAGGCGAGATGCGGCATGCTGGTCATTTCGTGCGGGTGTGCGGGCCGCGTGCTGTGGCCTGTTCCGCGGGGGTGGAAGAAGAGACAGATGCGTTTGTGGGTTGTGTATAATGGGCGCAGACCGTGCTGGAGGTATTGCGATCCGAGGCCCCAGGCGGGACATTGGATGGTGATTAGGGAGGAGGGGGAAGGAGAGGGGGAAGAGGGGCCGTGGACGATGTATTCGAAGGTGAGGTTTTTTAGGGGAGAGAAGAATTGGTGGCGGCCTGGGGAAAGGGCATGAGCGGTGGCCATGGTGGTGTTGATGTGATGGTGATGATGATGATGGCATGGGGTGCATAAAGACATGATATTAGTAATGGAGCAGCTGCACAAATAGTCAATACACCGCACTTTCAAGACTCCTTTGTTTTGGCCAACTTGACTTCACTTCTGCCGACTATTGCAAGATGAAATTCTGGTGAGGACTACAGTGATTGAATGATCTAGTCGCGATCTATGCGCTAACGGAGTATAGCAAGCCTTCCCCTCCGATTGAACTGTCCGTCTCGACATTGGACCCGGATACCTATCAGATGGGCTCCATGTTTGTAGGTATGTAAAAAGGCTACCGGCGGCATTCCCAAGGCTGCAGTAGCCACCTGGAGAGACAATGATAATGGACAGTACTTTCCTTGTTATGTGGCCTCGATCGAACAATATCGGTTGTAGAGAAGGTATAGAACTTTAGTTTTGTTAATCTTGTGCCTGTTCTTCATCAGGTTCAACTTTGAGTCATGATTGAAGCGAAGATAGTCATTGGAGTATAGCAGATATAGTGCCCGCTAAAGGAATGTATCTGAACAGATGTGACTGATGAATCGTTGTATTAAGGGAGCATATCGAAGACACCACATTGAAACATTTTATAAATCCCCAAAGTACCTCTGGCTCAATTCACCCAGCTTCTCCGATTTCTGTCGGATATTATCCACCGACAGCACGCCCTCTTCGCAGACAAAGGCGTCCACCATGTCCAGCGGCACCCACTCAAAATAGATATTCTGCACCTCGACAGTAGCTCTCTCGCTTATATCTTTCAGCGCATCTACCCCCTTGATCGCGTCGTGCTTCCAAGTGCCGACAATCTCCATGGGATCGTTGTCCTCGGCGTGGTCGTCGCGGACCACACCCCCGGTGCCATTGATCTTTTCCACCTCGCTCAACACAACAATCTTGACACCTGGCGAGATATGCTTCGCGCTGAGCGCCAGTGGAAGCGACCCTGTCTTGTTGCTGACGCCCTTGGTAGCGGAAATCTGGTCCGCTCCCAGGAGCACGATATCCACGTCCTGGGATGCCACAGCCGCGGATGCGTCAGTGTACAGCTTGACACGGAGGTGTTTGTCTGGCGACGACTGGAAGCGAGACTGGAACTGCGACAAGACAGACGCGGCTAGAGTAGCTCCTTCGAAGAGCGGTCGCGACTCGAGAACCCGTAGTTCCAGGGTATCGAGATCCAGCGCAGCGTACGCGTTCAACAGACTGTCCCGGATCGTCGAGCTCGCCGACGTCGTCAGCACAGTCAGCTTCTCCCTCTTACCGGACGCGAGAAACGTAGACTGCAGATACTCGACGAACGACTCCTGAAGCCGTGTCGCGCGGGATGACCGGTTCTGCAGCTGGGAGTCAATCACCGCCAGCACGCGCTCCCACTTCGCCTGCACCGACTCCGTCTGCATCTGCAAGATGCTCTCCATCTCCGACAGAACACCAAGCACAGCGCTCAGCGTCGCGGCGCCCATACTCTCGCGACCATTCTTGACGAGATGCCACGCCGCCATCCGCACCCGCCTCCACCATTCATCATCCAACACATCCCCCTCCCCTCGCAACTCCGCAATGAAATCCCCAAAAACCCGAATCGCAATCGCCGTCAACTCGCGCGAGCCACTCGCATGGTCCGTCCGAAGCCTCTCCAGCCCCGTCGCTAGCGTCCGTCCCGCGCGCTCGCCGATCTCGCCCTCAAACCACACGCGCCGCAGACTCTCCGTCAGCCGCGGTACCCCGTGCGCACCGCCGATCTCGTCAATCACCCGCTGCGGATCATACCACCCCCACGACTCGTGTTCCCAGTCCGTGTGGATGGCGGCCGCGGCATCGTCGGTCTTCAGCCGGAAGGCGAACGGGTGCACGGTCCATTCGCGGCTGACCGAGGCGTCGCTGAAGCTGAAGGGTTTGCCGGTGCGCCAGAGGGCGAGCGAGGCCGGGGTTAGGGTGGTTTCTTCGTGGAGTTCGCGCCATGCGGCGGCCAGGGGGTCTTTGTCGGTGCGTTCGATGCTGCCGGAGATCGGGGCGAGGTGGTGTCTGATGGTGAGATTTGTCTGGAGGACGGGATGGGACGGAGGGAGTGGACTTACTGGTAGGTGCGGACTTTGTCGCTGCGCTTGAACAGGGCGACGTCGGGGTTTGTTTGGCCGCGTGGGAAGCGGAAGATCAAGGAGGACACGACGGCGCGTTTTTCCAGCGATGAGGCCATGGTTGTTGTTGGAGGTGGTTACCCCGCGGCTGAGGGAGGAAATTGGGGGAGACGGCGTTGGGTCATCATCACATCATTCATGTTGATGGGCTGATGTGTCGACGTGATGATGATGATGGTTTATTATTGGGTGTTTGGGGGGAAGATGACGATGACGTCAGGATCAGTATATTATCTTCTTCATATACAACATGGTATAGACAGACAACAACCATAACTGCAACGATTACAAGCAAAATGCCCGTCTATACAGGATCCTGCTACTGTCGCAACATCCAGTATGAACTGTCGCTGTCCTCTCCGGACGACGCGCGAACTTCGCTCTGCCATTGTCGGAGTTGCAAGGTATATATATATTCAGATATATTCCTCTGACGGATAATCCAGACACTGACACGGATGCCATGTAGAAAGCCTTTGGTACCAACTACGGCCTCACTGCCAAAATCCCCAAAGACGCCATCCGTCTCACCCACGGCCAGACCAAAGAGCATGTCGGCGACAACGGGTCGGGGGCTGTGATCCATCGCGAGTTTTGTGCGGATTGCGGGAGTTATATTCTTGAGTATGGAGTGAGTCGCCTCGATCGATCATTCCCATGATAAATAATGGTAACACTAAGGATGTCAGGATGCGGTAAAGGACCAGTTTCGATATGTCTGCGTGGGGTCGCTGGATGACCCCGACGCGCTGCCGCCCAAGGGCGAATTCTTCTGCAGTTCTCGGGCAAGCTGGATGCCCGAGGTGCCTGGTATGTCTGTCGCTGCGATGTGATGCCGTTTCTAACGGGGACAGGTGTGTTTCATAAACAACAGATTAAGGAATAATCACGGTCGTCTATAGTGGGGTATAGTTCGAGCTCGGTTGTATGTAGTATATATGCCGATAATGCACTAGGCCTGCACCGGCTGTTGTCTCGGCTTCCGTCTCGATTTCGTAGCTCTCAGCGGCGGCGCGACGTAGAAACACAGGATCTGCTGGTCTAGACAATGGGCACAGCGCGGTTGTTGACGATCACAGGTCACTCCCCACGCTTGGCATGCTTTGCACGGATACGCACTGCGGGCCACCTCTTCCGCGGCGGGCAGCTCGGGGGCACATCCAGCAGACTCGGGCAGGGCGGCGTGAGCGGTCGATGAGCTGACAGTCCAGGTCGATGTGAGCCACTGCGCACATCGGCGCAGGATACATGTCTGTCCCATCTGTCCCGTGGTGTCTCGCACGCAGACGTATTGTCCTGGGTTGTCGATGTCTGGGACTGGGGTGGAGACCATATTCAGGGAGCAAGAATGCAAGACGGAGGCTGTGATCAACACGAACAGATGCAGGGACATGGCGGGATTTATACCACCGACAACTGACGGATACAAGTGCCAACGCATCCTGCCGACACATCGTGTTTGTTGTCTTACGTCAATGCTCAGGCACAGTTCCCTGCATGAGGGCTCACATAATACTAGACGCTATGCCGCTAGTCGACACGAGATGACACTTTTCAACATCATATATCCACAACGGCCCACAGATTTATTCCTTGAGACAATCCCTTTGGCTGCGACAGTGCATACAACAGCCTCTCGATCTATCCCAGTCACAGTTAGCGAAAGTAAGATGCGAACGGTGTGAACGGTGTGACACTGACCCTTTGGACCGATTCGTGGAATCCTCCCGGTCTTGCTCGCCGTCGCACAGCCCATCCGACTGCCCTCCTCCATGGACTCCCATCTCCCTGCCAGTGCCACGAGAATGCTCTCTTGTATCGAAGCGCCATCGATCATACCGATGCGCTCTGTCATACACCCCATAAGACGGTCAGGTGGCAGCTCGCGTGCACTGTCGAGAACTTACTCCGGATAGGCTTCTCGCATCGCTTCAATCCGTGCCCGGATGGAGGAGGCGATGTGGTTCTCGTCGCCCGAGTAGGACATGTTATTTAGATACACTTGGAGTCAGTCGTAGCTGTGTTTTCCAACAGATGTCGCCGTCGTCTCCGATCGCAGCGGCGGTCCTGACATATTATACCCAGCGGACAGCACGTTCTATCATTCTGGCTAAACAAACGCACCATCTGATCTCTTTCCATCGTTGGCCGGAATGCAGCTCTTCGTTCTAGACCATTCGGACACGAGGGATCTGTGCTCTGGTAGCTGGGATCTTTTTTCCGAAGCCCCTCACGTTACATCATCACATCACACCAACAATAGGAGCAGTAACAGTGCCAGGAGTAACATTAACCCGTCCTACCCTAGATAAGGAAAGACAGATTGAATACATGGCTTAGAGGGTGTTTAAATGTGGGTGGCTATTTATTAAGAATAAGCAGGAGTTTCTTTATCAAAGATGAGCCCTAAGCATGACGTTGTACCAGCTCGGAACCATACTGACAGGCCAACATAGTCCTGCGACACTGAAGCAATCAATGGGAAGTGGCGTCCAGCAGTCAGCAAATATAGAGTCTTATGGTCAAGACATGAGTGATCCGACACAGGGACAAATCGTCTCGAGCACAGAGAGGACATGGAGACTAGAGTGCTCCATAAGACCGCTTAAAGCCGTCGGAGATACCCTTATTTTGCCGTATGGACAGACCCGAAGAGGGTCCCTTGCATGATGCTGGAGTGCCATTCATAATTCCCGAGCTTATCCACCTCTTTTGATGCATAGACTCATCGAGGTCGGTTATCTTGCCATAGATACGTGATGGTACAACTCTATTAAACAGAATGGTTTCGACTTTTCTGTTCATATCACTATCTGATACTAGTTACAAGCACAAAGATCCTATGTCACCGTCGAGCCATAACTAACAGTGAGACAGATTTATACTAGTAGACAGGCGAGGTGCATACCCCGAAAACGAGAAACGCGAGAGACGAGAATAGACACAGGATGGCGTAGCTTATTTCGAGTAGAAATGAGTCTACCGCTCAAGGTACCTTACGCCTCGATGTCATCGAACCTACAACGCCTCTGACCATACTTCCGGGATGATCACCGTCCAGACATTGGATATGAGTGCGCGCTGGCGTCGATACAACCGGTTTCGCACGCCATTAACTTTGCGTTTGACGTCAAGAAGCAGTCTAAGAACGGATCCGATAAGATCGAATCTCATAGAAGGGCTCAAGGTTTCAATTATCCTGCGTCGTTCGTTGATATCTCGGTATGCATCAGAATTCCTGTACAGAGCGCCTGGACGTACATCAATAGATGTCGAGAACCACCGATCACTGCATCTTCCATTACGTCGACTGATAAGGGAAAGTATCTTCAAGCTCGCCGTCGTCAGCCACTGATGAAAGATTGGAGTTGGGAGAACTACATAAACATCGGATGTTTCCTTCCACCAGCCAGAATCTTTCTCTTCTCCAGATACACTTGGTCAATCGCCCAATTCGTCACAGCACTTCCACCAGTCATCGCTTATCATGTCGACTTACACCGATACCCCCAAGGTGATGGATACCTTCCGTGAGACGGCGGACCACGATCTCCCTCGGAGTATCCCTCCGAACATGGCCTACCTTCCGAGATACAAGAAAGGTGACCGGGTTTCCAACAAGGCCAAAGCCGAAGGTATGACCATAGACGATGTACCCGGGCTCAGGTTCTGACTACAGTATACAGTTGTCGAGACCTCCACTACACCAACGACCCTGGTGCAAGATGACGCTGGATCTATCGTATACTACTTGGACTTTGATGCGAACTTCCAAGGTATGTCTGTGCATAGATATGCTACTTCCCTCCTCTGACCGCCTGCACGCAGAACTAGCAACGACGCGTTTGATGATCTTTTGATATACTTCCACCAAATTGACCGGGGAGGGTTGTAATGTTGGGACTTTGGGCCCGAATCCCAAAAGTACTACTTTGTCAATGTCTTGTGCTTGAGTTGGTGCCGAGACGGACCAAAGTGCATATTAGAAGTAAATACGAAATAGAAGCATTAAATATGAGATAGAATGCATTATACCAAGATATTCAGGCAAAAACCATCTACTCAAAGTCCTTCCAAGCCTTCAGAAGAAACTCCTTCACTTTAATCGGCCGGAGATCCGGGAATCTAGAGTTCATGCGCTGTTCGACAGGCAGGTCAAAAACCCCAGCGACTGTCAACCGACTGACCAAAACGGTCATCTCACGCAGCTCGTCCGCAGAATACGGCACCCCAGATGGCATCGGGGGAACGGTAACCGGGCCTTGCTTGACGTTTTCCACGCTGTCGTAGGTGACCTGGAACTTTTTGCCTGTTTCTATCAGCCGGGAGTAACGAGTAAGCATCTGCGGGCGCGTCTTACCTCGCACTTCCTCGGCGAGCCGGAGAAGCTCATTATACGTGACGTCGTCGCCGACAAAAATACTAAACTCGGGCCATTCCTCGAGCTCCAGCAGCTTGACTAGGAACTCGGCCATGTCGTAGGTATATGTCATCCCGATCACGTCGTTTCCGTCGCCGGGAATGGCTGCTTGACAGCTGACCATGTCGATTCCAAAGGTGACGGGTTGGAGATTCGTGCGGACGGGGGGCATGCCCCAGTAGTCCATGAAAAAGCCGGGGATGACTCTGGTATATTGCAAAGAGCTTTTCTTCAGCGAGTCTGCCGCGTTTAACCAGTGTTGGATGCTGGGATCGACGGAAAGAAGCCTGCGGTGTGTTAGCGCCGTCGTAGGCAAGGTCGGAACCGTACTCTTTGGTTTGGATGAATGAGTATTCACTGGGAATGAACCGCTTAGTCGTCTTGGACTGATCCGCCGCCTGGATGAGGTTCAGCTGGGACTGGCTCGTTGCGTCGTCGAAGAGTCCAATGGCGGAAATGATGGTGTGAACGGTGTGCTGTTCCAGGATTTGCACCAGGCCGGTGATATTATTGTAATCCACCTGTACCTGGTTTACATGGCCCACAGCGTCGGATCCAACGCTCTAGTACGCTGTCAGCTCCGGTTATCGCGATGGCTTTCACGAACAGCACCTACATGGCGAGTCAAGACAATGACTTGATACGTGGGTTGCTTGGCCAGGACCTCGACTATCGTTTTTCCCACGCCGCCGGTACCACCGGCCACAGCGATGACTGACATTATGAGGTTGGAGTTGACAATATCGAGTCGAGGGTGTCGGAGGTGTTTGTATCCCGGAGAGGGGCATAGAATGCATAGATTAGTCATTATCCATTTGCTGGTACATCATCTTGGAGACATTTTATAACTGCATCTCGTCGAATAATGTCCGATAACTCAATTAAATAGATATGACTATCTACATCACCTGCGAGGTCTACGATAGTATCTAGTTTCACGTTCTTCTCGTTCTCCCAGTTTATAACTGCAAGCACCCTCGTTCACACAGGCATGCCTCACCCCTGCAACTATGAATGGCAGGGTTCTCCATCTCGCCTGGTAGCCTCGCTCTACAAGGGTCCGTGTCACTCTGCCAATGGCGGTTGGATCTCATACACCATCTTGGAGTTAGTAGACATGGCTGGCGGCAAGGCCAGCGGGGGCGACATAAATACCATCCCGACCCCGACAGCTGGAAATGGAACCTAGCCAAAGGTTGCTAGGATGACCGACCAGAAGGAATACCTCAACGCGCAGGACTTCGAAGCCGGTAGGCATTTCTGACTATCACTTGGACTGGGCAGATTTGACAGACCCTAACGGGGGCGCTACAGGCCTCGCGGAGCTCGATGCTGAGATGGGCCGCTCAGAGTGGCTCGTTGCATTCGCCCCAATTCGAATCCTGACTGCGGGCGGGTTCCTAGCAGTGTCCTATTTCAAGAGTCGTGAAAGCACAGGAGATCTGGACTATCTGATCGACCCGGAATTTGCAAGGGACAGAGATGTTCAAGGAGCCCTTAAGCAAGCCATCCTCAATGTCTCCCGGCGACTGCGGTTTAACAGGACATGGGTAAACGATGCCATCGCCATTTTCATTACCGCGGAAGCTCGACAGGCTCTCTTCGAAGGGGCAGAGAAGCAGAATATTGTGCTTTTCAAAGGTGAGAACCTCGAGGTGCTCGCAGCGCCTATCGAATGGGCCCTCGAGCGGAAATTAAGGCGAATCCACGCCGCAAACCGGGGCCGAAAGGCAGAACTAGACATTGGGGATGCAGTCACTTTCTTGAAGCACTTGCGGGAGCGCAACAACGGGCCGCTGGATCTGGGACTGATTCGGCGCATGAACATCAACACATTCGACGTGATCCCAGATCAGATGACCATGCAACAAGTAGCCAACGCATATCGCCAGAAGTACAGCGAGGAGATTTTCAGATAGGTCTAGATAGTGTAAAGCCAGCCTGTGTTCGTGATGATATTGCGTCGCGCAAAATTGGGTGCGGTGCCATTCTTTTCCAGTACCAAGTTATCCTCTGCATCCAGCGACTCTGGTGGTACTGACGCTCTCAGGAGATCCTTATCGATAGGGGGCACCATCTTCGTCCAGCCAGGCAGTCCCTCCGGAGTAAAAGGCGGCCATGGGTCGTCATTCCTTTCACGATAGACGTGCTCGCCGTTCCGCCGTAACCCCAGACTTAATCTCCAATTCACGGCCTCCTGTATTTCCTCGACGATGGAAGCGACGATGGCGTATCGAAGGGGATCGGCGTCTTTGGGGTCTGGTATGTCTGCTACCTTCCAGTCTGGCCGAGAGAAAAAGTACTCCATCTCCCAGCCGATTAGCGCATATCGATCGGCGAGGTGGAGCTCATAAAGCCGGTAAACCGATCGCAGCGGCGTGTCCCGCATCCGCCAGATAGGAATATCGCGAAGATTGTGAATGTCGCCGAAATGTGACCTGATGATCCCCGTCTCGTTCTTTTTGTCTTCGATAAGCGCCCGGAGAGGGTACGGGCCAGGGATCGGAAAGTACCAGGACGGAAAGGGGATAAACAAGCGCAGGAGCGCAAGCAGGGGATGTTTGTGCTGCTCAGTGAGTCGGATGTAGCTGCTACGCAGTTCAAGGGGGGAGTGCGCGTAGCGAATCCATGACCGAAATCGTGCCCATAGCGACAACTTGGGACGACGACGTGGAGGCATCGAGGGAGTCATGCAACGATTGTTCTCCGACACTCCGGAGTGGATACGGAGTATGGTGGGATGATCACACGTGACCATGACTCATCGCCGATAACGGTGGGGGAATTGCTTCATCATCGCGAAATCTTCTCCGTCCCGACCGTCTCGTGATTGTGTCTTCGCATATTGCCATCATTAACATGAGAAGAGAAGATATCACCTACCTGGGCGCCGGCCCAGCTGCCCTCCCCACCGATGTTCTGGCCATCGCTGCCGATGCCCTCCAAAACTACCAGGATACCGGCCTGTGAGTCCGCATCTACTGCTGTAGCTTTGAAATCGCATCAATTGACGGTTACTAGGGGGGTGGCGGAGCACAGTCACCGCAGCGAGCTGGCGACCAACATCCTGAACACCATGAAGGCCGACTTGGCCAGTTTCCTCGATGTTCCCTCCGACTACGAGATCCTCCTGATGCAAGGTGCTTCGACCGCGATTCCTATATCACGAAGTTGGCTAACTCTGCGAAGCTGGAGGATCGGGACAGTTCGATGCGACCATCTACAATGTCATTTCTATCTGGGTGGAGAAGCAGCGCCAGAAGATCGTGAAGGAAAAGGGTGATCTTAGCGAGGAGGACCTGGTGCGGGAGCTGCGCCAGAAGGTCGATTCGGAGCTGCGATTGGACTACCTGGTTACCGGATCGTGAGTTCTGCGACAGTTCTAAGTGATTTGGCGACTAGATCCTAATATGATCCAGGTGGTCTTCCAAGGCTAGCCAGGAGGCCATTCGTTTGCTCGGACCGGAGCACGTTAACATCGCCAGCGATGCGCGCAAGGTGAACGATGGCAAGTTTGGCAAGATCGCTGACGAATCGACCTGGCAATTGAGCCCCAAGCCCGCCATGGTGTACCTGTGCGAGAACGAAGTATGTTGGCCCGGTACTGTGTTCGACGTTTACTAATGCAATGAGCCAGACCGTCGACGGTGTCGAATACCCTAGCTTCCCCAAGATCCTCGAGCCGAAAGGAACCGAAGATGACTACTTGGTTGTTGGTGACTTTTCCTCGACTATTCTCTCCCGCCGCATACCTATCAAGGTACGATTGCCAGCTCTGCCCGTGAATATCTTGTGGACCGTGCTAATTTCGCAAAGAACTTCTCCATCATCTTCTTCGGAGCGTAGGTGCCCTCATTTCCCTCCCGTTGACAGAATCTCACCAGAACAGTCAGAAGAATCTAGGCTGCGCTGGTGTGACCGGCGTTATCATTCGCAAAGACCTCCTCCCTCCTACTCTTCCGTCCACCTCCCCGACACTCCTTCGCAAGCTGGGCCTGCCCATCACGCCGACGGTTCTCGATTACGCCACCACCGCGAAGAACAACAGCTTGTACAACACTCTGCCTATTTTCGAGTGAGTGGTGGGATACGCCTCTGCAGGAGACAAATGGCTAACGGTTCAGTGTTTTCCTTGCTGGCCAAGTACTGAAGAAACTGCTCGACACCTTCCCTGACAAGGTGGACGGCCAACAGGCTGTTGCGCAGAAAAAGGCCGACATGATCTATGCGGCCCTCGACGCTTACCCGAGTGTGTACAAGGTGGTTCCGGACAAGAGCGTGCGCTCGCGGATGAACGTGTGCTTCCGGGTGATCAAGGTGCGTTTGCTTGTCGCCAGGCCGTAACAATATCTAACCCAGATAGGGCGGTAATGTCGACGACGCGGAGAAGGCATTCTTGAAGGGCGCTGTCGAACGTGGCCTGACTGGTCTGAAGGGCCACCGGAGTGTTGGAGGTAGGAAGTCGTCGGCTTACATCCACGGATATGCGCTAACTGAACGCAGGCATCCGGGCCTCCAACTACAACGCCATCCCTGTGGCCGGCGTTGAAAAGCTGGCTGCGTACTTGAAGGAGTATGCTGAGGCATAAACATCTTGATGCGAGATGCATGCTGGTATCGATGCCTCAACGCATCACACAATGGACATGTGGAACGATTTCATCCATCGCTTTGGATTTTTTGGCATACTGCAGCCTTCGTATGTGAATGACGGGTTTAATAGGCATAGATAAAACTTGTAGACCTCATCTATTTATCAGCATCTGGTGCTCTGTAATATTCGGCATGATTAGTGATCTGCCCGAGCCGAGGCATTTCCCCATCGGGCAGTCCTCTGTGTTTATGCCACGACTATGCCATGAATTGGCTTACAAACCATGCACAAAGGCAGCTCCTAATATCAGGAGCATATTAAGGTTATGGCGGGTCGAGACTAGACTGTGGCGAAGACCGAAGAACACCGCTAAGTCCGTCTCCGCCTGCTTATCAACCTCAACCTCAACCTCTATCAACAACGCCAGCAATATGGACGAAATATCGGCACAAGATTCTACTGTCGGGATGACTTGGGGTTCTGATGTGCCTCTACTCCCCTGGGACGAGGTTTATCGCAAGATCATGCTGTCCCCGCAGGCTCGTCCGTCCTTATCGTATGATTCAAATCTTCTGGCGAATTCCAACATCGATACTGTTCTCTCTGCATCGTCCTATCCATTTCCGGAGCCATCGGATTTGGACAGTCTGTCTGAACCACCCTCGCACCAACTGTTTGGTGGGCTGCTTGTCGACCGAGAGCAACGGGGCAAGGGTAGAAGCATCCATGTAGTCGAGGACGCGGCCAGTGAAGCGCAGTCGCAGGCCCTGGTAAAGGCTGATAAATCATCAAAACCCTCTTCTACGAAAAAGGAACCCTCCAAGAAACGAGGTCGGCCACGGAAGACAGCAGGAGGCTCTACGACCGAGACGCCCGATGAGGTACGCGCATACTTCCACCGCCATGTCCGTTACTGACGATAAACAGCGACGGCGGATGCAGATCCGTCTGGCTCAACGAGCGTATCGTTCTCGTAAAGAGGCAAACATTGCATCGCTCAAAGACCGTGTCGCCACGTTGGAAACGGCAGTTGAGAAAATGAGCTCTGCGGTGCTTTCATTCAGCGAAGAGCTTGTCCAATCGGGAGTTTTGGCGTCACATCCAGGTCTGACGGGCTCTCTGCGCGACACAGTCCAAACATGCTTAAGCCTGGCCAAAGAGGCAACCCACGAGAACCCCCAGGAGGACGTGGAAACGTCGCCTCAGAGCGAAGAGTCGATCCCATCTGATACGTACAGTGCGCAGACGAGCAACACACAACCCACAAACTACATCGACAATCCACCCACCATCGAGTCATTTCCCCTCCTTGACTCCCCGTTCCGCACGCAGCCACCAAAGATGTCTGAAGCGACCTTTGCCCCCTTGGACATTGCCGAAATCGAGGTATCTGCCTTTATGGAGCGATTGCACTTCGCTTGTCTGTATCAGGGCCTGCTTGCGCTCAGCGACGCATCAATTCCCACGAGTCGACTGGAAACTCCCTTCCGCCTTCTCCTGAGCATGATGGATCGAAAACGGATCCGGGCGTACTTTGAAGCTGCATTACGCGCAAAAGTCGGTCAGAGACGGTTGGAGGAATGGAAGGATGTGCCGTTCTTCAGTCTCGGGGGTGCTGGAACACACTATCCGCGATCGAGCCCGTTTCCTGAATCACCCATCGACCCTTACCAAGGCTGGAGCCTGGTGCAGGATCCGTTGGCGCGCCTATCCCCTGGGTTCAAGGAGGATCTGGACGGCGATTGGTTTGATATCAGGGATCTGGAGGGATATCTGCGTGAGAAAAGGGTTCGTCTTCGCTCGTCGCCGCCGCCGAGGCGGGAGTCGTCTGCGCAGAGGGTTGTCAATGTTGTCCGGTTGTTACCAGGTAGGTTGATCTTCCCTTCGACGCTGATACGAATGTACTGATTTTGTTTTAGCTTTGATCAGCAAAGCTGTGTGTCTTGGGCGTACGCCTGGATTCCGACGACTCGATGTAGACCAAGCTCTTCTTTTGGCTTCTTGTTAGAAGTTGCTTCTATCAGCAGTTTATGAGTACATGATATTAATAATAGCCTACGACAGGCGCACATAACACCTAATCAACTCCTTGCATTGAACCGCCGTGTCGTAAGAAACATCTGATGGACTGTTCATAGGCATCCGGAGGAAGTATGTATCCAGCAAGAGTAGGCCGAGCGAAGCATTATTTATACTACTAGTAACCGAGGCTCGATCACTAAACATGCGGACATTAAGATTAGTTATATCACCTCTTTCACTACAGTATTCCGATATAAACTAGAACATATCCATAATCACAGTGAAATTTGTCTGCAACTGCAAGTACAACACTGTAGAGCCGAAGTGATTAATCATCTACCTCGGTCGACACCATCACTACAAATATATAGAGCTCCCCGCAACCCCAACTCCATCACAGCACATCACATCACAACGCAACACCACACAATGTCTCTCAATCCATCCAACAAACCCGTCCTCGCCGTGATAGGCGTCGGGCCCGGCATCGGCGAAGCCGTATCCCGCCACTTCGCCGCGCGCGACTTCACCGTCGCGCTGATCGCCCGCACAGAGACCAAGCTGCAGCAAATCCAGTCCGCCATCAACGACGCTCACGGCGCCCACACAGCCCGCTACTACGTCACCGACGTCCGCGACGAGCAGCAGGTGACAGCGACCTTTGCTGCGATCAAAGCCGAGCTCGGCCCCGTGCACGTGCTCATCTACAACGCGGGCTCGCGGCGTCTGCGCCCGCGCACGATCCTCGAGACGCCCTCGGACGAGTTCGAGAGCTTCGTCCGCATTAACATGTTCGGCGCGTTCTACGCGGCCAAGTGCGTGCTGCCGGATATGCTGGCTGCCGGCGCCGGCACGATCATCTTCACCGGCGCGACGGGGTCGGTCCGCGGGAGTCCGGGGTTGGGCGGGTTTTCGCCGGGGAAGTTTGGGCTGCGTGCGCTGTCGCAGGTGATTACGAGGGAGTTTCAGAGTAAGGGCGTGCACGCGGCGCATGTGCTGGTGGATGGGCCGGTGCAGAGTGATATTATCGGGGGGTTTGTGAAGAGTCGGTGGGAGAGGGAGGGGGAGACGGAGAAGCTGGCGCAGATGGAGAGGTATCTTATGCAGCCGAAGGATCTGGCGGAGATTTATTGGTTTCTGTATAAGCAGCCTAGGAGTACGTGGACGCAGGAGTTGGATGTGAGGGCGGAGAGGGAGAGTATGTTTTCGAAGTTGTAGATGTGTCGGCTGGGAGAAGTTATACGCTTGATGGACGGTAGCTGAACATGATATGTGCATTGAATGCCTATACTTGTGAGTATGTCTCTTCCACGGGTGTACTGATTGTTATATCGGGCTCTGGATGAGTTGGTGAACACAGGAGCTGACCTGGCGCGCGGGTAAAGCAAACAAAGAGCGAAAGTGCCGTCGACTATCATGTCCATTAGTCCTCTTCTCTCCTTGAAAGCTCACATCTGATGTATATCCACAGCTGTCGGAATCCGACCGATGTAGGAAGACATCCTGGCCCTTTGAAAAGAGGGAGCCCCGTTCAGGCGTCCTTGGAGCAGGACGCGCCGCCCAACTTCCCCTGATGGTCAGACATCGACACTGGACGCAGGGCAGGGGTAGCAAGTTGTGACGGCTTATTCTCTAGGGCTGGTATGGGCTCTTGGTGACGGGTTCAGTGTGATGGCAGCTACTGTGGCTGCACGATGTAACCCAACCATGAGATCCGTAGCGAGAGAAGCACAATTCAAGATGATTCGAGGTGCGTAAGATGAAGCAGACGTAGCTTGCTTTATGACCACCAGTCGGAAGTCGAGGATGGCTAGGGTGAAGCCATTCGAATAGTGCGAAGCCACAGAGCTTCGCCAGCTTCATACTGGCGGATAAAGCGACCACGAACCATGACCACCAGGGAGTCAACGAATCTGAGCGGTCGAGTGGCTTGGTGCCTGCATGGATAATTTCCGACGGGCTCATGGGCGTGACAGATGCACTGGTCTCGACTCTCGAACAGGTGGATGGATATGTGTCTACTCCATAGTACTCCACACTGGAGAATCTACTAGTAGCCATGGATCGATGGGAATAGCATGAGTAGATAGGTCAACAAGACTAGACTAGATAACGATACTGACTGAATAATGCCTGATCAACTGCAGCTCATGAATCAACATATGAATCCATCCAAACCTCAGGCTGCTTTCACCTGAAAGTGCAAGTCACGGATCCCGAAGCCCTAGAAGCCCAAGAGTGGGACATTAATCTATGTTAATTAAAAGATGCTTTCACTATTCTATCTTTATCCTCGCTAGACCAAGCGCCCCTAATAATAATATAAAGAATCCTCTCTCTGAGCCGCTGCGGATGATGATCGTCCCGCCAGACGGCCGGCAGTCATCATTCCATCATCCATCCATCCACCAGAGCAACGCATGCCGGAGATGAGCAGGAAAACTTTCCTTGACGATCCGATCTGCATCGTCCTGGGCGTGCTGGGTTTTCTGCGCTGCCCCTCGCACAGGCTAGACAACGGCGCTAACTGCCGTCTCCACCGCCAGCTGTCTAGACTGGAGTCGACTCGGCTGTGGACGGCACACAGAACGGCCAAGGAGGGAAAGAAAACGCCGACAGGCTCACTATCGATTTAGTGTCCACAGGCAGCGAGACTCGGCCACTCCGGCCGATTGCCAATCGTTGTCGCTTTGGGGGGACAGGAATGTGGCGTGAGCGGTGATTGTTTACAGAGTCCTCCATCAACAGGTATTATCCCATGTCAACAGGATGTCAGCACAACGTCAACAACACATCCAACACAGCTCTCAATAGACAAAACATAAGAGAATCAACAGAGTACCCATATATTTATGACCCCCTTCTACAGTACTCTACTCCGTCTTCTTCAGTGGAATCCCCTGGACCTGTTTCATCGGCGTCTCGTCGTGTTTCAGAGTGCTCGGCCATTGTTCCTCCGCCACATGGAATGCAGGAGCCAGGACAACCAGCGTCGTCTGGAGCAATAATATTCGTGCTGTCCGACTCCACCGCAGCGTCGTCCGCCCATTCTAGTCCTGATTTGACAACAGTCCGTCTGGTGGCGCCGGCGGTATGGACCCATGTGGCTGCTAGGCGCCCGTTCCTGATGGATCACGGCCATCGGCGGGGATGGAGATGCTCTGGACCACGGCGAACAAGAATAGACGAGTGAATCAGGGGCCTGAATAGAAGGAACTACTGCAGGTTCTTGTTGCTCCCATTATTCATGGCCGACTGTTTATATCCCCCGGGACCCCGTCCCCATCCCCGGCAGGGTCTATACATCTCGCACATACTTACCTTTCCTTGTTTCACCTGGCCATCGCATTCCTTTTGTGGCCATTCTTATCGTCGCAGCGTGACGTCTGCATTCCTGTTGTTTACTTCTTTATCGCTTCATTCATTCTTTTGCCACTCAGCCTTGACGGGTTGTGTCCTTCGTTCGATCTCCATCCCCTTCATAACAGTCCCACTCCTTCGCTCTTCGATCTGATCTCGATCTGCACTGATCTCACAGTCCCTACTATCTACTGAAGATGCCCTCTTCGTCCCTTCTTTGGAGCGTTGGGTCGCTGGCCGTGTCGTCGCTCGTCTCTCCGGCGATCGCTACGGCCACCGGCTCCAGCTATCACCTGCTCGAGGCCTGGCAAGGCGAGAACTTCCTGGATTACTTTGATTTCTTCGACGGCGCCGACCCGACCAATGGCTTCGTCACCTACGCCAACCAGAGCTATGCCCAGAGCTCCGGTCTGTTCGACATCACCGAGAGCGGCAGCATCTACATGGGCGTAGACTCCCACACGACGCTGTCCCCCAGCGGCCCCGGGCGAGAGTCCGTCCGTATCGAAACCAAGCGCTTCTACGACGAAGGCCTGTACGTGTTTGATATCAAGCACATGCCCGGCAGCATCTGCGGCACCTGGCCTGCGTTCTGGTCCGTCGGTCCCAGCTGGCCTGAGGACGGCGAGATCGATATTATCGAGGGCGTCAACAAGCACGAGGCCAACGAGATTGTGCTGCACACCAGCGGTACCTGCGATGTCGCCGGCAGCAACGATATGACCGGCACCCTCACCTCGAGCGAGTGCGGCGAGTCCTCCGGCACCATCGGCTGCGTCGTCAAGGGCACCCAGGGCTCGTCGGGCGACCCCTTCAACCAGCAGGGCGGTGGTGTGTATGCTATGGAATGGACCGCCGAGTTCATCAAGATCTGGTTCTTCCCCCGGGCCTCTATCCCGTCGTCGATCGAGAGTGGAAAGCCCAACACCGCCGAGTTTGGCACCCCCATGGCGCACCTGCAGGGCTCCTGCAACTTTCCACGAGCGCTTCAAGTCGCAAAAGTTCATCATCGACACCACTTTCTGCGGTGACTGGGCCGGTGGTGTCTTTGGTGACTCGAGCTGTCCGCTGAGTGATCCCAGCAGCCCCATCCAGAGCTGCGTCAACTATGTCGCCCAGAACCCGGAGGCGTTCAAGGAGGCCTACTGGGAGATCAACTCCATCAAGCTGTACCAAGAGGGTGCCGCCGAGACCGCCGAGACGACCTCTGTCGTCTCTCAGGTGTCCACCACCAGCACCGTTGCTTCCAGCGTGACCACCTCCGTGTCGAGTGTCCACAGCGCCGCTACCTCCGTGACCCAGGCCATCTCGTCGACCACTGCTGAGCCTGCCCGTACCGAAACCGCCCAGACCGACGCCTCTGTGCACACCACCCACGCCCCTGCTCCGTCGAACACTGCTGGCACGGACAGCGGTGCGAACGACGGCGAGGACGAGACCGTGTCTCGCAGCACTCTCTGGGTCACCGAGACCACCACCTTCTGCCCTCTCACCCAGGGAGGCTCGATTGCCACGACGTTCCCCGTCCCCGCTGCGCAGAGCACGACCGAAGTGCAGGGCGCTTCTCCGACCGGTAACCATGTTGTCGATTCGGGCGATCACGGATCCAACACGGAGACTGTGGCTGTCGTTGTTCCCACCGTCCCTGCTGCTGAGTCGACTGGCCCTGCTGCTGTCCCAACTTCCGCTGCTGCTGAATCGACTGCCCCTGCTGCTGTTCCTGAATCTCCGGCCGCGTCCCAGCCCGCTGGCCAGCCTAACAGCCCTGCCGTCCCCTCCGTTGGAGGATCTGGCAGCGGCTCGTCAGGATCTGGGGAGAGCGTCATCGTGAAGCCGTCGCAGCCTGTGCCCTTGCCTTCCAGCGCTGCTGCAATCGGTAGCGCGCGTCCGTCCACGACCGTCTATGGACATGGCAAGCCGTCCTCGTCTGGCTTCGTCCCCGTTCCTACCAGTGCTCCTGCCACTGTCGCTGGCGTCGCCACCGGCACCGCAGGCTCAGGGCCCTCTGCAACGACCCCCAGCGCTCCCATGTTCACTGGCGCGGCCAGCGGCCTCCGCGTCGGCGTGACGGGCGTTGTTTGTGCTCTTGCTATGGCGTTCCTGGCATAGGCTGTTACCTGTCATTTCCTTTCATATTTCAACCACCGCAGTATATCCCCAGCGCTGTGCATCGTTAATCTGGCTTTGTATAATACCATCTGTCGCTACCCTGCAAGCGCTGTTTGCCATGGACCATGCCAATACTAGACTATAGACCTTCACCTGTCTTTGCAACCGTTCCGTATGCAGTGAACATACCCATTAGCATTGCATCGTAAGCCTTAACGCATAAGTCGTATCCTATAAACAAGCCTCCCAAATCCATCCCTAATTACATTCCGCCACAGCCCACCGCTTCAACCAGTCCTGCGCATACCGCTGCAAAATCCCATCCTTCACAATCCGCAGCCGTCCATTCCGCAACGTCACACTATCCCGCTCCGCCTTCTCCGTGACAAACGTCTTCTCCCCCGCCGTCTCCCCACCATACATCGCCTCGTAGTGATCCGCCAGCTTCACAGCCGGATTGACCCGCTCCTCGCCGCGCGCCGCGCTCGCCCGCAACATCCCCAGCCACTGCGCGAACGGCACGACGTCGAACTCGAACCCGCTGCTCCGCAGCGTCTCCAGCAGCGACCCCCACGTAAACACCCGCGAATTGCACACGTTGTACACCGTGTCGTCTTCCCCGGCCGGCGGCACAGGCGTCTCCAGCGAATGCGCCGCGCACGACTTCGCCAGCTCGAGCACACCGCTCGCCACCTTGTCGACCGGCAGCCACGAGCACGTCGTGTCCAGCGCTGGCAGCGCTTTGAGCGTCAGCGCCGACCGGATCAGCAGCGGGAGCGCCTCCGAGTCGTTCCACAGGCCCTTTTTCGAGTGCCCCGACACCTGCCCGATGCGCAGGGTGAAGGCCCGCGCGCCGGCCTGCCGCGCCGCGCTGACGATCTTCTCGCCGATCAGCTTCGACCGTCCGTAGCCCATGTCCAGTGCGCTGGCGAGATCGGGCACGGGGGCTTCGGGGATGGTGGATGATGGGGCGCCGAGCGCGGTCGAGATGGAGGAGCAGAAAAGCATGACGGCGGGGGAGGGCAGGTGCACTGAGAGCGAGAAGTTGGCTAGGTTGTAGACGCCGCGGATGTGCGGCTCGAAGCTGGACAGCGGGAGGTTGAAGTTCACCGGCCAGGCTGTGTGGATGATCAGCGAGACGGACTGGCGCATTGTCTCGAGGGTGGCCGCGTCGAGGCCAAGGTCGGGGGCGTCGAGGCTGCTCTGCAGGGCGACGATTTTCTTTGTGCGGAAGTCCGGCACGTTCAGGCCCTTGCGGGAGAGGGCGTCGAGGATGGCGGGCTTGGGTTGGGCCCGGCGCGTGAGGCAGTAGACGGCTGCGACGGTGTCGTCGTTGAGGAGCCGGTAGAGCGTGTGCGCGCCGATGGAGCCCGTTGCGCCGGTGAGGATCACGCTGCGCTGGGAGCTGGCCAGGGCTGGGTTGGGGGTGTGTGTGCGGAAGGAGGAGTATTTCGCGATCAGGTCGGGCATGAGGGCGAGGTCGTCTGTGACGATGGCGGGGGCGGCCTGGCCGGACTGGATGCTGTGGATGTGGGCTGCTAGACGGGTGATGTTGCCCGTCTCGAAGACGATGTTCTGTGGGATCGCCTTACCGTCGTCGATGCGGAACTCGCGAAGAATTAGCCGCCGCAGATGGATGGCTTTGAGGCTGTCCATGCCCTGCGCGAAGAAGTCTGCGTCGACGCTGGGCACGGAGAAGCCCAGTTCGTCGCGGCAGAGCTTCAGGAGATGTGTCTCCGTGTTGGCCTGGTCGAGCTGCAGCGTGCCGTCGGTGCCTCTGTCGAGCCGCGTGTACATCTCGTCGATGATGTCCGCGTACTTCGCGTAGACCTGCGCGCGGATCATCGACCCCTTGTCTGTGCGCGGGCAGACGGCGCCAGAGGGTAGGACGACGACCATGTCGCGCGAGATCTGTGAGAACTGCTCCGCGCGCGAGTTGGCCTCGTCGATCGTCGGTGCCAGCAGATGCAGGATGTCTTCGCTGGAGAGCATGTTGGCGTCGGTGGACGGGAATATCAACAGCCCCGGAACGGTCTTGCCCACCCCCACGACGACGGCTTCCTGCACGAGCGGGCTCTGCTTGATGGTGCCCTCGATCGGCAGGGGGAGAACCTTCTCGCCGTTGACGAGGGTGATGCGGTCGTCAACACGCGTGACATACTTCCATCTGTCGGGGATGGTCGGGTGCGGCGTGAAGACGTCACGCGAGTGGAAGGAGCCCGGAGGCTCATTGGAGTTAGAGGTTGTCAGGGCCGGATGGCCGGAGAGGTAGACGCATTCGAAGAGGTCGTCACTGATGGGCTTCATCCAGATGAAGGGGCGAATGTTGTCGAAGAACTTGAGGTAGTTCCAGAAGCGGTCGTCTGCTGGACGGGAGATTGACTCGGCCACGAGACCAGCTTCCGTTCTGTAGATGTTGTTAGATGTGTACCTGGAGTATAAGAGGTGACGACTTACAAGCCAAATGAACCTCCGAACTTCACCTTCTCCGCCACCAGGCGATCCCCCAGCTCGTCGGGACACGGCGCCCCTCCGTACGTGACGAGCTTGCATGTCCGCAGCGCGTCCAGCCCGCGCGCACTGTCGACCAGCAGCTGCAGGAGATACGGAACGGCCTGGACGGACTCGGGCTGTGCCGCCTCCAGGGCAGACACGACCGACGTGGCCGTCAGCGGCAGCGACGCATCCCACATGTATGCCGTCTTTCTCATGTACATGGCCTGCAGGGCGGTCGAGAGGCCGTGGAGATGGTACCAGGGCAGCGAGTTGAACGAAGTCAGGCCAGGGCCGCGCAGGGGGTGTGTCATGAGTGCTTTGTGGCTGAGATACAGGGGCTTCGGGGTGCCGGTCGACCCGGACGAGTGCAGGATCAGAGCGATCTTGTTCGTTTGCACTTCGGGATTGCGGCTTCGGTTGAGGACGACAAAGGTGGACTCGGATGCGTACTCGTCGAGACCGGCTCTCTGGATCATGGGCCGGCATGCTACCAGCTTCAGGCGCAGGATCTCGCCCATTGTTGCTCGGATGTTGGGTGTCTGACCATAGAGAATTGTATCGCAGCCGGTGACGTCCAGCAGAGAGACACATGCAGCGGCTGAGAGGCGTGGCGAGAGCATCATCACTGTATATCCGAGTCGACTGAGGGCGAAAAAGGTCACCACCATGTTGAGATCCGATAGAGTGAAGAGGGCCACGATGGCTTTCTCGCGTCGCGGCTGTAGCAGTCAGTATGCTGTCATTCACGTACATATCTCTGACCTACAGGATTGAAACCACAGTCCATCAAGGCGCAGACAGCCTGGTCCACCATGCAGTCCAGGTCCTGCCCGGTAAAGTACTCATAGGAGACATCGTCGTTGTCCGAGGGCTTGGGGTACGCCAGAATAGGCTGCTGGACGGCGTCTGACGCTCGTAGACGGATCAGGTCATCGAGAATGTGCAGACGGCCAAACTGAGCCACCAACTGCTCTTGGGGTGAAGCCTTGGTGTCAGCCGGTCCATTGTACTGCGGGATACCCATGGTGAGAGTGATGCTGTACAAAGTTGGATGTTTCAGAAGAGACCACTGTTGTATTTAAGCTAGTCTGTCGTATCCATGTCCGGATCCCAAAGTCCGGCGCTGCGACGTATGCTTGTTTGTCGTCACCACTGCGTTCGGGATGCCCTCCTGTTCCGGATATAGTAACAAAAGATCCCTGTCACTGCACCATCCGAGCTTCACCCACTGCCCAGCTGAAGCGGTGAATCCACCATGTAGCATAGGCTCGCCACCGTGACGTCTATTGTCACCGTCTCGCGGTGAATACATCTCGGCTGGAGCTGGCTGGCCTATCGGATTGATACTACGGGATATACCATCGACCAGCAAAGGCAAATTTCGCACGGGCCTTGACCACGCGTGAAGAGCAGAGGTAGTATGAGCGAGATCTCGATCTATTCCGGCAAGTCAAGCACGATATTTGCCGTCGTACTAGATCGCCGTGGGCTCTCACGCGCTCTCCATGCCGGCCAATCCCCACGCATGGGCGGCCTCTGCTGGACCATATCAGGCGCTAAATGTCCTAGCCACGGTATTGTCATGCACGAGAAGCTTCGGATCACAATCGGCTGCGGTGCCCACATATGCAGCAGGGATCTGACTTAGTTTCTTCGTAAGGCTACTGGCTGAATGGTGGTGGCCCAGGAACCGGGTTCCTGGCCTTGGTAGGACGAACCATCTAGGGCCAGTTCATACAAAGAGAATGGCGCATTTCCATGTAATGACCAGTAAAGAAGTTCTTTCTTTACTGCTGACAATGACTACGACGAGATGTCTATGCCGCAGAGGAGTCTTCCTTTAGTCGACCGGGTACCTATGTAATAGATCGGCTCTCTATGTATCCAACTTCCGAGCAAACAAAAACAGCGACTCACTGGATTAATCCATCGTTTGCAGCAGGGGCGGTGAACCTGTCGAGGTCTAAAGGTACGACTGAAACTTGACTCACTGTGGAATGGAGGGATGGCACAGCGCCTCGTCCGAGGGATTCCCGATGATTCAAGCTGAATCCGATGGCCAGCGTAGCAAGACGAGAACGAGCATAGTGGGCCTGCGGTCGAGTTCGTGCAGGTTTCTGCATCACCTTCGCATCCACTTGCCATGGGTCCCCGTTATAGTAGATTGATCCCAACCTACACTCTGTATCCCGCTGTGATAGCTCCATAGTGCGACACCCCCTTGTTTGACATAGATCAAGCCACGGATCGAGCAACCCGTGAAGAGACCCATTCTTCAGCGCTTTCCGGCTGGCCATGGTCCGGAACTCGATCTGGCATTCCGATCTGACATGTCCAATTGCGGTTTCGTCTCCCAGGCTGCTGGGACTGTCCATTCCTCGATCGACCGGTCCTTACGGATGCCGTCCCGCGGAATGCAAGCACCGGGTCCAACTCGCCCGGCGCCATTGTCAGAGTTCGGTTCGAGTGACAAACCCCGGTTAGGTACGTTCTGCTGGCATTATCACTAGACAGCATGCAGCCGGGGCTCCACGGCTCCACCGGGCTGGTTATATTGCTTTTTCTCTTCAGCCGCTCACCGACTGTCCCGACATCATCCTCTGCGACTGACGACCGGGGAAGGTTGTCCCCGGAAGAAGAAAACATCGTATTGCATGATTGCTCGGGTCTCATTCCTAATCGTTACTTGATCGACCTTGGGCGGCCATCGGCTTGCTCGTGCGACCAGATCGATCCAGGGCGATGGGATTGCGCATCCACATCCAGTCTGTTGGGATTTGTGTGGTGATGGGTAACTCGCTCCTATCTCATTTCCCATGGCCAATGGCAGGGGTTGAGTCCTGGTCATGCAGAGGCGCATGAACGAGGTGGATCGGCGTGGCTACGGCCCCCGTACAGCATCACCACGAACCCAGTGGCAATCAGGCTCAGTTGCATAGGACCTCCTTCCGTCCTGGGTTATACTGCTAATCAAACCCCGACAAACCAGGGGGATGATGTTGGCTTGCATCCTGGTCGACTATCTGGATCCAGCGTCTACTCGGAGCATTTCGTCACCTGTCAGCCAACAGCAGACGCACCCCATGACACTCTGTTGCGTACAGAGTGCTCGATCGGCGTATCGTACAGCCATGACAAATTCATCCCTCACAGCGTGCGCCTGCAATACAGCTGATCAGACAATGCTATTATGAGCCGAGGTGGCCGTGATGGCGAGCACTTTAGCTCAACCAGTGTCGACCTTGGCCAAGTTGGAGTGAGCTCTCTGTTGAGAATATTCGGTGGCGTTCGCAGCCCAACAAATGTCCCAGCACCACGGTAAAGAGATAGATCACGTAGCAAATCGTTCTAGAATGGCAAAGAAGGTACTGTGGCTGTACCAAGAGTGAATGGCAAAGTGTAGCGGTCTACGGAATATGCCTTCCAGATTGCACGCCAAGCTGGGTCCAATAGTCAATATCATGCATCTGGAACTTGCCAGCCTAGCTCTCAGTGACTCCGATGCCTGCAGTTATCCGAAATACAGCGCCACAGTGGAGTGTATGAGCAGGATTGAGTTTATTCCTTGTAGTCGAATGCACTCGCTGGGATAACCTGGAAACGCCCTGATGACGGAGATTTCCCCCAGAAAGCCAGTGAAGGGATTATTGGCAATACTATCGTAGTCCCTTGTGAAATCACAGATGAGAGCTATAGAGCTGAATGGCGGATGTCTCAGATGGCTTGCTGTTTTCGTTTGTAGGAAACTCCCGTCCGCTTCACTTTAGGATCGCCCATTCCGTTTGCTTCTGGGAGGGTATATAATGGCTACAGTTGACCGCCTGCTGGATCTTTTCTGCTTTCTGCACTCGCAGCTGTCTTTGCCTTTCTTCTGTCTTGGTATCTCACAGTGTGAAAGTGAAATTGAAAGTGAAAGTGTACGACATGCATACCCCGGCGGAGTCCCCCAAGATCCTCTCCCTCATCGAGGACATCAAGCAAGTGGCACTGCAGAAGCACCATGTTTCCCAGACAGGAGACTCGCATTTCCGCCTGCTGGGGCTTATCGATCAGCTAAAGCTGGCTGTGGAAACGCCGACTGAGACCGTCCTGCGTCTCATCTACCAGGTTGATACCTTACTCCATCGGTCTATGCCTGCCGCTAACGTCAACAGCCTCCGCAGAATGCAGCCCTTCGCACCGTCGTCGACTTGGGCATCTTCCCCTTGCTTATGCAAAACCATAAATCCGGCCTGTCAGCCACGCAGCTGGCGGCGCACACCGGCGCAGAGCGCGATCTGATCGGTAAGTGCGCGCACGCCAATTCTGCACCGTCACTAACCACCCGGACAGTCCGCTTGATGCGAGTCATGACAGCCTTGGGCCTCTGCTCCAGCGTCGAGTGCGAGATCTACCGCGCCAACGAGAAAACCGAGGCGCTGACCCAGCCCATCGGTCGCGACGGCGTGCCCTGCATGTACGTCCTCATACCCTTGTACCATTTCCCTGCTAACGAGTCAGCTACGACCTGACCCTGCCGACCTTGGCCAAGCTCCCCGAGTACTTCCGCGAGCACCACTACCTCATGCCCAAGGAGTACGCCGCGTCCCCCATGCAATGGGCCGTGGGCCAAAGCCAGTTCGAATGGCTCGCCCAGCGCAAGCACCACCAAGCCCTGTTCAATTCGTACATGGCCAGCCGCCGCGAGGGCAAGCCCAACTGGTTCGACGTGTACCCCATCGGCCGACTGATCAGCCACGCGAGCTCCCTATCCAAGAACGACGTCTTCCTCGTCGATGTCGGCGGCAACCAGGGCCACGACCTCACCAAGTTCCATTCCAAGTACCCGCGCACCCCGGGCCGTCTGGTGCTGCAGGATCTGCCCGCGGTGCTGGCGTCGGGCCCGCCCTTGGAGGGCATCGAGCCGATGGGGTATAGCTTTCTGGACCCGCAGCCGGTCAAAGGTATGTTGGCTGAGTTTGGGACTATTGATTATTGAAGGTTGAAGTTGAAGCTTACGTGCAGTCTGCAGGCGCTCTGGTGTACTACTTCCGCGCGATCTTCCACGACTGGCCCGACCATGTATGCCACCGCATCCTCTTGAATACAGTTTCGGCGATGGATGCGGCGCGCTCGCGCGTCCTGATTGTCGACTTTGTGCTGCCTGATACGAACACACCGCTCCTGCAGGCGTCGCTGGATGTCCAGATGATGAGTATTGGAGCTGGTGTCGAACGCTCTGAGCGCCAGTGGAGGGAGCTGCTGGACGGCGCCGGCCTGGAGATCCAGAACATCTGGCAGGGCAGTCCGGGCATGGAGTCGGTGATTGAGGCGGTCGTGAAGCCGTGATGGGTTGGTGGAGTAGCTTTCTCTGTCTCATATTGAGTTTGGTTGTATGTTTTTAATGACTAGAATGGTTCTGCTTGTGGTCTTTGCGCTCGATAGACGGGGTGATAGGATGGTGATCTGTCAGATGGCATGATTCGCATGGCAATAATTGAATAGATATGCGGTTATTGACTTTCTCCGTTATGGCGTCGCGGTACTTGCTCACGCCCTTGCGTCTGCCGGTAGACAGTTGTAACGGCAGACGCTGCATATGATCAACTCGACCGTTATGCATGGGGGTGACAGGCCTGTCAGATAGATCGGACAGAAGCGGAAGCCGTTTTGACCGCTAGTATAGACTTTGCGGGGGAGATCTGTCATATTGGCCAAGTAAGGAGTAAACGTTCTCCATGAGGTTATCGAAGTCAGTTCACTGCCGAGATGGCAGTTTCGGCTACTGCATCCAGCCAGACAGCTACTACCACCATAACCAGGTATCATTCGACTTGTTATGTACACTGCTCAAGCCATCCGAGCGCACCTAGCGAAGCACATTCCGAATCGCCGTCTCCGCCCACAACTTGGTATACTGTTTATGCAGCCAGACAATATGCGGCGGCATCGGCGGCGCCTCCGCCTTGCCCAACCCCTGGAAGAAACAGCTCTTGAGCCCAAACTCCGCAACCCCCTCGTCGGGCTTCACGACCGCAGACATCTCAAACAGCCCGTCCGACTCGCGCACGCCCTGCTTCCGCGGCGAGTCGCCGCAGCGCACGACGATGCGATCGGCCGTCTTCTCGACCACCTCGAAGTGGTCGGTGATCAGGGTGCCGACGTCGTAGGACGAGGCGCGCAGCTCGTCGCGCGACCACAGCTGCGCGGCGGTATCGGGACCTTGGTATTTCCGGGCGAGGTAGGCGCGTTGGAAGGCGTAGCCTGTTGATTATGGATGTTAGTACGGTGTGTTGGTTCTCGTGGGTTTTGTTTCATCGGGGACGCGAGACGCACCCCAGCCACTCCAGACGCCGGCACAGAACGCCTCCACCAGCTTTCCCTTCTTCTCCAGGAGACTCGGGTTGATCTCGGACAGCGGGACGCGGCGGACGCACAGGTCGTGGACGGTCGGGTTGTTGGAGGGGTTCTGGGCGCGGTACGGGGCGCTGTGGAAGATGGAGTCGGTGGGCGACATGGGCACGAAGACGTCTTTGCGGGTGGCCCAGAAGAAGGCGCCGAGGGTGGCGGTGCCACCGTAGGTGGTGAGTTTGAATGCTTTTTTGATAAAGCCCATGGTGGTTGACAGTTGACCTGGGTAGAGGGAGTGGAGGAGGAAGCGAAGGAGAGAAGGGAGAGAGACAAGGAAGAAGAGTGACGGACGGATCAACTCCGACGCCAAGAAGAGGAGCTCTGAGGATGCGCGAGAAGGATGCGAACAACAATGCCTCGGATGGGGGTCCGACTGAGATAGTAAGGTAAAGATTAGAATAGGGATTGAATTGGTATTGAGAAATTGTAGTTGTAATTGAAGTGGATTGAAGTTTGACGTGAAGAATTAGGGTTGCGATGCATGATGTCATCACATCCACCATATATATCTTCACCATGTATATGTACAACGGATTACCCATGTCATATAGTACGGCCACAATATATCCATCTATACTATCCCCGGCACAAATCGTGCCGTCCGTCGATGCCACATCTCCCATTCCTCCCCAAACCGCTCCTTCAACATCCTCTCCTCGTCGCGCACGCGAATCGTCAGCACCGACAGCCCAACAACGCCCACACCCAAACCACCCAGCTCTGCCAGCCATTGCAGGTCGTAGAAAAGACCATCCGGCATCCAACAGGCAATCGCCGCCGTGTGCCATTGGTAGCAGATGCCCAATCCCCCTGCGACCACCATAGCGAGCCCCGTGTAGCCGGGATGTTGGACAAACCGGTACATTCCTCCCGTCACCAGGCGGTCCGGCGCCGCCAGCTCAAACGTAAAGTTCCGGCCGAGTCCACCGTACGCGGCGAGGCGGACGATGGCGCCCACGAAGATGGTCAGGAGGGAGAGCATGGTGCGCGGGCTCCAGGAGACGATATTCGCATCGAGGTGGTGGGGGTAGGGACAGATGGCGGAGAGAACTGGCGCATCGGTGGCGGTGGGCGGGTAGTACAGCGTCACCAGCGCATGATAGAGAAAGGCGACGGTGCAGATGTGCGTGACGAGTTTGGGAAATGCGCCGGTCATGAAGCGAATGCGATCGGTTCGAAAGCGTGTCGGCGGCGGGCCATGCGGCGGATACATACAGATCCCACTCAGCACGCCGGCGGTCGCGACGCAGAGCGCCAGAGTCGCCGAGAAGATCGAGGGCATGGTGCTGAGGGAGTGAAGTGCGCGAAAGGGCGAGAGAGAAGCCCCCTTGCGAGCGCAGAATTTTTTGTGGTCATAAGGGGTTCATGACAGGTGATCGGCGGTAGCAGTGGACCTAGGTAAGACACGCCAGGTGGACAGAGGTGGCTTGGGGTAATACGAGGATCGAGGGGCTCGAGGGAGTCAAGAGGGGGAATATATGTCGTCGTGAGCAGAGAAAGGGGATGGAAGGTCATACATCGACTGCGATATAGCTGTATAGACACGATTTCCTCTTTGGGCGATGTCCACCACCACGAGTGCATCAGCACCATTGCACCCAAGAACATCAAGGATTCTATACTGCAGATCAATTCCACCGCTCATGACGACATTTGGCATCTTCGGAACCCCGCAAAGACTACCCGAAATGCCGACACTAACCACGGCTGGCTTGCTGTCAATCCTCCCTGACACGAACTCATCCACCACCAACACCACCACCACACTTGATAGTCTCACATCATGACCAGCCACCCCAATCAAACAGGCAACGACCGCTTCAATGCCGAGGCCGCCAACTGGGACAACAATCCCTCCGTCCAGGAGGCCACTCGACTCGCCTTTGAGACGCTACAGCCCCTCATCCAGTCGCTTTCCGATCAAAAGCGCACGGCAACCAACACGAGCCTGGACGTTCTCGAGGTGGGCTGTGGCACAGGGCTGTTGACTCTGCGGGTCGCACCCATGGTCCGCGAGATCGTCGCCGTAGACATCGCCGAGGGCATGGTTGAGATGCTAAAGGCAAAGACCACCCAGCCAGACGCCCCGCGCAACATCGTGCCGCTGTGCAAGATCCTCGAGGATCCTGAGGACCCGATCTTGCCCGCCGCCGAGGAGAATGTCCCCGCGGGCCCGCGTCGCAAGTTCGACCTGATCCTATCGCATCTCGTCATGCATCATGTCCCGGACTTGCGACCGTTCTTGCAGACCCTGCTGGGATGTTTGAAGCCGGGAGGAAGGGTGGCTCTGACTGATTTTGAGGATTTTGGGCCGGAGGCGATCAAGTTTCATCCGCCGTCCAAGCTGGAGGGAGTCGAGAGACATGGCATTCCGCGTGTCTGGATCGAGAATCTCATGAAGGAGGTGGGCTTTCAGGATGTGCGCGTGTCGGTTGGTTGGACGTTGGAGAAGAATGTTGAGGACTGGGAGGATAGCCAGACGAAGACTCTGCCATTTCCTTTTCTGCTGTGCGAGGGCGTGCGTCCGGAGTAAGGAGATGGCCGCTGTAAGGGGTGGTCGAGAGAACAGGGTAGAGATATATGAGAAAAGTACTCCATATGCATAGACGCGTGTGCTCTACAGTATGATTCGGCGGTGGTCAACGTGGAGAGCTGAAGCTATTGTCTATTCGATCATACATGCATTGAACAGGAGATCCACTGTGTGCTTAGTGACAGCTCATATGTATACGTCCTCCAGTAGGGCCAGCAAACCACCTGTAGAGGGTCTATCGGATTCTCTCCGAGAGAACAACGACACCGTCTATAGATGCATGTAGTTACGTGGAATTGGTCGTCAAACGCGGTAAACCCAGGAAGACTCACGCAGTTGTGCAGTATGCTTGGAAACTCCAGGACATGATAGCTGGGCTCAGCATATTGCACCCCAGCCCACGGTCAAGTCCGACTCAGAATTAAGAGCCCATCACTCATCGCAGTCACTATTCTAAGGATATGTGTCACTTTGACATGCTCAGCCCTGCTGGACGCCTGTCAGCACCCACCAGCCCCATTAGCCCCATTCCCTCGTATCCATCATGAACATGCTTTCTCGGCTTCAGCCCACATCAGCGCCCCTACAAAGCATTGCATCTGATTTGTTCATCATGTCCAGATCGACAGCCCCAAAAGGAAAATCCAGTTCGCATCGGCACTACCCAGCTCGGGCTAGTGGGCGGCCGCACAAATCAGGCCCATCGCATCCCTACACCCTGCAGATTGCCCATGTGGGAGCATTTCAATCGCAATGATCCCTGGTCTTGCTCGTTGGACGCCTATGAGTGGCTCAGCTGGCGTGGACTGCGGCGATGCGGTGTGCGCTGCCAATAGAGCCCAAGACGCTACGGGCAGCGCTATTGAGATCATCGCCTCGATCGGCGGCCTCAACCTGCCAATCTGTGTCATGCCCATGCATGACCCGGGCCCGTAGTGGAGGCCTTCCTGGCTGTCGAACGGGCCATCCGTTCCTGTTGTCATAAAAGCGGTCGTCGCCGTGTCGCCGGGCAGCCTGAGTTCTCGGTGCATCACTACGACCACAATCAACATGTCGCGATCAAGCAGCGAACAACGATCAGACTGTGGCTGCGAGCCACCGCGAGAGCTGGTGCTCTGCTTCGATGGCACGGGCAACACTTTTCGCGCGGACGGAGGAGAGAGTAACATCCTGAAGATCTTCCGCATGCTCGATCGAACCAAAGAAAACCGATGTAAGTTCCTGTCCACAGTCATGTCAAGGAAGCTGCTCACCGACTTAGACTGCTACTACCAGCGTAGGTACTCACACACGATAGTCACGTCACAGGCTTAACATTGTATAGCCGGCATAGGAACGAGCATCACGGCCGGCAGCTTCGCCAACGCCTTCAACCCCTTCAGCAACCTCCCCACGTCGAAAATCTTCGACCAAGCCCTAGCCACCTCGTTCGACCAGCACGTCATCGGTGGCTACCGCTTCATCGCCCGCCGCTGGCAGCCCGGCGCAAAGATCTACCTGTTCGGCTTCTCCCGCGGCGCCTACACAGCCCGATTCCTCAACGAGATGCTCGACTTTGCCGGCCTCATCTCCGCCGACAACGAGGAGATCATCCCCTTCGTCTGGGAAGCCTTCGTCAAGTATAAGTTCTCCGACAAGGGCCGCGAGCGGCACCAGACCCACGCGGAGCTCAACGTCTGCCGCGACACCATGTGCCGCTCCGTCGGCTACGTGCATTTCCTCGGCCTCTTCGACACCGTCAACAGCGTCGCCGAGTTCAACCTCGACGAAAGCAAGGACACACGCATCCAGCCCAACCCGACCATCATGCGCCACGCCGTCAGCCTCGACGAGCGCCGCATCAAGTTCCAGCCCGTGCTGTTCCAGCCCGCCCGCGCCCGCGACCAGGTGTCCAAACGCGGCCGCGTCAGTACGTGGGACGCGCAGGCGGAGGCGGGCGCGACGACCCCCATGGGGAAGGACTCGGAGGACGGGTCGGCGCATTCGGATCCTGTCTTGCATGACGACTTTGAGGAGGTGTGGTTTGCAGGCGACCACAGCGATGTCGGCGGCGGATGGCCGGCGGATAAGTGGGCGGCCAGCCAGGTCCCGCTGATGTGGATGATTCAGGAGGCGACGCGCGCAGGTTTGACGTTCCATGAGGACCAGCTTAAAGACTTGGGATGCTTTGACCCGACGGCCGAGAAGTTCGACGACCAGGTGATGCGGATCGCTGAGAAGGCGGAGCTGCATGATTCCCTCGACTACGACAGTGGTAAGGGCATCGAGACCATGTTCTGGCGGTTCCTTGAGTGGTTCCCATGGAAGCGGCCGGCCGTCCAGCCTGATGGCTCGATCAAGGAGACGCGCTGGCATTTTAAGGGGCTGCGCCGGCCGTTGCCTCCCGATGCAAAGATCCATGGCAGTGTTATTCGTCGCATTGTCAACGATCCTGACTATCGTCCGTACAACCTGGGCTTTGGCAAGAAGTCGCGGCAGATGGACTATGAGACGGAGAGGCGGGAATTCCATTCATGGCATCATGTCAAGAAGTCGGGGCTGACGGAGTATTGGATCAAGAGGCCTGATCGAGGTCGAAGTCAGCACAAGTTGGGTTATCGGACTACGGTTTGAGTTGATATTCTTTTGCTTAATGTCTGTTCTTTTGCGTGGTTTGAGGTTAGATACCTGATGTGTATATTAGTAGATGGTTTAATGGTATTTGAGCTGGATGCTGCTGACAACATGGCTGGCTGATTTGACCCTGCCCTATATCAACTGCGACTTATACTTGGGCGCCACATCTTTATACACCCAATTAATGTCGTATACGTAGAGGAATCCACCAATACCAAGTATGTGACAGCTGGAGTGTTTGCACATTAGATGTCCGCATGATCTTGATAACCTCGACAAGCTTCTAGGGCGCCTCCGCAGCTGAGAACTAGTATCATCTCACCTTGCATTGGTCTGACCCTGTCCCCTTAGCCAGCCACAACGCAGAGAGGGTAAGAATAGACGACGAACCTCGAGCATGATAGGATGGTGACAGCGAGCTGACAGACCTAGATACCGTCGCAATGAGGGGAATTGCCAAAATGGCATGGATATGCCGGTGCCAGCTGCCACTCAGAGTTATAGACAAACAGTCGGGCTACATCGATATAAATCAGAACATCAGCCTCGCTTGACAGTCTTTTGGAACTGCCATCTTGTTGAACCCAAAGCCATAAATCAGTACTACCAACACAGGCAAAATGCTCTGCTCGAATTGCAACAATATCGATATTACGTCGCTTACGCGGATGCCAAAAGGGTCCGTACTCTTTCCATATGATGCAAAAATGAATATGAACCTTCCAGGAGGAGGCCTCTACGAGCTTAAGCACGCTGGCGCCCGTCTAGGGTGGTTTCATTCCCGGTACAAAGATATTTACGACAATGCGGAATCCCACGGCTGTCCTCTTTGCAAACTAATGCTAAAGGCCTGCCAGCAGTTCCGCAACAATCTCTCCTCCGACGACAGCTATCGATCGCAATACAAACACAAGCTCAATGATTTCAAAGTATACCTGGCGTTGAGTGATAAGTACAGCCAGGCATTTACCTACTGGACCGACTCCGACTTGGACGAATATGCGTTTTTGATCGGGGAAATCGGTCTCGTCACTCGTCCTGGTAGGTTCTGAATTAGATCGCTTTATACTATCTCCAGACGCGCAGCGCTGATATGCATCATCTGGTAGAGGACCATGATCCGCTTCATAAAACGATTTGGGGCCGTCCGATCTCACCAGACCCCAAAAAGCTGCTTCCCTGGATTCACAAAGTGGTGGATAAGCACGACAGTGACCACGACGATAATAAGGCCGTTGACGACGCGATATCTGGACAGCACACCCTTCCCCCGCGAGTGATCTATGTCGGAGGTGGAATGAACAAGATCCACTTGCAGGAACCATCATCGAGCCAAAAAGCCAAGTACATTACTCTCAGCTATCGCTGGCCCGAGCAAAGGATTACCAGCGATCAGCATGCAGCGTTGGGTGCGACTCTCACGTCCAACATCGCTGGCAGGCGCGCCATAGGGGGTCTTCCTTGGTCATCTCTACATCCAACCTACCAGGATGTCGTCGAAATTGCAAGAGACCTGCATATAGATTATGTCTGGATCGATGCGCTCTGTATCATCCAAAACGACAGGGCGGATAAAAAGCAGCAGCTACGCAAGATGGGCGACATCTACAAGAACTCGTACCTGACAGTCTGCGCATCGGATGGCCTCCGGCCCTTTACAGCTCGGGACGGAACCAGCCGGCCCAGCGTGCCAGAATACCATCGATTTCAGATGACCATCGGCGATGATACCGGCCACCCAGAAGCCTTCGAAGTGCCCTACCACGACGTGATCGCAGGAAACCAGGTACAAAACTTCAGCGACGAGGTCGTCAGTAGTCGTGGCTGGACATTCCAAGAGCGAGTCCTCAGCCCCCGGACGCTGTTCTTCGGAAAGACCCAAGTGTACTTCGAATGCTCCGATTATTGTATCGGCGAGGACGGCTTCCTGCGACCCGGGCGCCAGCTCAAAGCCGATGACATCCCCAGTGGTGTTACTTTCCGCGAATACTGGTGGAGCCTAGTGGGCATCTACTGTACGCGAGAGCTCGGCGTCGATTCGGATAAACTGGTGGCCATTGGAGGTCTCGCCAAGGCTCTCAATGACAACTACAGCGTCAGTGGACGGGGATACGTCGCGGGCCTGTGGACGGGGCCACACTTCCTGGGCGATCTTCTGTGGAGTGTTACCGGGGACCAGGATGACAAGCGGGACTGGGATACCAGAACGTATCGTGCCCCCTCGTGGTCGTGGGCCGCTGTCGATGGACAGGTGTCCCCTCCGGTGCACGATTACCGGCACTGCGATGATGTTGCCAGCCTTGTTAACGGACCATCCGTTTCCCTAGACGACCCAGGAAACAGCTATGGCAAGATAACTGGGGGCCATGTGACTATATCTGGACCTAGGATTAAGGCTCGCGTGTTTCAAAAGCTGGACCCAGTCCGTCTGAGCGATGGCACCAAGGGTGTGGGCGACCAGTATAAGCTGGTTACCTCTGCCGGGACGGTCCTCTCCCGCGGAGCGTTTATAGACTATAATGTCTTTATGGACGAGTTGAGGGACTGGGACCTGTCCGTGTTAGTTATCGGCAAGGTGACGGTCGATGGCGAGCGCACCTATCCAGCTTTAATTCTGATGCAGGATGCTGACGGAAAAACACGGCGGGTCGGGACGGTGGAGATTACGCGCAGTGACCTGGGACATCAGAGTCTAGATGACTGTCCTGAGGTCAAGTATCGGCAGTACCAGATAGTATGATTGTCGGCTTTGCCTACAAGTTATAGACTTTTATATTGCCCAACGTAAACCATTCAACTGCACCGGGACTGCTTATATAGGCACTAGAAACAACAGTATGTCATAACACATCACTCTATAGTTTCTCCGGCTTTCCGTTCGCCTTCTCAATCCGCCGCCGCATATCCTTCAGATAGTACTTGTGTGGATAAGTCCGGATGAACTTGGGGATGACAGGATAGGTAATCTTGGTCAAGCCCATGGTGAGCATATACACCCTCTCCCGGCCCCTGGTATCCTTGAGCCCAAACTGCTCCCGCAGTCGCGGCGGGATCATGTACGTAGTCATGACCCGCAGGAGCGGGAGAAACGACCTGAGATAAACCGGCAATCTCTTATTCCGCAGCAAGTCATTAGCCACCTCCTTGGCCTCGGGAGAGACATCAAAGCCCTGTATTTGCTCGTCCCAGTACGCCCAAAACGCCTCGCGGTCCTGCGGCCACATCTCCGCCGGCACACGTAGGGAGGTCGCAAGGACGGCGTATTCGCGGTACAGCTGCTCAGCTTTGTCCTCGGTGATCGCGCCAAATACCCTTTCGTACAGATCAACCCCCACCGCGTACAGCGTCGCAGCTACCCAGAGCTGCAGCTGTGCGTCGTCGGCCGAGTAATCTAATCCCTTCACGACGGAATGGACGCGGTGCACCAGTTGGATCACGGTTTCTTTTTCCTGCGGCGACCCAAATACCATGCAATACACGTATGTCATGGTTGTGCGCAGCCGGTCGACCGGGCGGTAGGCGAAGTTGCTGTGGTTGCTCACGCCTTTGCCAACGCCTGGGTTCGCGACCTGTAGGAGGATGGCGGCTGCGCCGCCGGCGAGCAGGATGCCCTCGCGGAGGATGCGTTGGATGTGCTGAGGGTTGTTGAGGGCTGCGGTGATGGCCTCTGAGTGTTTCTCTGTTTGTAGGTCGGTGGTGGTCATCGTGAGAGAGAGTTGAAGTGCTCGAAAGTAGGAGAGAGAGCAGACAGTGGACAGATAGATTATCAAAATCAAAGGACATGGATGGTAGCGCATGACATCACCATATAAGAGTGTCATCTGCGAACACAGGGATATCGACTGTACGACTAGTATCATAAGGATGCCGGCGGCTTGCAGGCTCGGCCCAGCAACCGTGGACCGAGGAGAGGTCGGCGATCAACCTGTCTATCTAGTGTATGATCTGAGCGAATGGATTTACAGTGTCGTGGCGATCATGTTGTTTCTCCATTAGCCCCAACGTGTAGCACAGCTGGAGCAGCGATCTCTGATGAGTGAAAGTACGAAGACACGGAAGATGGTATTCCTAACTATTTCGAAGGCACATCATACGTGTCTTCCTGGCAGTTCACGTTCTTCCACTCCAGTCACACTGAGGCTGCTTCCTCATTTCCCGACATCCCATCAACTATTACCTGCTCGTGATCCTTCCTCCAGTCCTCATAGGTACGATACAAGCTGTTCCGGAGGGCGGGATGCTTTCGATAGTATGACACATGGTCGATCTCACAGACACCATTATGCTCGCCCTTGTGGTCGGCGCAGAAGGGACGATTGCACAGAACACATCGTTGGATTGGGAGTGTATCTGTCAGGTGTGGCTTCCTCTTCCGCATTCCGTCATGGACGTGGCATGAACCAGATTCGAAAGTATTGTTCTAAAGTGTTGTTAGACCCACGTTAAAAGTTAAGCTAGTGCGACATAGAGTACGGACCATTGTATAGACTTTGGCGTAGATTATGTTGATCGAGTTTGAAAGCACTGTTTAGAAGACCGAACACTGGGGAGCAGAGAAGAAAAGATGAGGGTGTCCAGTCTGAAGGTGGGTGCCATTGCGTAACAGTAGCATTGCCTGGCGTCAGCCATGTAATACGTCGAGTCATTCGTAGATGCGAAGACATGGGGTTTGCTTGTACAGCCACCTAGTAACAGTCCTAAGTCCATGGCTCACGACTTGTACACGCGTTCTCGGTATTGCGGGACACGATACAATTGACAGCTCTTCTTTGATCCCACTACCCAGGCCTTTCTTCAAGCGCAGATGAATACTGAGGCGGGGTCATAGAGAGGTACCTTCAGATCTACCTTGTACGATACTGTATCTTGCTTTGTACCATCACATGAAGCATAGAAGGGCTTGGATACCCAGCAACCTGACTGGACGTCCGCGAATAAGAGGGGTGAGGGCATTAGCATGCCCGGTTATCGGGCCTGTCAGGTGGCTTGGGTTGCTTGGACAAGTTAGACCAGGCTCTGCTCATGATTCCGTGCCGGTCCGCGGAAGCGAAGGGACTTGCTGCCCATAAGAGGGATAATGCTTGATAGTGTCGTGCTGCGTAGGGATTGATTGGGTTGATAAACAGCCACTGACACGCTGGCATTACAATGTGCGCCACTTCATGGTTCATATGACCGGAAGAAAGTACCGTAGGTAGATACTGTAGTAAAGAATGGCGGAGTAGAGACAAACGGTGAGCTAGGATACATTAGGATGTGTATCACGAGATATCTACTGTTTTCAAGGTCATTATTTGCGCACTTGCTCTACTTGGAGGATTGATAGTTCTCTACCAGGAACCGTTTGTACCAACTCATTCCTCATATCATTACCGTACGGCATATGACTACCTATATAACATCACTGTCGTTAACTTGATCGTGATTATCAATCATGCCGACATGAAACATGCGCCATGACACATCTCCCAACAAAGAACTACACCACTACACCGGGGCTTAAAGTTGGATTCCAGACAGGAGGTTCGTCAATAGGGGAAGCAGCTGGAGGATGGGTCAGTCTGGTCAATCATAATTCTAAGAAGGGTACTTACAGCAACTAGAGCCTTGACCAGCGGAATAATATTGTCAATCGCAGTCGTAAGGATGTCACCCTGGAAGATTGGTATCACCGCATGAACAAGCCCTGGAATGGAGTCCAGGACGGTCCCTATGTCGTTCACAAGCTGCGGCGTCAGAATACCAATCAAATCGTCCACAAGCTTCGAGATGATATCCCTGTTCAGCAAAGGCAGAAGTCTGTTGATAATCTTGGGCACCGCATCCAGGATGGATGTGATAGCGTTGCTCGAGATGACGTTGAGGAGACTCTGCAGGATCGGTGGAACAGCATCAAGGAGACCGCCAAGCTCATTCATGACTCTAGGTGTGATGAGAGCCTTGGTGATGTTCCTTGCTGGTTGCAGAATGTCCTTCGGTACCAAGGGGACAATCTTTTCCAGGAGAGGAGGCACGGTCTCGACAAAGTCACCGACCTCGCCGACCAAATCCTTCGTAACGATAGTCGAGATGACGCCCTCGACCGGACCAAGGAGATCCTGACTAAATATTGGGATGACGGTGTGCAGGAGAGGTGGGATTGCAGCGAGAACGGTACCCACGTCAGCGATGAACTGCTCCGTCAGGAGTCCTTTGACAGCTTTCACGAGTGCGAGGATGATGTCGACGTCGAGGATCGGCAGGATGGCATCGATGATCTTGGGAAGCCCAGAGATGAGGTTCTTCACTTGCTCGCTGCCGACAATTGGGATGAGATCGCCAACTATTGGGATGACAGCCTGGATCAGCGATGTGATTTCGTTGAGAAATCCTGGAGTCACGATGGTGGTGAGAAGGTTGCCGATAGCCTTGAAGAGTTCTGGAGTGAAGATAGGCATGAGGTCTTGCACGATGCCTGGAATGTAGCCAACGATCTTGCCGACATCGTTCACAAACTGCGGCGTGAGCAGGCTTGTAATTATATGGACGACCGACGAGAGAACGTTGCCATTCAGGAGCGGCAGGAGATCGTTGATGATTCCTGGAAGGGCATTCAAAACCGACTCGATCGCGTTAATCAGCTCCTTGGTCAGGATCTTGGGGAGTAGTTGCACGATCTCTGGAAGCAGGGGCAGCAAGGCGTTGATGACTCCTGGAAGGGCATCCAAGACTGACTCGACAGCAGAAATCAGCTCCTTCGTGAGAATCTTCGGAATCAGCTGCTCAATCATTGGGAGTAGCGGCAGCAACGAATTGAGAATGCCTGGCAAAGCATTCAACAGTGAGTCGACAGCCAAAATCAACTCCTTCGTAAGAATCTTCGGGATAAGTTGCTCGATCGTTGGAAGCAGTGGCAGGACTGCATTGAGGATGTCCGGAAAAGCATTCAACAGCGATTCGACAGCCGAGATCAATTCCTTGGTCAAGATCTTGGGAATGAGCTTCTCGATCTCAGGAAGCAGAGGCAGTAAGGCGTTGATAAGGCTAGGAACAGCATCTAAGAGGGTCTCGACGGCCGAGATCAGCTCTTTTGTGAGGATCTTCGAGATGAGCGTCTCGATCGGTGGAAGTAGTGGGAGGAGAGACTTCAACAGGCCAGGAACAGCCTCAAGAACCTTTCCGATCTCCGCGATGAATTTGGGGGTGAAGATGTCGACGATCAACTTCTGTATTGATGGCATGAGCGGAAGCAAACTGTTTACAAGGCCTGGCACTGCGTCAAGTAGTGATCCTAATGCCTTCACCAGTTGAGGCGTGACAATCTTCTTGAGAAGGTCCTCGAGAGTTGGAATTAGGGGCATGATCGTCTTCAGCAGACCTGGCAGATCCGCAAGCAATGTCTTGAGGTCGTTGATCAGCGCGGGTGTAAGGACCTCCTTGATAAGGTTGCCCAGAGGCTGTATAAGAGGCACGGCGGATTTAATAATTGATGGCAGGGAATTGATAAGCGATCCAATCTCCTTGATGAGCTCTGGTGTCAGAATGCTCTTCAACAGGTTGATGAGCGGCTGGATAATATCAGAACTGAGCAGCGGCAACACTTGGTGGAGAATTGATGGCAGATCTTTGAGCAAGGTGCGCAGATCGTTGACAAACTGTTCTGTCAAGAGACTCTTCACGATTTCCACTAATGGTTTAATCAGAGGTAGCAACTCATTGATGACGGATGGGATGTCCTTGAGCAGAGACTTGAGTTCATTGATCAGCTCTGGTGTGATGACGTCCGAGATAAACTCCACAAGTGGCTTGATCAAGGGCAAGAGGTCCTTCAACAGAGCCGGCAGGGTCTTGAGCAAGTCACTAAGCTCGCTCAGAACCTCTGGTGTCAGGACCTCCTTGACGATATTGATGAGTGGCTCCAGGACATCGGAGCTCAGAAGAGGCACGATGTCCTTCAAGATTGGAGGCAAAGCAGCGAGGAGGGCATCGATCTCGTTGATGAAATCGGGCGATACAATCGTGCTGACCAGCTTGGATAGAGGCTCCATCGTGCTGTTACCAAAGATGGGCGCCAAATCGTGCACCAACGGCCGCAATCCGGTCAGAATAGCGGACAGGTCGTTGACCAATTCCGGTGTTACATTGTCGGTGATCAACTTCTCCAACGCCTTCAGCAATTCTGGATTCAAAATAGGTTTGATGCCATCGAGCAGCTCGGGCAGCGCCTTCAGAAATGCTGTCACTTGATCGCTGGTGAGAAGATCCAGAATCTCAGCCAGGACCGGTGGAAGGGCAATGATATCCTGGATGATGTTGTCGAGGCTACCCAGAAAGCTGCCGTTCGAAAGCGTCGAGAAGAGCGTTGCCCCAGAGCCGCCAGAAGCACCAGAGACTAGTGGTTTCAGGCCGGCGAGCGTACTAATCATCTCCTTGCCCTCTTTGACTGTAGCGTCGTCAAAAAATTTGGCAGCTTGGTTGACCAACGATGCGGTATCCTGCACGAACCGGGGCGTGAACAGACTGGCAATGTTTTTAATGCCGTCCTCGAGGCTCGCAAGGCTATTGCTCGAGCCACTGTCCCCCAGACCGGGGAACAGGTCGCCCAGCAGACTATCGATCCCATTGCTGCCGGAGGACGACGATGATGACGGCGGCGTTGTCGACTCAGTACTTGGAGCAGCTGCCGTGCTTGATGTCGCCTTGACACTGTGTGCTGTTGACGAAGTAGGTTCAGTGTCAACGCTGGGAATGGAAAATGCCTTGGTGGCTGCGTTCGCCAGCGAAGAAAGGAAAGTTGCTACTGGTGGCTCCGCAGCATGGGTTGTCTTCTCATTGTCGAAAGCAGCAGCGGCAGCAGCAGTGCTCTCACTGGTCGTCGATGACTGAGGCGCAGCTTGAGCCACCACATTGTTGTTGGCTTCGACAGCAGTAGCCGTTGCGTTCTCAGCATCACGCTGGTTCAACACTCGGTCTGCCAGGGACCGGGCAGCCAGCAGCGTGACGAGGGTGTGAAGGGCTCTCATTTTCACTGAACTGTCGGCACGGCCCAAGCGGACTCCTTTAGGACAAAAGGATTGGACCCCAGGATTGGACCTGGGGTGCAATCGGTCTTATGAAGCCTCTAAGATTGATTGACACGAGGGGTCTATATTGAGGGCTTGCCGAGGACCCTCGCTGCATGGCCATCTTGGAGCTGCAGCGGAATCTCAGCGGCACAATCATCTCCTGTGTCATGTCTCTCGTGGAGGAATCCCTTCTAGCCCATTGTCTGACGGTGAAAACTTCCCGTGCATCAAAGCTAGCTCGGGTGCAGTCACCGTGATCATCGCCACCAGTGCCCGAGACATATCTGGCTTGGACTCACGGACTACAATCCATAAGCGAACTGACTCGCTGGTCCGTTTTAATCTAATTGACTTTCGGAAACAAATTCGGTGCCTCGGACCGCAACGGCGGGGGCGGTAGTGTGCTTGCGGGGAGAAGATAGCGTGCATGGATCGACTAGTCCCTGCAGCGTGACATGGAACATGGAGTCATGTGGATTCAGGCGTATCCATGCGTGTATAGTTGCTGCATGTGTCTGATTCTTTATAGATCATGCCGAGAGGTTTGATAGATGCAGGGTCTACATGGGTATGGATGTCTTCAGGATCTAAGTATGATTCATTTGACATTGTCAGGATATCATTTAACCGTGAATACATTAGAACAGCCATCACAGTATACTGGCATAACATTCGTTGCATAGAAAAATCATGTCACTCATTATCTCCCACACTCTTCGTCATATTGGGGCTGTTCGTCAAGTCTGTATTCCCCAACGCACTCGTCACATTTGAAATAGCGCCCGGATTTGATGTGATCAATTGTGACAGAGTCCCAAATAGCACCTTCAAAATGGGGACGTCCGCCGTGACTGTAAGGTTGTTGAGGACCTTTTCAAAATATGGGATGTGAAAGCCATTGTAGATCGTTGAATGGCCAGAAGCCGCCAGCATCAGATTCCCATGGCTAAGAGCATCTGCTTCAGCGGCTAGGATGGTCCCTAGATTGCTGACAGCTTTTCGTATGTCAAGAATCCCGCGTAGAGGAACTGTGTTATTGCCTGGTCTCAGCAAAACGTTGTCGATGGTTCCGTTGCCGAGGATAACGTCCCCGATCTTGAGGTTCAGAGTTACGTTGCCCTATGCCGTTGTAAGCTTGGAAGTATAAGAATCATTGGGACGAAACATACCAGAGCAAACGTAACCAAAGAGTGATTCGGCAGTGTAGCACGTCCTATCAGGTTCGACCCGTCCTCCTCCGGAGGGAGAGCGATACTGGCTGCGTCTATGGAAAATCCACTCAGCTGGTCAAGTCCTGTTGTGTATTAGTCCATTTCTGTAAACAAGTCCAGCGGCAAGTCATACCCGCAAGTTCGACATCTTTATCCAACGTCAACGGAACCTTGAGTTTGCCTAGATGTGCAGTCGTCTTTCCATAGGCAGACATGGTGAAGTTCTTCGAATAGACCGCTTTTGACAGAAACTTGGTGAGCTCCTCCTCGTCGAGAACCTCCACCGTCTGGTTGCTGATCGTGAGATGGGATTTTCCTTTCAGATAAACCGGTCCCAGCTCGGCAGTCACGTAAGGCTTTCGGGGCTTAACATCTCGGTCGAAGAGACTAAGATTGAATTTATCGACGGAGACTCCCAGTCCCAGCGGAACGTTGATAGTTGCAGCCAGGGAGAAGGTGATAGTATCTGGGGTTGGTCGTAGCACCTCTGCAGACTGGATTGGGATAGCGGCATCATCTACCAGTCTTTGGGCAATAGCTGGTAGAATGACGAGGAAGAAGACGGGCAGGAATATGGCGAGAAAGACCACTCCAAGCAAACCATAGCATATCCAAAACCGCTTAAAGTGCTTCCACAGTCTCGACCAGAACCTACGGGGCTTCTCTCGCTTCGCCCCGACGTAGTTGCCCATTTCCTCCTGGGCCCCATGGCGACTCGACGACCCATCTGAGTCCATAGACGCCTTTCCAGGGTCTATGTAAGTCGACTTAGACTTGGATGGTTCGCCGATAGGCATGGTGGGCAACTGTTGTCGCTGTTCTTGTCTGGACTTACGGGAGCCGGTGGATCAAACTCCAAAGAGTCCGGGGACGCTGACAATGATGCTGCGCCTGAAGTCGTATATTACAGTGGTGTCACCCCGGGCTAATCTATATTTACTCTTGTTCAGCAATCTACATTACAGTGCGGGGATGGCAGCACAGGCTAGAGCCACTCCAGATCTTAGCGGCATCCTCTAATCCTAGGCGAGAAACACACTTTTACCCGGGGTCGTTTACCCCAAGTTTCCACCTGATCGTCTTCTAGGAGTGATGCAACTATCAAGGCCGGCCGAGTGGTCTCCTCGGACCGTATACCGCGGCAGGCTCCCTCCTTGCATGTTACGTAGACGTTGAGACAATCATATGGACTGTGTGGACGCCATCTAAGGTATTAAATACACGATGCATGAAACGGCCTAACTCAGGGAGCAAGATCCTCAGCAACTTGTCAGTCTATACCCCTCCTTCACCAAGCCTGCCGCACAATGACTTCCCCGCGAGAGAAATCCCCTGCTACGCCGCGAGAGGACACTCCCGAGCCCTGGCAATCGACCGTCTCGGAGAAAGAGCCAAATGAGACCCTTGCCCTTGTACCCAGCGATGAGCTGCTTGACTCGCTGCAGAACTCCGAGCAAGTGCAGAAAGTGGTCCGAGAAGGCATTCTTCTTGCGGCAGGGGCGGCAGCTATCCTCCTGCAGGTCGCGATGCCCGGCGTTGCCAAAGGCGTTGACAACCATAGCAGCTTTGCATACCGCCCGCTACATCGACTCCGCACCACCCTCACATTTGTCTACTGCATGGCCTTTGGCACAAGGGAAGAGAAGAAGGGAATCATCACGATGGTCAACCGGGCCCATGCAGAGGTCAAAGGGCCGGACTATTCTGCTGATGACCCCGAGCTCCAGACCTGGGTTGCAGCGACCCTCTACGCCAGTGGCATCTATATCTACGAAGAGGTCTACGGTACCATGGAGCCCTTCCGCGCGGACCAGATCTACCAGGAGTTTTCCGTTCTGGCGGTGGCGCTGCGCGTGCCGCGGGAGAAGTGGCCCAAAAACCGCAAGGCCTTTTGGAAATACTGGAACAAGACGGTGACAAAGCTCGAGATCACTCCCCATGCGCGACACATCGCCGACGATCTACTATACAACAAGCACCTGTTTTTCCCTTTGCGGATGGCTCTGCCCCTTGTCCGCTTGACGACGGCGCAGATGCTGCCAGACAGGATTCGCGAAGGGTACGGGTTAAAGACAGGCAGCTTTCGGCGGACGTTTTATAAAACCACGATGTTGGGTGCCAGAATTGCCTACCCGGTGATTCCTCGCTTCATTCGAACGATCCCGATGAAATTTTACATGAGGGATATGCGGCGCCGTCTGCGAAACATGGCGTAATGGCAGTCTTCTTGGCTTTCCATTCTCTACCTGACTTTGCTGGTTTGTACTTTTCGACGCCAGAGAAACGAGACATGAAATTCTCTACCAGACTGTACATTTTCTTTCCGTGTGGTTATTTCGAGCAGTCAAGCAATGAATCAATGACCTGCCAAGCACTATACACTCCAAATAACGATCGTCGGGGGCTGGATCCCGTCAGGGCGGCCGAATCCACATGAGTGTTCCAGCGGGTTCAGCGGACCGAGGTGGCCGTAGCTGATCTTTAGCCTGGCGTGGCGTAACGAAATTAATCTATAACTACATACAGTGGTCATCTATATTCCCCCCGCATATGGTTGACAGCTCTGTGCCTTAATGAGCAAATTGGAGAGAACAAAAGAAAAGCCCTGGTTTGTCCGAAGACGGCTATATGGAGGGCCACAATATGATCACCACACGGGTACGCAAATTATTACAATCCGTAGCCTAATCTGACCCGCTACTCGTTTTCATCATCATGTGGAGCTTGAGCTTTCGGTAGTTAGTTGGGGTTCTAGAGAGGTCTGCATGGATGGCTCATTTTATGGAGATAGACCAACGCCTCATCATGTTTTACTCTATGGAAGTAGTAGACCCCCGGTCCCATACGTAGTGGGGAGATGGAATCAAGTCAGAATCTATTCCTAGCTTCTTTGGTCCCTAGTGAAATATATCTTTCATCTGTAGGCGGTTGACACTCCACCACTAGATCTCAAGATATTCTCCCCTTTTCCCAGTATCACACTTCCTAGCTAGTCACTATCACGAGGATCAGTATCAGTACATTGGTTTCCGATAGGGGCATCTCTTAAGAGTATCGAGTAATACTCACTATATAGGAAGAGAACGGCCAGAAACAATAGCAGAGACAGTGAAAAGTAGAACAATTGCTGAAAGGGCGTTCTGAGGGGGTTCAAAATAGAGTCAAAAGGGTCAGAACTGTAGGTTCCTTCGCCAGCCTCGAGGTCCAAATCTGCCTTGGAGCGAAGCTGGATCTGCGGACATACCGTCGTAGAATCGACCTTTCCCATGATTCCCGTTGGCTTCGGCGTGTTCAAATTGGGAAGAAACAAATGGCAGCATTATCACATTGTCAAAGATTTCTCCATCTGCCCGGTTTAAATCCATATGATCCCTCAACAGCGGAGATCTAGTCGCGTGCCGGCCTGTGATAGTCAATAGAATGAAGCCGGGCAAGTCAAATCATAGGCTTCGCCGCGGGTCCTAAACGGCACCATCCACTTGATTCAATGATTTGATCACATTTCGAGGAAATACTCCGAAGCAGTCTTAGTTGACAACTGACCCATACATCCTCCCCGCCCCAACGGCCGGCTCGGTCTGGTCAACCTAAAACCAGCTCGTTTTGAGCTAACGGTGGATCAAACCCTGCCAGATTAGCCTGCCTAAGTGCTGCTAGCAGGGAGCGGTCCGAGGCAAGCAAAGATGGGGCCACCCTGGCAAGAGGTCCCCGCGGGGTATTGCTTCCCCAGATGTTGGCGGAGTTATGCCACCTTGGGCCGGGGTGCCTTCAGCTTCAACGCACATTCCAACTAAGGAGCTAGTCATCCTCTCAGGAAGACAGCTTAGATGGCATGAGGTGCACTAGAATGCGATAAACACATAGAACCCATGTGAAAGTCGATTCCTGACCTCACCAAGTCCATTGACGCATCACCAACTACAAAATGCACTCCATAAAGGGCCGGAAATCTCCAGCACAACGCATCCGCAGAGCTGCCGCAGCCTGCTATCGATGCCACTGGCGTAAGGTTCGCTGTGACGCCGCTGTTCTTGGGTATCCTTGCACCAACTGCACACTTGATGGCATCGCCGGCTGCACTCTACGGCCCAACGCGACAGCTCGCTTCAGACGGCTTCAGAATGGCGATGAGACGAATGTTTCTCCCACACTGGCGGTCAGCGAGGCCCCTTCCTACTTCGATCCGTCTACGTTGAGTGAATACGAGACCCATTCGATGGCGGTAACCGCTCCGTTGCAGAATGCGCCTGACAGGATACACGACGATACGGAGTCATCTCTGCGACTGGATTTGGATGTTCCAGTACTTGGTCCTCCTATAGCTGATCCAACGCCTTTCATATTCGAGAATACAGGGACAGCGTTTCCCGGGCAGAGCTTTGTCGAGCTAGATCGACTATCATCCCTTGCTATGAATGATGTACAGGTTCTGATGGTAAACGGCTGTTTGGAGATACCCCCAAAAGCCGCGGTCAATATATTCGTGCGAAAATACTTCCTCTTGCTTCATCCTCTTCTTCCGATCATCGATGAGTCCCAGTTCTGGGAGATATACAACCAGTCCAACAAATACCTAAGCCGTCCGGGAAAGATATCGCTGTTTGTATTCCAGGCCATGCTCCTCGCCAGCTGCGCGGTATGTGGTATGTGTCCAGACACATTAAAGTTTTGTAGAGCTAATCGGGAATTGTCTTCCTCTTGTAGTTTGTCCCGATGGAGTACATTCAACAATGCGGCTTCCAAAATATACATGACGCACGGCGGGTTCTCTATCATCGAGCAAAGGCATGCAATTTGAAAGCCAGTATCCCCAACATTCCACGAGATATTCTAATATACCGTTTTGTTTGCAGGTCCTCTACAATACCGGCTTTGAGAGCGATCCGTTGGCGAGGGCCCAGGGAGCTCTTCTTCTCACATTCCACACGACAGCAGAAGACCCCCAGGCAACGATGACCTGGAACATATGTGCCATCCAAAACGCTATGACTGTAAGTTCCATTGCAAGTAATATTGACCTGCAGACCGCGGTGGTCGTTAAGAAACGTCTGTTCTGGTCGGTCTTTGTGCGAGATAGAATACTGTGGCTAGGGCGGCATCGCCAGCCGCAGTTCATTTCCGCTAATTTTAATATCGGAATGGGTCTCCTGGAGGAGTTTGATATCGCGGATGAAATAAATTCATCTCCAGTACATACACCCGACAGCAAGCGCTTGCTGTTGAAGCTCTTTCAAGCACAATGCCGGCTCGCGTTGATTCTGTCGGGCGTTAACGCGATCGCCTTTTCGGCGTCCGAGGCTTATTCTCCACAGTTGTCCGTTGAGGGACTACACTCAAGACTAGCCAAGGTGCAAATGTTGAGATCTAGACTAGCACAGTGGAGAGAAGTATGGATGCCGTTGCCCGAGACAGCTGCACCGGAGCAAGAAGCCATTGACATCTTGACAAATATCACATTGATGCATTACGAGTAAGTATCAATCTCTAATAAAACCAAATCTCTCTAGCTCATAGAATATTGCTTCTAGAAGCGCAAGAATTGCCTTGTCACACCATGAAACATTCCTCATCGAACAGCATCTCGAACTCATACAAGATCGATCATCGACTATGCTGCTGGGTATCGCAAAGGAACTGAAAGACTCAATATCTAACGTGACCCAGAAACTGTCGTACTTTGCCTCTGTGGGTTTGACCGAGAACATGCCGTTGAGCGTGTAAGTTTTATCTCTGAGTAGGTACGGGTGCGTTTCGCTGATGGGATAGCAGCCTTGCCTCTAGTGGAACTCCAATGGTTCTATCTGCGATAGACGTGAAGCTTTCATCATCACTGTCAGATATGCTTGACCGACGACGTACTTTAGACGACTGTTCCAAGATTATCAAACAGGCTGGAAAGGTGTACGACGTAACAGATTTCTTTTCCCAAGGAACCAACCACATCCTCCAACTGGCGTATGCCGTGACCAAGAATCTGTTCATTGACGATAAGACACATAGATCGGACGTGTTGACTGCTCAACCTGGGAATGAGGAAGGACAGGCACGAGCTATAGTCCCGGCATCCAACAGGCGACGAGTGAAAGGGTGGGTGGATGCCTTTATGAAGTATCCTCGCGCGTACCTTGTGATCTCTTCTTGTATTGACCACAGTCTTGCGACTGGGCGTCTACCACGAGATGAGCTACTGCCACCACTTATAAGGGGCTCTGTGTTTATGATTCTGGGGAGACCGAAGCTACCCTGGACGATCACAGCACCCACGAATTCCAGCACGGATCATGCGGGGAGATATAACGAGGAGAAACGTCAAGATCAAGACGGGAACCAAGAACCTGTTTCGCTTGTCGACACGCGGAACCCATTATTGGACGATCCCTGGTACTGGTCTCTCATACACGATGTAACGGCCGAGCCGCAACGCGCCTACGACGTAGGGGGTGTCTGCAGTGTTTCAGGCACTTCTATGCCTGATACTTTAGACCATTGTTGATAAGATATAGTTCAGTTGATCGACCGTTCTGGCATTTCGAAATATCTCTGGTTTATGTACATAACTGTTGTAAAGACAGCTTGATATTCCGTGCAATGCTGCATATCCACAGGTCTTAGGGCGGCATTCTCTATTGGCATATCTGTCGGATGGTATGTCTCAGCCAGTCCTTCCCATGGTCTGATCGTGGTCTTACTGACAACAAATAGGAGCATTGTTGTGCAGCTCACCGCGTCACGCAAATGCCACAAGGGCTTATATTGAGAACCCTGTCGCAATGAAGAGGACTATTGTTCATGTCTATGTTCTGATCCATGTTCCAAAGTATAACTCTTGATGTGAGCGAGATGTCATAAGCTACGCAGTATACAGTGTTTTAGAGATAATTCCCAGTTCCTTTGCTTTGTTGGCCAGCTCAATGTTGACATGTCGATGAAATTTAGAGGTAGGTCCATCAACGAGAACAGCACTCGAAATCTTGGTAACCCATGTGGAGCAGGACCCAGTTCTGTCTCGACTAACGCAGACGGCCAAAGTTATTCTTTTACTTAGTTCCTGAGCTCCCACCCGGAGTCGACGGCAAGCCAGTTCTGCTGCAGTTCGATGTGAACACCCTGGAAAAACTCATATCATTGCGAGAATAGGGGATATATGTGTTGATCACCTGGATCTGTGGCAAATCCGTTCCCTTCTTTCTATCTCAATTCTCCCGCCAGCCGCAGACGATCTGTCTAGCGCGCAATAGTATGGACCTCCAGCCGATGCCGCGTGGAACTAAAAAGAAACTAGACCCAACCCACGGCCAACGGGGCTCCGTCACTCTGAGTTCCCGTCGAACGTGTTCGTGCAGATGATCAGTGTCTCCATTCCTGGAGCCTACCGAGGTAACGAACAGAATCGGATAATCGGAGCTGATCTGGGGAGAAATATTCAAGATTCGACAACATGCCCAAGATACCCCAAACCCATTCAGCAGGGCTATGGCTCGCCTTTGCAATATTCGGGCTACTCCGTACAATACTGTGTACAAGTAGATATATGGCGACGCCACAGTGGGGATCCTCAAAGGAGCTAAGAGAATCCCCGGGACCTTGCAACGAGACACCTGCTCCACAAATCCTTCTTAGTTTCGTTTGACCACGCGGTTCTGGGTCTATCATTTCCTCTTCGATCGTGCATGGGATGTAGATCACTCAAATGGCCTGATGGCGGATTTATACGGCGAATGAATGACCACAGGGGGCAACTCATGTCCGGGACCCTGGTCCACCCCTATCGACAATGTTGTGCGGTGTTCGGCGCTCTCTTTGCCCCATGCTCCAGCCAAGATGAAGAGGAACTAGTGATTCCTATGTACATACTGCAATGCTGGCTCCACTCTGGCACATATTATACGGAGTAGACCCAATGTCGGCTTGAGTCGTCCGCACATCGTTGCTGAAGCCCGCCTGACACCGTGCGGTAATCCGGGCGCCGAAGCGTCCCCCGAGTACTTCGTACTCCTTAGATACTGGAGTATTCCAGGAATGAGCCTATCTCTCGCAGTGGGCCTGTCCTAGTGGATTCGTTAGGAGCTGCGTGGTTAGGTCTCAGTGGCGATAGGTAGTCCCTGTGAGAAGCATAAGTTGCCAGATTCGATGTGTAGTTGCTGGTTGTAGTGATCTGAAATCTATGCATAGAAGCCAAGGACTCTCTTCCCCGGAAAATCACGATAGTCGGTGGTCTAGGATACTCGAGCCGGGCGAAGGATCATGTTGCTGCGCACCATTTGCATCCGTATTCCTAGTGACATTGGGTGTCAAAGTCTATTGCTGCCCTAGTATCTACTAATAATCGCGATGGGACCAGCTGAGTTAAGTTAAATGATTGCGCACTGTCTCTGATTTCTTCCGTTTCCCGACTCCCTCTTCCTACTATAGTTCTGTGGAATACAAATCACCCCCCAGCCCGGGGAACTCCTTATATCATTTGATATTTGAATCTCCCGATGCGACTGGCACACATGAAGATTGTCATCTACGACCTCTCCTGATGACCCATGGCGACCACCACCGGCTTTACACCGGCGACCACTCCGCCGCCTGGGGAATCCTACAACTTCGTCGACCCTCCGTATATTGGGACGAAATATCTGGTGGTAAACTGCGTTTTCCTTCCGCTCGCCGCAATTGCGGTCTTTGTGCGGACGTGGACTCGGATTGTGATTGTGCGAAGCTTTCAATCCGATGATTGTGGGTGTTTGTACAAGCTCCTTCTGGATTTCGCTGACCGGGTGCAGATTTGATGATTGCTGCTTTTGTATGGATATCGCATTTTGTCTGCAGGCCAAAATTGACCAAATTTCACTAGGTGTTATCATGCGTCTTGACTGGAGTCACACTTACCAGTAAGTATACAGCCGGACGTCATGAAGGCCCAAACTGATCATTTTCCTGGACAGTGCTCAACTATGGACTGGGGAAGCACCTGTGGGACGTTCGTCTGGAGCACTTCAAACCATGGTTCAACAAGGTAGAATCGAATCACCGCCGGATAGCAGCGACTCCGACCACTAATCGGAACCCTCCTAGTTAAACGTCATCTCGGCCATCTTCTATTGCGCTGCCACCGGAATCACCAAGTGTTCCGTCCTCATCTTCTACATGCGCATCTTCCCGAGCCGGAACTTCCACATCGCCGTCTGGGCGATTGTCTTCATCGCGGCGGGATACTCGATCGCCAGCGTGCTCGCCAACGTCTTCAGCTGCGCCCCGGTTGAAAAGGCATGGGACCTCGAACTGAAGGGCAGCTGCATGAACCGACCGGTCTTTTACTTTGCGAACGCGGGACTGGGGATCTTTACGGATTTTGCGACAGTCGTGGTTCCGATGTATGTCCATCCCTTCGACCATGAACATAAGTGACGGTGCTAATGGTGGTAGTCCCTGGCTCCGACGCCTGCAGATGCCTCTACGACAGAAGATTGCTGTTGGGTCGATTCTGGCCATGGGTTGTTTGTGAGTGTGCCCTTTATACCAAATCGGACTCGACTGACGACAACAGCGTGGGTATCGTCAGCTGTATCCGACTGGCGTCGCTGTATACCCTCATGAACACCACCGATCTGACCTGTAAGTCTGATTTCTCGCTTCGAGGACCTTCCTTCTGACTAGGTGTAGGGGCTACAACAAACGCTCTGATGTGGTGTACGATCGAGCTAAACCTCGGTATCGGACTGGGCTGCGTCACAGCAATGCGACCGTTCGTGCGGAGATACTTCCCCCGTCTGCTGGGACTCTCATCGAATTCATATCCGTCGACGCGCAAGTATGGTCATCCGCTGGGATCGATGCCCCGTAGCAACAACCCTGACTTTTCCGGGAACCGAAGCCACCAGTACTCGACGACCCTGACGACATTGAAGAGTGCGCCTGGAAATGAAAGCGAAGAGCATATATTATCGTCTGCCGACGCACAGGGGAAATCCCATGGGGTCGTGGACGGGATTGTTCGGACGGTCGAGTTCGACGTGGAGAACGCTAGGAAGGAACGGTGATGCCACTGCCTAAGATATGGTTGTTGTCTTTGCTGTCACGATTTTTCTGTAATATGCTGGTTCTGTTGGATGGCGATGGAGTTGTCGGATGTTTTCACTATGTAGAGGCCTGCTCGGATGGAGTTTCTGTTTCCTCCGTAGTGTCGTGGGCCAGCACCCACTTGGCCAGGACCATTATCACCAAAGGACTACTAACAATGCCAATGATATAGCAGCGGGGTTCGATTCCAATTACCCTTTGCCAATCAACCGCGCACATTCCAACGAACGGGTCCATGCTACGCAGGCTGGGGATGCAGTGGACCGCTCTCCACCCCTGGTGCATTCCTAGGGCCTGCTAGGGTTCCTGCTAGCCCGCACTAGGTGTCTCTTCCGATGAGTGGGATCTTCACCAGGGAATGGTCTCAGCTGCGTTGCGTAGACAAATTTCGAGGACTTGATGGTGGAATCCACATTAATCACGGCCGGCTCCACTGGCCTAGTACAGAGTAGTTCTGATGAACTCTGACAAGTCTTCAGCCAGACTAACGATCTTAGCGTCTCCAGTGAGCTTGACACAGGCTCCGCTGGCTGCCGGAGCCCTCCTGATTCATGCCTCCGCTGCAGGCTCATATGACAGACAGCCTTTCCCGAATTGTGGGAATTTCTGGAGTTACCTCCGCAAGTCTCTGGGATCGTGACACCCCGATCATCCATGATGCACGCAGTATCTACGCTTGTGTCCTTCGCGGGTGCGGTTTTTGGATCGCACCTGGTCGACGCGTCGACTGTTCCGAACGGCTGCACCGCGCTGAGTGCCCGTCTCAGTGATGTCGTCTTCTTCCAAAACAGCTCGGTCTACCAGTATGAAGCGCAGGAATTCTGGTCCAACACCGAGAAGATGTCGCCCAGCTGCGTGTTTCGCCCACAATCGAGTCAGCAGTTGGCCAAGGGGCTGGAGTCGCTGGTCGATGCGGAGGCCAAATTTGCCGTGCGAGGAGGCGGCCATATGGGTATTCGCGTGGGTGATGTCGTCGATCAATAATGGGACAGTACTAATCCTATGAATAGGGCTCCAACAATATTGACAACGGAGTACTTATTGTCATGTCGAACTTGACGACGATGAAGTTGTCCCCGGATCACTCGGTTCTCTCGCTCGGTCCTGCTTATCGGTGAGTTCTATCCCGCTTCGGATCTGGAGTTCCTCTAACCCAGCGCAGATGGGAGGACGTCTACTCCTATCTCCAGAAGGATGATTTGTCTGTGGCTGGCGGACGTCTGGGCCCTGTCGGAGTGCCCGGTTTGCTCCTTGCCGGCGGTGTCAACTTCTACGGCAACCAGGTGGGCTGGGGATGTGACACGGTGATCAACTACGAGGTTGTTCTGGCAAACGGTTCCATCGTACAGGCCAACAAGGCCTCCTACCCGGATCTGTTCTGGGCGTTGAAGGGCGGGAGCAGCAACTTTGGCATTGTCACGCGGTTCGATATCGAGACTTTCAAGTCGCCTCGCGTGTGGGCTGGTTCGCATACCGTGGCGGCCAAGTATGTAGATCGGTTCTTGGAGGTATATCCATGTCCATCCCTATTATCGTGTTCGATTTTGTGCTGACAACCTAGGCTGCTGCTAAATACGCCTCCGACATCTACGACCCCAAGACGCACATCGTGCCCGCCCTAGTCCCTGGCGACGAGCTCCTGGCATCTGTCATTCTCTTCTACGACAGCCCGAACACAAGCTACCCCGAGATCTTCAAGCCGTTCACCGACATCCCGGCCATCAGCAGCACGCTTGGTTTCAAGACCGTGTCAGAGTTTGCGGCGGAAACCGGTGCGATGGTGGTCCCCAACATCAAGTACGTCCAGTGCCACCAGGTTCATCTATTTGCAACTGACGAGTGATGTAGCGATGTCTTTGTGGCCGGTACCGTGGTAGGAACGACGTACGATGAACTCCTCCAAGGCATCAAGATCATCAACACGACCTTCTTCAACGAGCTGCCGAAGCTGTACGCGCAGATCCCCGCCGCCAACATCTCCACCATCCAGCTGGACTGGCAGCCCATCGGTGCCGACTGGATGGCCGCCTCGGCCGCCAAGGGCGGTAACGCTTTGGGCCTGGATCCTTCCAAGGTCTACCTCTGCTACGCCGAGGTGGTGGAATGGATCGGCTCTGTGTACGATGATATTGTCGCGAAGTGGGTGGAGGACACCACGTACAAGATCAACAATGCCACACAGGCGGCGGGCCTGTACGATCCCTTCAACTATATGGGCGACTCGGCCGGGTTCCAGTCTATCTTCCCGGGCTACGGAGAGACTAATCATCGCAAGTTGCAAAAGATTGCGCGCAAGTATGACCCCTCGGGTGTCTTTCAAACTCTGATGCCGGGTGGATTCAAGGTGTTCTAAGCTGCCCGCGTCTTGTACTGTACATAGTGACCACCTTTATATAGACGGAAATCGTATGCAGTTAATTTCTCGAAATGTCGACAGGTTTCGCTTAGCCCTCAGGGTCTTTGACTTACAGAATACAGTTGGGGAAACGCCCTCAGCCAGTTGGAGTGAGCAGATAGCTAATCAGTCTGGCTATCTGTCATATTGTACCTAATTCGCGTGTCCCTCGCCTTCGCCTACCTAGACAAGTCTGTGCAGTCGTCAATCTACCATGGTTCATGGTACCATCGGAGTATCTCGGGTCTACTCTTTGTGGCCCTGAACCTCGCCCGTCCAATGTTCTACTTGGTACTCCTGGAGGAGTCGTACCAATCGCTACCAAATGCATTATAGCTGTATTCTTCCTATTAAAATCATCCAAAATCAGACTCATATCCCATGTTCCGAGGGCCTCTTGATCTAGGCTCCGATAACCTTTGTCATTTCCTGGTTACGGAACGAAAAGTATCGTTCCCATCTCTGCTGATAATCATATGACAGGCAGTCTATCAACGGGAATGACGCATTGATGAAATTGTGGCATCAATATAAAGCCTCATATCCGATCCAGCGTCCCTTTTTCTGCAGTTGGAAGATGCCAGGTACTTCTGCTCCCGGCATAAACAACATTCCCTTCTCTCCACGGGCAAGACCATCCATTATCATTTCCTCATTCAATAACCCACGCTGGGCTCAACAAAGGTATATACAAGATGTCCACTCCAACTACACGAATGGAGCGCCACACAACGGATGCCCACATCCACAAAGAAGGGCGCCACGTTCAGGAAATGCCCGATGGCGATCTAATCGGACATGGGGAAGCCAAGGAAAGGATTTATCGGCGGTTGTTGAAAAAGCCGGATGCCGCTCTGGTCAAAGACGGAGAACGGTCGAGACTGCTCAAGGACGAGGGCATGGACTACAGGCTCACTGGGAGATACACATGCGAAAATAAAAAGCTAGACTCCACTCGCCGTGTACAGACCCTTTGGGGATGGTATTTGAAATGGGAAGGCGACCGTTGGACCAAGTATGACTTTGAAGTGTCAGTGAGGCCTCATGGATATTATTGACTCTGGGGTGTCTGTTGGATTGTAAAGACGTCTATGGGGAGGATTGAACTTGGTATCTGCGCGTGTCCTGTGTTTTCCGGGATAGTCTGGCTGAAAGATTCTCTGAAAGGCATACGCAGATCATCAGTGATTCGCACAATTGCTATGCCTACCCGACATATACCTGAGTTTTACCATGTTTGTTGATAAAGAGTGGAAAACGAGGACGGCAAATTGAGTATCCTTCCTCGTGTCTATTGTTTATGAAGCTTCCCCTTGTATCTAACAAAAGTCCAGTGTGATTAACTACATGTTATCAATGTTGACTTCTGTCTGGTTGCATCCTATGCATACTCCGCGGACAGGAAGGTATCGCAATTTATCGCAATTGAGTATAATCCATATCTAATGTTGCTTCAATTACCTTGTATTGCTCCAGTTAACCACTATTCGTGGTGCTTGTTTCTTCCTTGGATCCAGATATCATGTCCAGCCATCAAAGGCATAAGTCAGGTCTCCAACCGGCTTTCCCAGCAGCCATGTCCTATTTATCAGAGAATCAAGTGCGTAGTTACATAAATATCGAACCGTAAATTCATCCATCAAGACATCTAAATCCTGGTAACCATCCGCATGCTTAATTTCTAAACACCAGCAGACTTGATCAAGAACTGCGCCGCCTCCTCAGCATCAGCCCCGTAGCTAATGTGCGCTATGACATTAGCCCCATTCAGACAGACCGGGTCACCCTGCGCACAAAACTCCTTGACCTTAGAGGATTCAACATTCTCCACAGCCTGCGACCTGAACGGATCCCCAAACAGCACCGCGCCCGATACCTGTCCGCTGCTTAGCTTGCTCGCCGCGTTGTGCACGACCATCGCACCCTGCGAGTATCCGCCGAGCACGACCTTTGTGTTGGCGCACTGCTTCAGCGCCTGTTGCACGAGCTGGGCCATTTGCGGGCCGCCTTCTGCGCCCATTGCCGCGTTGCCCTGCTTTAATTAGTATCCCCGATAGCGCGGAGAATGGAAGCGATGTACGCACCGCAGCTGAGGCTGCGTAATCCACCCCCTGGATTACCACCTTGTTGTTTGTCAACGACTTCAGCTTCTCAGCTACCGCTGGGCCGACGGTGTTGCCCATGTTACCGAGCTCCGTGGTGCCGCGGGCGAAGATAAAGGTCAACGGCTGGCAGGCGTCTTTGTCGGTGACGCCGTTGGCAGTGGAGGAGCCTATTCCAGCGCGTTTAGTGTGGGTCTCTGCGTTATTTAACTCTGTCTTCTGATGTCACTTGAAAGAGTGCGTTCGTACCTCCCAGACCGCCCAGCAGACTGCTGAGGCCGCTGCCGGATCCGCTGCTGCTGCTGCTGCTGCTCCCAAACAGAGAACCCAGATTACCCAAACTGGGAATGGAACCAGTGGAGGAGCCGGAACCCAACAAGTTGCCGAGTCCACCCAGGCCTCCCAGTCCAGAGAGACCGGATGGGATGGGGAAGAGCGAGGCCAGGGAGCCCAGCCCACTGCTGGTACCTAGAGAGGAAAGATCGCCGAGTTGTCGGTTCTCGATGGTCTTGGTCGGTGCACCCAAGGCGCTGCCGAGAAGAGAAAGAGTAAAGAAGGTGGCCTTCATGGTGAAAATGTAACGAATGGATTGATGAAAGGGAAATAGTGAGACCAGCTCAGTAGAGATGAACGAGTGAAGGGTAGAACGAAAGAGCTTGATGCTTTCTCATGTTTTCAAGGTGAAAGAGCTTCAATTTATACTTGATTCCATCGATCTTTTCAAACTTGAGACTGGGATAAAGTTTTGATACCCCTACTAGGGCGTCGGACTGATTGCCCGTGAGACATGGACGTTGTTTCATCTGCCCTGCACCGAGGTATAGGGCTGCGAACGGCTTTTGGGATGTGAGCGTAGCCTACCGGATAATGTACCGAGGACACATCAATCAATCATAACGATACGCCTCACTTGGTGTGAGAGGCGTGTGTTGCCTGTCCTACCTGGGACTCTCAGTCAATTCTTGTATCTCGAACCCAGTTCTATGCAATTCCAGACACAGAACAGCTGGATACCGGCGCTCGAATGCCGGCCTCGGTAGGAGGTACGAGCGCGAGGGCGATTTCGGCGATTTGGTGACCAAATACCAACTATACGTATATGGCTGTCTCAGGTTGAGACCATCCCAGACAGCCCCGAGTTTGATGCATGTGACATGCAACGCTAAAGCGTGATTGTCTGCGACTTCAATGGATAGATCAGCTGGCGCGATTTTTCCTACAAGGTGCTGTAGATCTAGTTCGGCGTGGGTCTCACTTAGGGCTTGGTTCTCAAAAATGAGACATCCTTTCCATACGGGGTAATCTGGCCGCCCCGAGGATACTCCGCACCGAGGATTCCGATATTTTGATGTATCAGATGCAGCAGAAGAGTTGGTACTTTGAGGCAGGCTGGATCGTCTCAGACTGATTGCGATCAGAAGCAATGCTTATTGTGAGACCCATAGCACAGACCTGTAAGATGCGTTCAAGAAACTTCCGATACGACCTTCTACGCATCTCCGTGCTGCTTACCCCGGTGTGCATACGTAGACAATTCTTACTGTTCTGATATTGATTTACGCCATCTCCAAATGGCTTTCCATGTATGGCAGGTGTTGCGGACGAACAGCGTCAAGCAACTTGGCCATCTGACTTCATCGCTTCATCCGAGCCAAACTACCATGGTCATCTAGATCATGCCCTGATTGTCTTCACACACAAGGGAAATCAAAGAGCAGAAATCAGGTATGCCGCAACTAACCCGGATAAAAGCCCTGTAAACTCTCGTTAACATAGTCAAGAGTCATCACCCGCGGGACACCCACCCAGGATATATGCAGACAACATCATCCATTTCCCTTCAGATCCGGGCAACGGTTGGTCATGCGGAGTGTACAGCGCTATTTCAGTCTTGTTTGCAGGCGTCGTGTCACCTGCTTCCTCATCGAAGTCCCCTTCCGAGATTCCTCTGGTAGACTCGGTCCTCTCTGGCTCATCTCCAAAAAGTCGCATATTCCGCTCGACCAACGCGATCAATTCTTCCTCGCCCTCAGCAAAATGCTTCTCTCTGATAATATCAACCAATGTCATCCGGATGCCGGTACCGTCAGGATTAGGATATTTTTCTGATGTCACAGGACCATCAAAGACGTGCTGTAGATCAATCTCGTCCAGGCGACGTCTTTCTCTTCCGAGAACCAGAGTACATGGTGCAGAAGACCCAGTGGGCCATTCTTCGTTCGGAACGGACATTATAAAATGGGGGTCGGCTCCGTTCTCCAGGAGCCATCTCCAAATGCACAGACCCCGGGATTGTCCTTCTAGAATCACCCACAATATGAAATGTTGCCAAACAGTAATCTCGTGACTATTAACTGCCCTTGCAGACGGTGCGAGTGTTGTCATTGTTTGCGGCGATAACCCTCTTTCTCGTAACGTATCCAGTATCTGGTAGAATGCCGCGGATTCCTCGCTCTCGTGTACGTAAAGTAGGCTGTAAAAAAGCAAGACGAGGTGGAACGGGGTCGGCGCGACTGATGGGTCATGGGCCAATTTCCATTGCACGTATCCCAAGTTTTCGAACCAAGCTGACAGATAGAAAGGGTGAGACATGTGATACACGCGATCTTCTGCTTTATGTTCGCTATTACACGCAATCTGCTCATAATCACCATAGTCCACATCTACCGGGATGATGATATCGTAATAAGGGTCTTGATCTGTGATGGTCCTCGCCCCCAGCCGAGTAAGAACAGACCACATTTGCTCCTCGAAATGGAACGGCGCTTTCCCAATCTTTGCGACCTTCCTCATTGTTATAATGTCGGAGGTGATGTAGCTCAGCCACACCTGGCCAGCGGCTCCCTGGGGTAAGTTACCTATATCCTTGGCCCACAGGTAGGCCAGAAAAAGGTATGACGCTGCGTCCTCCGCGCAAAAGTCTCGGAGATGTTTTTCCATTTCTTTGGTATCCAGTGACTCGACAAACTCGGGGACAGATCGATGCGTGAAAGCGATGGTCGCTCCGGTGACTAAATCACGGTAGTTCGTTTGTGTAGGTTCGAACAGTCCTCCACAGTAGCCCATGAGCATACCCCGTGCTTGTTTGAGCCGGTCACTTTCAGACATCCGCTCTTGATGAGAAATCTCGCAGCTGTCAAAATCCGAGTCACCGGTGTAATGGTCGATGAACGGGTAGCAGAGAAGTGGCAGAGGCAATCTGTATTCGCCCAGTTTCCGAATGATTGCAAACGTTCGATACGCGCGTCTCAGGTCAGAGGAAGCGAGCGACTGGATAACATGGCTGAAGAGGTTGTACAGTCCCTCAGGAGCTTGGTCAATCTCCTTCTGGAGTATGTTCCAGCTGACTTTGCTCTCGTGGAGATATTGTAACCGACTAGTAACTAATGCCACCCAAAGGAATATGCCGTCAGCCTTTTTGATCATGGATTTAATCAACTCCGCCCATCCCTCTGTCCCTCGCGCAAAACTCATTCGGTCACGGATATAGATTCTCATATCTTCTTCCGTAAGACGCTGCATGTATAGTCGTCGCTCAGATGGCAAATTCTCCAGAAAAACATTGTACTCTCTGCTAGACGCGCAGATTTTGAGCCGGCCTTTGGATTCAGCACACCAGCAGGATAGAGTCTGGGCTAGATGGCGATGCTGATCGCTATCACTCCCTTTGCACTCCTCGTCCTTGCACTCGTCCAGACCATCGATGAAGAAACAGATGCGCAAATCCTCGGACTGGCAGCACACCAGGCGGTACATGGCGTGTTGAAGCGTCTTAAGCGGGAAGTCGACTTTGGCGTTTGCCTGCCAGGGTTTGGACTGGATCTCCTTCCATTGCTCTGGCAGCACCTCAGGGATCAGGCTGGGTATCACCGAGAGAGTCTTGTAGAGGAGTGCTCTATATAGTCCACGCACCGAATGCTGCAAGTTTGATCCAGGTCTCCAGAAAAAGAAGTGTGCCATGATGAGCCTCTCATGGCCCGCCCATTTCTCTAGCATGTTCTTTGTGCGAAGGTCCGGATACAGGAACTTCATCAGAGCTGACTTTCCGGATCCCAGTTTGCCGGAGACGTGGTAGATTCCATCTTCGAACGACAACCACGATTTGAATTGTTCCCGGATCGTATCATGGTATTCATAATCCTTGAAGAATTTCGCATATATGTCATTGCTGTACTCGTGACAGCTGAAGATCCACTCGAAAGTTCTCTCATGCGCATACGGGACGATATGAAATCGAGAGTCCATTTCGTCAAACCGGAGATTTTCGAGTAGGCGATGGGAGTGCACTGTGACGTACAGGCCGTGCGACAGTCCGAGCAGATCTCGAATTGCTTGTCTCAACTGGGCATCGCTCGTCTTTACCGTCCGCTTAAGATCACCCACCTGCTTCTGAATCTGGATGATTCGATCGCCATTCTTGTCGAAGTCTCTTGCAAGGCGCTCCAGCCGGTCCTTGACCTCGGACCTGCCAACGTCAGCATTTTCTTCTCCCTACTTCAAACAGATGCGATGAGCGTACGTGGTTACCCAATTCAGTTGCACGACCAACTGATCCCTATACCGCTCCATTTTCGCCTGTAAGCTCGAGAGCTCCTTTCCATACCGAAGACCCTTGATCCCACTGCCCCAGCTTTGGAGACGGGACCCTGGATCCTTGGGCTTGATTTTGTTTAGGAGTTTTTGAATATCCGCCGCCGCTGCGCGACACTCCTTTGCCAGAGAAATCGTGCCCTTGTATTGGTCGTCGACGCTCTGATTTGGGGGGATGAGCTTGTCAGTGAACTCGCGCATCTGCTGCGCAATGAATTCATGGGTGAGAGCATCCTGCGTAACCCCGGCAGCCGAGTTCTGGATTTCACGCACATCCGTGAGCAACTTCCGTCCGAAATCGATGAACGAGATGATGTTGGAGACGAGTTCAATGATGGACAGAGGATCCATGATGGGGTGGTATCTTGCCAGGTGCTGTGAGATGGACTGAGGGGTCAGATTGAAATCGTGCGGCTGACTGCATAATTGCTTTTAGCGGGATGTCGGTCTGTCCGTACCTGCAACGGGGCACTTCCTGCTGCGAGTGCTATGACACTGACCAAGATCTGAGAGCGGTAAAAATACAAACATATGAGAATATATGCTGTTCACTGGAAGATTACCTATCTTGTTAACCAGCAGAGCCAGCAGCAATCCTGTTGTCTCCAGCCACCCATCGAGGGGTATACTTAGCTAGGCGGCTAGTTAACTACCTGCTAGCCACTCGCTAACCAGGTCATCATTGGGAGGCCATGGGATGACTGCTCTCTTGGCATCTTTGTCTCTTAGACACAGGAAGTCTACCTCTCATCGTGTTCTCCTTCTCAAACTTCTGAACAGCACTGGGAGCTGCTGTTCATCTAGAGCAGCATCTTCTAGAGCAGTAGCCCTATGGGTTACACTACCACCTGCGCGTGATATATAGAGCCATGAAGCAAGGGCGGTCTGCATCTTGCCAGCTAGGCAATACTTACATGTCCAGGTTATATCCCTCCAAGTTATGCATCCCAATGCCAGACATGATCTACAATACAAATGTTACACCTCGACGGGATGAGCTACATCGGACCACCACGGTGACATTCTTGTGGGACATGCGTAGCATCTCATCAGTCAACTGTGCCTGTTGAATGCCATCTTCCCAGCAATCTCTATCGCCCTGCCATTGAACCCTGGCGGCAACCGATCTCATTTCCACCAGACCCTCCATGCTGAAACTGCCAAGCATGATCTGTTCGGGAAATTAACGCCACAGGATCTCGTTCGCAACAAACGGTCGTTCCTAATCTTCCGGTTGGTCTGATCGGAGGTTTTAGTGCGTGATTAGGCGCTGTTTAATCTGTGGTGCAGCAGCCATGATTGGTGGCGGTTTCATCTCTTTGTTGTAGAGTCGAGATGAGTAGGTATATATACTCACCGTTCACTACAGCTTCAGCATCGTAGAGCAGGTTTTCTCAACTATCTTCCCATTCTTACGCTCCTTGGTCTTATAAATTCTCTTTCTACTGTCATTCCTTCAACTTTGTTTATCCTCTTTCTTTCATTGCATCTTCCTTGTTTGCTTCTGCATTCTCTATTCACTCTCACGCTCACTCAAACTGGCAATGTCTAGATTACTCCTCTTCTTCCTCCTCTCCCTAGCCTCCTGCCACACCACCTTCACCACCCTCTACGTCGACACCGTGAACCAAGGCGATGGCGTCTGCGTGCGCATGAACCGCAACGCCGAGAAAGCCTCCGACCCCATTTACCCTATTACCAGCAAGAACATGGCCTGCGGTGCGTCCTCCCTCCCCTTCAATCTACACCCTCATCTCCTAACATCTACAGGCTACGACGGCGAGAAAGCCGTCTCCCGCGTCTGTCCCGCCAAGGCCTCCTCGCTCCTCACCTTCGAGTTCCGCGAGTACCCCGACGCCGCCCAGCCCGGCGCCATCGACATCAGCCACAAGGGTCCCTGCGCGGTGTACATGAAGAAGGTCGACGACGCAACGGCCGACGACAACGCCGCCGGCGACGGCTGGTTCAAGGTCTGGCAGGAGGACTATGACTCCACCGCGGGGAAATGGTGCACGGAGAAGCTCATTGATAACGACGGGTTTCTGTCTGTGCGTGTTCCTGGGGATATTGTCCAGGGGGATTATCTTGTTCGGACGGAGTTGCTGGCGCTGCATAATGCCGATGCGAACCCGCCTGATCCCCAGTTTTATGTCGGCTGTGCGCAGGTGTTTGTCCAGGGCGGTGGGAGCGCGAAGCCCGAGACTGTGAGCATTGGCGAAGGGACGTATCATCTGGATGGTATGCCCGGGTTGACGTTCAATATCTATGATCAGCCAATGAAGCTGCCGTATCCGATGTTTGGGCCGAAGGTCTATCAGTCGGGGGAGGCGAATGTCGCGGCGAATGTCAAGGTCGCCAGTGCGCAGCAGGTGCAGCAGCACGGTCTGAAGCCGGAAGGGTGTATCCTCGTCCGGGACAATTGGTGTGGGTTTGAGGTTCCCGAGTATTCCACTGAGGATGGATGCTGGTCTGTGAGTATTTCCTGAACTCGGCCGATATGAGCGCAGGCTAACTGTTCAGTCTTCCGAGAAATGCTGGGAGCAGAGCGACATGTGCTGGAACACTGCTCTTCCTACTGGTAACTCTGTGTGCCAGGTCTGGCAGGACAAGTGTTCCGCCATCGACGAAGCGTGCAGCAGCGGCGACTACAACGGACCCCCAAACAAAGGCAAGGATCTCACCCCGCCGCTGAAGGCCATCCAGGGGTCTACGAAGGTATTCACGAGCACGACCAAGCGGGCGCACCGTGCGCGCCGCGGACACGGACACTGATGATGTACATGATTTACGATGGCGTTGGACAACTAGTCTGTAGATAGTCTGCGACGGATTGTGTCGATTCTCCGGTCGGATTGCAGTGGCCTTAGGTAGCAGATAGCTGGTCTATTCTCTGAGCTCACCTCAATTCAACTCCTGGCCTGCTGGCGGACTCCCCCATCAATCGCCCGCAGTAAAACATAAAGCGTCTCTAACAACGGCGTCTGCACACCCAACTCCCGGCCCTTGCGCATCGGATACCCAAGGATAACCTCAATCTCCATCGCACGCTGACTAGCACGATCCATCTGCATGCTCGTCGTCACCGGCGGCAGGGAATTGATCTTTTCGATGAGCCGGTCCACCAGGCCGTGCTCGAGCGGTACACCGCACGCTTGTCCCACGGCGAGCACCTCGTGCATCAGTCGGCGCGTCCAGGGCTCGGCGTCAGCAGACGACGCCAACCACGCGTGCGTGTCCATGCAGGTCAACGCCGTAGTGGCGTTCCACGCGCAGTTCCACACGACTTTCTCCCACTTGCGACGCTGGATGTCATCCACTACCTGGAAGTTGGTTCCCCCTTGACGGAGTAGCAATGCGAACGTCTCTACGCGCTGATTCTCCAGATCCACGTCCAATGCAGGGTTCGGGAAGAGGCCCAGCTCGGTGTGCTCTGAGACGGTGTGGTGGACGTGTCCGGGGCTGGGCTGGCTTGCGCCGACCCAGGCCTAGCTTGTTAGGTTTTATCTTTAAGTAGGTTGACAGAACTTACGACGCAGCTGATGATCGAGCACGCCGGGAACGCCTTGCGGAAGGGCTCTTCGTTCCCCACGCCGTTCTGGATGATGACTATCGTTGTGCTCTCGCTGATAGCAGGGGCCAATTTGGCCACTACGTCCTCTGTGTCGATGGCTTTGTTTGCGCAGATCACGTAGTCAAAGGTTTTTCCTGCTTCGCGAGGCAATCGGACCACTGCGATGTCAGGTTTCCTCTCGGGTCGAGACGAGGGAATCATACCTTGGTGTGGATGGAAGCGATGTTGGCCATGATTCGCACTATCAATCAGGACGCCCTATCGCAGTCAGTTACGGCCTCGATCTGTGCCTTTGCTTCAAATACCTCCGACTTGACAGCGTCGTAGTTGGACCGAGCCACCACCGTCAATCGGACTTGAGGGCAGCGCTGGAGGATGAAGGCGTAGAAGGAGCCGATTCTGCGTGTGTTAGGGAAATCCACAAAGGCTAGATACACACTTACGCCCCCAGTCCGAAGAGCAGAACCTCGATCCGTGAATTCTGGTCCATTGCGTGGCACTGGTAGAGGTTCTTTCAAGGTCGTGGCGGGATATTTGCTGAGGCGGGGCTATCCGATAGCGGGGACTGGCGTTAGGGCTATCTTGTTGTCTTCACGCCCTGGGAGTGACAAGTTATACGAGGCTGCAACCACAATGGGATGTCAAACGTTCCTTCGTGTATCAATTATATATACATATCCCAATTCCAACACCAAAATCTATTTTACAACCCAAACCAATCCATTCATATCACATTATTCATTAGGGCAACGCGGAGGCGGACTCTCCGCAATCACCTGAAGTTCCACGACATCCGGTGGCTTCGTCGGATCAACCGACGGTGCCGGAGTCGGCGCGGGCTTGGATTCCTCGACGAGAGGCTCTTCCTCGACCGCGTACCGCCAGCGGCCATCAGACCCCGAAAACATGCGAAAACCATACCGCTTGTTCAGTCGGTTCAGATGGATGCGACGCTGGATACTCGTCCACGAGTATGTCCCTCGGAAGTCATCCAGCATTCGGCTGTGCGCAATCCAAGGCATCACCGCACCAATCGAGCGTGGGATCCGCGGGCCCTCGAACCGTCCGCGTCGGGTCCCAAACACGAGGAGCACGACCAGCGTGTCGAGCGCGATGATGACCAACGCAATAGCCAAGGAGGGAACCGAGGGAACCATAGTCCAGGTTTGGTTGACGACTGTGGCATTTGGAGCCGTGTGCGGGGTTGCCAGCGGCTCCAGGTAGATGCTCCGCCAGAGGGAGAAATAGGTGCTGTAGACCCATTGATAGACAACTTGAGACATGTCCATGAGGGCGATCGGGTCGAGCGAGCTGATGCTCGCTTCGCGTTGCTTGTAGAGCCGAGCCACCAGGAAACCAGCCCAATCATAAGACGAGACGTAAGACCCATTAGGGCTCGTTTCACTCATGAAGCTCTGAGGGATAGCGGCAAACACCTTGTTGAACTGCCCCAAACTAATCGTTGCATTTTCGTACATGGGTCCGGACAAGATGGAGCTGTGAGGAATAGGGTCGTAAGATTGGATCTGGCCCCGCTGATCAAAGAAGACGGAGAAGTCATCAAGTCGCACAATGGGTTCACATTGTAATGCAACGGTATTCGCATCGGTGATAGGCGTGTTGGCTGTGTAGTTCCACCGGCCCACGACCATCACGGTCGAGGTTTGACAGTCGTCCATGTCTTCATGGGCGTCCGGGGAAAGAAAATGGATCGAAAGGGAGATCCCGCCCTCGTGCTTGAGCGATGACATATTGACCCGACAGACCCGGCTGGCGTTATAAAAGGGGCTATAGTGCCAAAAGGTTGATTTGTTGGCGGGGTCAACGACAAGGCTGGAACGAATGTCCAACTGTTCGCAGTTTAGGTCGACCCCAATTCCGAGCGTTCGAGCGCCATACATAACATCGGGGTCGGGGTCGTTGATCTTCAGGGGCACAAATGACTGGTTGGAGATTGTCCATGGAAGTAGTGATACGCCACTGGTGATGCTCGTCTGGATAAGGTCATACTCGGTGAAATCAGCCGCAAAGTCGGTCTGTTTAAAGATGGAATTGCTGTAGTTGGTGAGCACCGATTGGGTTGGTATGTAGGACGTCTTGAGTTCCTGCGTAAACAAACCACCGGCAACGACCGTGAGGACCGTATTGACCATGCAGGCGAACGAGACCAGGCCCAACAGAACATGGCGGTCCCGGATGGTCTTGAAAAAGACGGCCCAAGGGGTTTGGGCAGCGTAGTTCATGGACAGGGAGGTCCGTGCCGAGGCCATCCCCCGTTGGAGATGGACCCAGGGTTCGAGAATGCTCACATTTCGGTGGATGGAATTGCACAGAGATCCCACGGCCGAGGCAACGATCGACGGCATGAAGGACAAAACCACCTGGAAGAAACTTGAATCCGACTGGGTCAGATGCTGGAAGCTGCCCTTGTGCGCCATGGATGCAATGATCAACGCCATGGTCACGATCACCGCCGCGAGGAGGAGGAACTCGATAATGAATATGGGGATGACGAGGAAATGAGGCCGTGGATCGACCCGATTGCGCAGCCGGTCGGTGAGGTTCGGCGGGGAATCTGAACTTTGTCATTAGTGGACCGGATATGAGCATTGGTGAAGCATTCTTTCGAGCACGTACTATCAGTATTCACAATCTCCACCCGTCTTCCCAACGGCCCTTCACTCCAGTATAGACGATAATTTCGAAGGAGCATCCGCAATCGTCGCGTCGAAAACTTGTCGAGTTCGGAATTCGCTTCGGCGAGAATGTTGGAGGGACCGAAGAGGTCGGTGACCATGCTGCACATTGCGCCAATGGAACCTGGATCACTCTGGAGGATATTGGGACGCGTCTGGTAGAAATAGAACATGATTACCACCAAACAGATGGCCAGCAGGAGGATGACTTCGGACCATAGGGCAGCGAACGCGACAACGGCGATGGCGACTTGGCGGGTGAGTCGCCATGCTGGCACAACCGCTGGCGGGGCATCCGGGTTGAAAAGCCGACCCATGGTGAGCACGAAACTCTGCCTCACCCCCCTGGTCACCTTGGACAGGAACTCATCACTGGCCATGACGGTCGAGGTATCCAGTACCAAGACCGGTTCAAGGTCTCCCAGATCCTGGCTGACCACGGGAAGTTCCGTGATCATGCGATCACCGCTCGTACTGTTGTATTGAATGAACAGAAGGTCACTCGTGTATGGGGCGCGATGGGCGAGGAGGCCCTGGAACTCCTGGATGTTGAATTGCTCCGCTGTTAGGCTGGTGGTCGTAGACGAGGTAACGTTGATCGAGGTGATGGAGCTGTTCGCGTGCATGGAGACTTCGGCGAGAGCCTTGTGGTAGTCCACCTTGCAGGCAAACAGGGTAGCCTTCGAGGTGGACACCGGCCCCATAGCGGTGATTTCGGGGGCGTTGTGCGCCGTCGCGTTCACAGAGATGAGGACGCCGTAAATGTCGTAGGGTTCGCAGCCTCGAGCGGCGAAAGCTCGGCGGCCCTCGTCCGGAGTGGACAATTCGGCCGACCGCACTGGTTCCCAATAGCGGACCTGCAAAAAATCGGTGTCGGGAAAGAGAATACTTTCATAGGCAAAATCCAATAGACAGTCGTGGGTGGCATTATCAAGCTGGACCCCTGTCACGTTCCACGACACCAGGGGGAAATCGGGATCAGTGGTGTTCAGAGTCAACGGAACATCCGCATCCGTCAGCAGGTTATGGCAGGCCAGGTCGGACCAGTAGATCGTCTGGTTAACCGTCCACACGGTGCTTTCTCGCCGATCATCCATGGGAATTTCGACGGGGGCGATGGCATAGCGATTCGAACGGGATCGACGCAGATCTCCTGTGGACGAGAAGACGGACTCGACCGAATCGAAATCATCGCGTTCTTCAGCGGCAATCCAGCTGGCTTGGGTGGAGAGATCGACCAGATCGGGCCAGGTTTTCATCGTCTCATTGGTAAGGACCTCCACTTCGCGCAACTCGAAGAGAGTACTCTGCAGGGCAGGCAGGAACATGCGAATCAAGACGGTGAGCAGGGAAACGGACAAAACGACCCAATGACCTCGTTTGGCGGAGGTCAGCGGCGTGATGAAGGTCTGGCCGAAATTGTAGTTGATAAAGAGCACGGATGCGGGGACGCCGTCCGGGCGGGCGAGTTGGAAATACGGTTCAAGACGGAGGACGTCGAAGTCGATGAAGGACCACAGGGTGACCAGAACGAGAGCGACGATGATCGGGACGTAGTTGTAAGCGAACGAGATGGAGCAGCTGACGGATTGAGTGTCCTGCAAGAAGACGAGTCCGCCATTCTGTTCGGTGTATCGCCGGAGGGTCTCGATGGTGATGAGCATCAGGATCATGAGGCCGGCGATAAAGGAAAGGTAGAAGGGACGCAGCGCAAAGGGTCGCCATCCTTGGGGTCGTCGGACGTGAGCATGTTGACCCGGGAAGAGCTGTCCTAGAGATGCGCGATTTGAGCGTCAGCATTCGGAATAAAGAGGCGGATATTCATCGGAGGATGGGTTCGTTTTTGAGACATACCGGCGACGTACAACCAGAACCCCAAGAGCGCCTTGTCTAGTTCTCTCAGCATGGCCGCCGCAGGGCATTGACCGGAGACGGGGCACGATCAACGGCACCAAGAGAGCAAGACGGAGGGAACAACACGGAGCACGATCATCTCCAACAACGGCAGGGAAAAGGCTCGAGCGAATGTCGCATGACGTAGAAAGAGGGACGGGAAGGACAAGAGGGAAGAGAAACAGATGAAGCGATGGAAAACCTGATGAACGAAGATGGAGGGGGGATGACGAGACAGAGAGACGGCGAGCAGGAGATGGGACGATGATCGACGTTGGACAATAATCAATTCTCGAATTCCCGCGGCGGAGGGGGAAGATGGCACGGAGTTGCCGGATTGCCCGTCTGATTGGCGACGGCGGCCCGCTTTTGTGCGCAGCCACGAATCACCGTGGCTGTTCCAGGGTTCCTTTCAGGTCCATTGCCTGTTGATTGGCTCGGATGGAGCCTACTAGTCCTTTTCAAGAGCCCGCCTATCCAGTTCGGGGCGGATTCTGTTGAGACTTTTCCTTTTCGGTCCCGCGATTCCACGGCTTTGTCTGTTTCAGGGAATCTTTATCAAAGCTTAAGTACCATTCAGGGCGGGCACCCGTTCTGGAGTGGCAAACCGATAGCTACCTAACATGCCCAATTGGCGTACGTAGATAGGTAGGTGGGTAAACAACGGGGTCCGAATCAGACAACCATGTTCATTCTATGACTATATCGAGGACAGGTACTTCACACTGAGAAGAGGAGACCTGTAAGGTCACCGCAGAATGACATGGAGATACGTTGGTCTCTTGCCGTTGCGGTAGCGGAACGGAGTTCAACCGAGATATATAATGACTGTTTCTTGGCATATACTCCGTAGGGGTATCCCGAACCCAACCGGTGAAGATCATGATATATATCAAAGGATCCAGCGGCCATCGCGTACGGAGTACACTACATTATTCTCAAAGCAATTTAGTAATAATAAAACTTCAATTACGGGTGCCTATGCACACTAGTAAGTCTGTTACAATCAACCACACTCCGCTTCATCCCCATACAAATTCACTGCAACTCAATGTGTCACGTAGAGATCTACATGGCCTTCTCCACCTGGTGTTCGACAGTCTTCGGACCCTCAGCTGACTCTCCAGTCTCCCCATTTCCTCCCGCAGCGACGACTGAAGGTGTCTCAGCGGGAGGGTTGTGGGGGTGGTGGATGTTCTTGGATTCCACGTCGCCATGTTCCAGACGGGCGATCTCGGATGTCTTGACCCGCGTCTTCCACGCTGGGGTTCCCAGGTACTTGATACCGTTCGGGTCCTCGAACATCGCCTCCGTCTCCTCCAGCGTCTTACCTGCGGTCTCCGGGAAAATAAAAAACACGTGGATGAAGAAGGCAGTGTTGAAGACGCCGAAGATGAGGTAGGTCTTCCACATGATGTTCTCAAACGCCACCGGGGTGAACAGTCCGAGGGCGGTGTTGAAGGCCCAGTTGCCAGAGGTCGACATGGCCACACCCTTACCACGCAGCCGCAGAGGATACAGCTCGGGAGGGTATGTCCACGAGGCCGGTCCAACCGTAGGCGCAAAGCTAGCCACAAAGAGATAAGTACAGGCGATCAGGCCCTTCGCCGCACCACCCGAGAGCTTCATAGACTCCTCAGGGACACCGTTGATCCCGCCAGGGACGACCACGCCGTGGACCGCCATAATCCCCGCGTTCGCATACATCAACGCAGCCATGAGGGCGGCGCCGACCAGAATGGTGTTCCGTCGGCCCCAGCGATCCATCCAGAGCAACGCTGGGATCGTCATGAACACGTTGATGATGTATTGAATGGACGACGCAAGGAGGTTCGAATCTCCGCTGTACCCAGCCATGGAGAACACATATGTAATGTAGTACACTAAAGAGATATGGCGTTAGTTCAGGTCTGCCAACAGAAAGACGGTTTGGGGAACGAACTCATGACGTTCATGCCAGTCAGCTGCGACCAGATTTGCATAAACAAACCAATGAGGGTACGATTCAGCATCCGCGGCTTGAAGAGATCCAGATAGGTAACGTGCTTGTGTTGGCGCTCGAATTCACACATGTCGCGAATGTCCTGCAGTTCGATGGTCACGAAGGGGTGGTTGAGATCACCCTTTGCATGGACCAAGGCCAGGACTCGATGACAGTCCTCCCAGCGATCCTTGCGGGCCAGCCAACGCGGGGATTCGGGTAGCAGCATCATGCCCAAAAACAGGAAGACAGCGGGGACCATCTGCAAACCCCATGGCACTCTGAAGGAGGCGGTGCTGTAGCTGTAGGACTTCTGTTCACCAATGTACGAGCATCCGTAGGAGATACTGTGCGAGGCGCGTTAGACGAAGAGGTGATGAAGGGTGGACAAAGGCACATACTAGAACATGATAAGAATACCCCAGGTGATAGCCCACTGCTGGAGACCGACAAAGCGGCCACGTTTGGATGGGGGAGACAGTTCACTGATGTAGACAGGGACTTGGGCGGATTCGATGCCGACAGAAATACCGTTGATGATACGTCCCACAATGAGCATACCGATGTTTTGAGCCGCGCAGCACAGAATCGAACCAATGATCCTATTGAGTGCCATACCAGTCAGTTGATGAATCTCCCATGTGGACGTCAGAAACAGGATCCAACTCACCAGACAATACAACCAACCATGATAGAAGACTTTCTACCAATTCGATCACTCAGAGGACCTGAAATCAAAGCACCAAGCCAAGAACCAGCAGCCATAGAAGCGGTGATACCACCCTGGACGAGAGAATGGGGACCTGAGCAGTTCTCATCGTCGGTGAACGGCGGACCCTTGGGGCCTTGGTTGAAATAACATTTGTACGAGTTCTCGTTCAGCTGAGCTGACATGGACGAGATATCAAAACCAAAGAGGGCACCGCCGACGACGGCGACGCCGGCGATGACATAGATGTTTCCCACCAACATGATGTTGGGGGAGGTAGACAGAGATGGGAGACAGTAGGGTTGGACTCGATGTGGTAAGGAACCTCACTGGATTCGGTGAGAAAAGAGAAGACCTCGAGGGAGATGTAGAGAAGAGAGGGAGAAGCGAGAGATGGGAAAGAGAAGAAGAGGAAGAGGAAGAGGGGAGTTGATCAGGTGAGGACTTTGGGTGGTCGAGGGTCGACCTCCTCATATAATTTCTTTGTCTACTTCACTACAACATCATCCCCCATCACTGCAACCTTCAACCCACCCCCCGCGCGTCGTGCCATTCACACACGCCGCTCTCTCCTGATCGGTCTCCTGGTCGTTTCTGACCAACTTTCCCATTGGATCGCAATCCTTTGGTCCGCGTCAGAACCAAGGATCGTCATCCTTGTCCAATTCGGCTGTATTGTTCCGGACTGGCTTCGGCCCAGGAGGAGACAAGACGGGATGATGAGACAGAAAAGAGGATATTCTCCGGGAAAGCCCCCGACCTGATCAGTCGATTCATCAGAAATCAGTCATTGATCTCATCTGGGTTCCGATCGTCTTGTCCTCTTCCCCACAGTCGCAGAGATGGGGAGGACCTCCACATCCCCAGATTTCTCCAGCTTCTTGGGGCCATGTTTGCTGACCGACATGTGCTTGACTGGCCTCCACTTGGCTCTCGGGCTATCGAGTTAGTGCCCCTCCACGGTTGACGCCTCCCGCCAATGAATCCCGCGATGGCGTTGCTTATTCCCTCTTGTTTTCACCACGCTACCTCATGATTTGCTCATCAGCCCGCTGGGCCCCGCTGGAAGCCCCCAGAAAGCCACTGAGCGGCCGCTGTCGTCGCAGTTGAAGGTCACAATCCCAATCCCAGTCAGGAGAGGGTTGCAGCGAAAACAACCTATCGGCCTGGCCATTTGCGCGAGACGCGTTACCGTCAGGCGCCCATCTGGCTGCGTGGCCTTGAATGGAGGAGTGAGAGCACGCCGACCTCTGGGCAATGCTTGACCGAACCCCATTCATCCTTCAGAACAACGAGTGCCGACTATACGCCCAGTCTATCGAAGCATCCCGCCACAGGCGCTCCTGCGGTCGCACCCAGAAATGACCCCACCATACTTGACACGTCTGACTCGGTATCTCCGGGGTTTCCCCACTTTCCTACACATGTTCAGGGGAAATCGATTCCGAATTTGGGGATACTATGGCGGCGGGGACATTCGCCTTCGATTCTGGAAACTCCTGGAGAATTGTGGTGCTATGCACGAAGACTGCAGGTTGGAGAAATGTTGATCGAAGCGCTGCGAATATTAGTACAACCCGGAGGAACATTGTCAAACAGCAGTCCCCTTGAGAATATACGGACAACGGAACCGAAAGCTGGTCCAGAACAACCTCCAGAATTTGTCGGAACAATGCTGAAAACTACCAGACCTTCGCGCAGTCCCGGCCTAAACTTCTTAGTCTCTGCCTGCAAGAATGACCGACCATCGCACCCACCAGACAATAAAGTCAACCAAGGGCTTATGGAGCACCTTGATCTGAGAGGGACGCATGGGCATGGACACTGGTAGTGTCTTGAGATCTTCGGACTGATTCACTCCGTGCCACGCGTCAGTCAGTCGGGACACCTGCGCTGTGGTAGGAGACAGGAAGGACAAAGATCTGTCCACTCGGAGCATGCAGCTGACAATCCGTAAGATCGCTAAACGTTCGATGGTGCATGGTGCCGCAGCACCTACGCCAGATCAACTTGTCTGCGGCGTGGAGAATCGCGAATCGTTCAAGCGGGGTTCAATGAGTACGAACGGCATACCGACTCCCAACCATTTAGTATGGCCCCTGCATGGTCTGCAGCCAGCTTCGGTTACGCGGAGGGCCTTCTGATGCTTCCATAGTGGAAATATAAAGTGGAATGGGATTAACCTAACAATCCGACTATCAGTCCACTACAGTCGCGTATAATCGCCAGGTACTTGTGCGCGACTAACAACCTGTCGATCCGATCGATGCCCGTTGGGTCATGTTTATTTCTAGACGGAGATGTGCCTGTCGGCGATCTATCTTCTCAATCTTAAAATCCTCCGCCATAGATGCCATTCGCTCAGATGCCGACGTGTGACCGACAGCATCGTGGTCTGTTGAACTCGGGGATTTGCTCGCCTCCACCGTCTCACATCGAAGGTTCCCCGCAAATCTGATTAACTTAGTCAATCTATATCGAATAGGATCTCCCCGCGTGGCCATAGCCTTACACGCCATGGCTCGTGGCCGTCCGGTTAGATAATGTCTGTGAGCAGACGAGTCAGGAGACGGGGGGCTTCCACCACCCATGAGTCAGTGGAAGCTGCTCACTACAAGAATCTCTTTGGGTATCCGCAATGAAACACGACTGGATACAATGCACCCTACGGCCTGCCAACATCATATGACCCGGAAGGTCGTCATGAAACCAAATTCCGCCCCGTCGGAACAGTGCCTCAAAGAGATGTAAACTCCCGTCGGTGCCTCAAGTCAGCTGTTTACGGAATGAGGCGTCCCACGTCATATTACTTGGCATTCCTGGAAGCACTTGATGTGCAATGTCACACACTCCGTCAGGCCACTCGGTTTGTCGCTGACGAATCTTTATCGACCTGAGTCGGCCATTGGAGCAGACTGTCCGAAGAAAGCGGCGATGTCCACGTCGCTCACACCAATCATACTCTCCGACACTCCATCACACAAGTCCGCGACGCCCTACAGCAGCTAGCCGTTTAACTATTCAATGAGTTGTACTAGAATATCGATGTATTGCGTGCCATGGCGTAGCTCGATTTATACCACATATTTGCTTTGACAGGGTGCATGCCAGTAGTCATTCACATTTTCGGGCGAGTGAGAGCGTGGGCTTGCGAGACTTGTAGTTGTGACCGGGTACTAGTGGTTTATGCATATATGACAAGCGTCGTTTTCAATGAGCACCCATACTGCCTACACTGCTCAAATACATCAGGAACGTTGTCACCACTCAACCAAAGCAGTCTATTAGGAACGATAGTATATCCCTATCAACACAGCCCGAATTAAAAAGGTAAGTAATATATACCAGATCTCGTATGTATATCGAATCAATGACCGAGTCCCCTCAGCCAGAGATATCAGCTTGGTCGGCATGTGCAGTCAAGGACGAAAACGAAGAAAATGCTGCAGGATTAGGTACTCTACAGTCACGACCGACCACCGCGCGACGCCGCAGCATCGTAGAGCGCCTGGATGTCGGCTCTCCACTGCTCCGTGTCGAACCTCTTCACGCGGCGGTCATAGGTCATGAGGCCGTTGACCTCGCCTTCGACATCGGTCGTCTGCGTCCAGACGCCGCCGCTGCAGGAGAACCGACGCGTCTGGTCCTCCAGTTCGGAGAGGAGGATGTGGCTGCGGTAGTTCCAGATCTCGAGTGTGTCGTCGATTTCGTATGTCTGGTTGATTCCGTTGATGGCGGTTTGGTCGTTCCACAGGCTGCTTCTGTCAGTGGATATTTACGGAGTCAGGTACTCTATGGACATACTGTTCAATCGAGACGTTGTGCCCAATGCCGCCGAACTCGCCCTGAATCCCGATCCGGGTCGGGTCAAACGGGCTGGAAGAGAGAGAGTAAAAGGGGCTTCCGCATTGCGGGTTGGCGTAGTGGTGGTTGTCCTGCATGGATTAGGATCTGCGGATCAACTCTGTCTAGGTTACTTACGCTGAAGTCTCCAGCGCCGTGATCGACCCAGCCGGATGTCGCATCGACAAGGCGGTTCGGGTCCAGCTGCTTCACACGATCGGTCAAGGCGAACTCGGGGTATCCATCGATAAGTTGGCCCCAGCCCTCGTTGTAGATGATCTGCAGTCGCTTGTTAGCCCTATCGCATGGTCATCATGGCATAACACGTACCCAGGTGATGATGCTGGGGAAGCTCTTGAACTGGGTCACCAGAAGTTCCAGCTGGCGTTGGAATTCCTTCTGCTGCTCCGCGTTGGGCAAGATCGATTCCAATGGCCTCAGGGACGGCATATCCTGGATGACAAGGAGACCCAGTTCATCGCACGCGCGGTAGAACAGAGCAGGTTCCACCTTGATCTGTGCAAGTGTTAACACTTTATCGTGACTGCCAGCTCAACCTACTTACGTGCTTGCGCAACATGTTAAAACCCAACCCCTTGAGCACCTTCAAATCATAGACCATCGCCTCCCGCGTCGGCGCGGTGTACAGCCCATCAGGCCAGTACCCCTGGTCTAGCGTGCCGAACATGAACGTAAACTCGCCATTCAGCAACGGCCGAACGACGCCATCCACCTCGCCCTTGGAGATGGTTCGGAATCCCGTGTAACTCTGGATCTCGTCGGCACCCATCCGCACGGTCACGTTGTACAGCGTGGGCGAGTCGGGCGACCACAGGCTAACGTCGGGCACCGTGAAGCGGAAAGCCGACTCGGACGTGCCTTTGTGGGTGGCCACTTCGTCATCGCCGTCGAACACGGTGACCTCCACCGGCGTGCTGGTGCCAGAACTGCTGTGGACGTGCACGGTCACTGCATGATGCGGTTAGCCCGATGATGATACTCCCAGTCTGTTTGTCGCTCACCCTCTCCATCCATGTTGGCATCGAGGTCCAAGCGAGCGATGTGGTTCCGCGGTGCGGATTCGATCCATACGCTCTGCCAGATCCCACTGCAGGGCGTGTAGAAGATGTGTGACGGGACGATCTTCTGCTTGCCGATGGGGATGACCGCATCGCCGGTGTCCGTGGGGTCGTGCACGAAGACCAGGCTGAGAGGTTAGTGGTTTCATTGCTGTATATGGATTGTTGGGCCATACAGTTCGTTGTCGGCGCCCAATTTGACATATTCGGCGGCGTCGACAGCAAAGTGGAAGTATCCACCGCGGTGGAAGCCAGCCTGCTTGCCGTTGATGAAGACTGTCGCTTCATAATCCACGGCGCCAAAGTTCAGGAGCACGCTTTGGTTCGTCCATGATCGTGGAACGGTGAAGTTCGTGCGGAACCACGAATAATACATTCCCTTTCCTTGTATACCTACATACAAGATCTCGGTCAGTCCACATGTTCAAATTTGTCACTCCAGGGTACATACCGGAAAGTCCGCTTTCCAAACACGACGGCACCAACACTTCGTTTGCCAATGCCTGCCCAAAAGGTGGGTTCTGCACGGCGTTGAGACTGCCCGCATCCTGATATTGCCAGATGCCGTTCAGGTTCTTCCATTTGGACCGCTGCAACTGCGGACGCGGATACTCCGGCCACGGATCGGTGCCGACGAGGTCGGTCCAGGGCGTGGTCAGCGGTGGCTGCTTCGGGGCATACTTTGTCGTCTGGCGAGCCGAGTTCTGATGCGTATCCGGAGTAGCGGCAGCCAAAGCAGAGGCGGCCAGCAAGGGGCCAGCCAGCCAGAAGCCTCCCAAATGCATCGTGATTAGGAAGGATGGGAAGATTCAGGTCGCAGTGTCAATGGCTGGATGAAGACGGCCAGCCCGAGGGGGAGATTATCATTCCATCCTATTTATATGCACCTTCCCCCTGGGTCTTATCGAGGGCGAGGAGAATGTTCAACACCCTTTTTTCTCCGGACGCAGGGAGGTCCACCCGCCATTGATTGCCGAAACCATCAAAGAAACAACGAAAGATCTCTCCGCACGCTGTGCCATGGCCCTTGGCGGGTATCCTTGCAGATCCCAAGTCATTTCGCTAGAATTGTTGTGACCTTAACCCCGCAGTAATCGAGATTGTGGGACGAGGGAAGCACTGATGACTTGTTTGCCCGGTGTAGGACCGTCTCATCTTGGCACGTTAGTCGGTGGAGCGAGGGAGATCCTCATCCCTGGTCGTGTGGAGTACGAAGTGGTCTAGGCGGAGGATGATGGAGCATATCGATATGGTGGAGCAGAGGGGACTTAAAGGGAGCACGCCCCTAGAAGTCGAAGAGAACCCGGGGAAGGTGGTTTGCGAGAGCACAGGAGAAGGACGAAGAAAGGGATGTTTAGACCTCCGAATCGGGTAATGCATCCCCCCTGAGATAGGGCTGCTGAGTCAGGCGCATTCTGCTGTATCCGAAACCGCCACCACATTTTACTGCTACTCTCATGCATGATGCATGGCCTAGTGTCGAGCCTGCAAGTGTGAAGTTTCTGATTGATGGAACAGCGCCGACAGAGTTGGCCCCAATGCCCTCGGGCTCGGCACTAGTTGCTGTCCTACCGAATGGAGGGGCCTAGTTCAGATCTGCCCCTGATGGGCGTCCACGAGAGTCTGGTGGCTTCATCATGCGCAGTGTGGCTTCTCGGCTTCTCGGCAGGCTGATGGATTGTACAGTGGACTCTGGACTGGGCAAGTTGTATGAAGTCAGCCATCTCTGCTGCCTGACGGGAGACTAGCATTCCCTAGATCCCTCCATGATAACCCTAGAAGTATCCCCTCGGAAAGAATGAACCAGGCGTCCATGGCCCGGTCCTGACTAATCTCAGGGGCGGAAACTAAATATCAGGAACAGGAAATCAAGGGGAATGAAAGAAGCAAACACTGGGATCCCTGCTGGTCTAGAAAGTACCTGCGAGACATATGGTCAAGGGTTCATACAAGACCATTTCTAACAAAGAAAAGAAAGTCACTAACTCGTTAGTGGATTCCCCGCAATGTTAATTAACCTGCTACGCTCGGACTCGCCATCATTTCCCGAGGGATTCGGACACTGGACGGAGATATATACCAGTTATATATCGTTAGCCTCATCCACAATGCTACCGTTGTATTCGCGAGATAGCATGAAGGGATATCTGAACAGGGATTTTCTCGACTCGTGCGACTGATTTAATAACAATCTGCAGTTGTATGACCAAGCCGTCCAATTACCGAGGTTTCCTAGAGCCTGGAAAGAGATGTCCATACCAAATATAGAATGTGTCCAACAAAGACATGTAGATACTAAGTATCTGTGCAAGGAATGTACATTTTCAGTGACAAAGCTGCGAAAGATCGGTCGAGAAATATGGTAGATAGAATAGGAGGGGCATACATTCCAGTCGATCTGCGTTTCTCTGCTAGATCATGTCTATCCCTTACACCATCCCTAGCCGAGGCAATACATCGCTGCTGATGCAGATAAATAGGCTCTAAATAGGTAGAATCACATACTCGACACTAGGAATCAATTCCGATCCATAAGCAATCAATATATATATACTTCTTACGCCGCATTGGCAATCTTCTGCAACGACTCAAACGGACCGTTGAAAATATCCGAGTCCCCGCCATACTCATAGCTATCCGAGTTCTGCCACATGGTATATGTCGCCCAGTCGCCGGGAATCGTCGAAGGAGCGGAGCTGCTATACGCCGCCAGAACCAGGGGGCACTTGTCGCCGAAGCCGCTGGCATTCCCGGTGCAGGTGCTCCACCAGTCGGCCGTGGTGTACAGCATGGGATAGACGCCGGTGGCGCTGTGGTATTCATCCACAAACTCCTGGATCCAGGCGACCATGTCGGACGCGCTGAGCCCGTAGCACGTATCGCCGTAGGGGTTGTATTCGATGTCCAGCATGCCCGGGAGAGTGATGCCATCTTTGGACCAGCCGCCGCCGTGGGAGATGAAGTAGCTGACCTGGTCGGCGGCCGAGGAGGCGTCCGGAAGGGCGAAATGGTATCCGCCACGAATGAAGCCGGCGTCGGTGGCGCCGGTGTAATGGGAGCTGAACGATGGGTCGCTGTATGAAGTACCTTCACTGGACTGCGATCGTTAGCTCGGAGGTGAGGTCGTTCACCGATAGTACTTCCATACCTTGATCATCACGAAACGCGCACCCGCGTTATACGCCGCCGCAAAGTCAACGGAACCCTGGTGGTTCGAGATGTCGAATCCCTGGACAGTGTCTGCGTGCGCTTCCAGGGCGAGAGTCAAGGCCGCGCCGGCCACGGAGAGGGCGAGATTGTTCAGCTTCATTGTAGGTGATGTGTGCTTGTTTGTTTGTAAGTAATGCTTTAATGTCGAGCGTGGAGGAATGTAAAAACCGTGGGCATTGAAGCCGTTTATATAGGGCTGGTTCGCCTGGCAGAAGACTTGTATAGTGTCGGATTCCGCTGGAATAGAGAGATCATCCTGCTACTATTTCGGGCAACCCGGACCGTCCATCCCAATCTCGAGGATCGCATGGTCGAGGAGGTGGCGTTGATTGCAGACTTCGAAGTTGGATCCCAGTCACAGATAGAGAGCAGCGGAAGATTCCATTGGCGCTGCAGCAGACGATGAAGCCATTGTGGGTCGTCAATACGATGGCGCACGATGATCACGATGATCAGTGATATTTTTATACCCTGCCTTGGCAAATACGAGCCACGAGTGCACCATGAACAAGTCTCGTATTCCACCAAGTATACTATAACGAGGTCCGCTGTCGTATCCATCCTAACTAGCTCAGGAAGAGACGGGATACATGGGCGTACGCGAGGTGGAATGAGGAATCTATCATTGTGCCCTGAAGCTAAACTTGTGTTCTATTTATGAGATGTAGATCCGGCCTTCAAACGGCTGGAGGACATCCAAAGAAGACTCGGGGGAATTGCTGACCAGCAGCTGCATGTCCTTGGCCTTCGATGCCTGCGTGAATGGTTGAGACTCGGGAGTGAAATTGAGCGCAACCAAGGCCTTTCTTTCGTCCCTGGACTTGATGAAGCAAAATGTCTGCTGGTTGTCAAAGTCCACAACCTCGAAGGCGCCGTGGATGAACAGTTCGCGATGCTCTTTGCGCAACTGCAGTGTCTTCTTCCAGAATGTCAGGACGCTGTTCGGGTCGTGCTCCTGCTTCTTCACATTGATCTCCTTGTACAAGTCGTGGGTGCGCATCCACGGCTTCCCGATGCTGAAGCCACCGTTCACCGAGTCATCCCACTGCATTGGGAGCCGGGCGTGATCACGACCCAGGATGCGAAGACCGGCCATGATGCGGTCCTTGCGGGAGGGATCAACACCGCTCGCCGTCTGGCGCTCGGCCTCGCGGTAGTACCCAAGGCCTTCAATATCTTGATACTCTTCGATGGGCCAATCCGCGGGAGCATTGATCATGCCAATCTCCTGGCCCTGGTAGAGGAAGAGAGTGCCTGTCATCGCGACCATCATCAGCGCCAGCATCTTGGCCGACTGCTCCCGCCATTGAGGCGCATCGGACCCGAAACGGGATACCGACCGACCGTTGTCGTGGTTCTCGCAGAATGCCGTGGTCCAGCCGTCCGTGCCTTCGATGAACGATTGCCACTTGCTGACGATGGACTTCATCTCGGTCAGCTTCCATGGGTGAAAGATGTACTTGTCTTCCAGGCTGTCGCCCATGCCGATATGACCAATGTCCAAGTGGAAGACCATGCTCAATTGCTTGGCGGATGCACCAACATATTGCAGAACATGGGTAGGGTCGGGAGTGTTGGCCAGCTCGCCGACCGTTGCCACATCACCATATGGCTCCAGGACATCGTCGTACATTTCCCGAAGAAACTCGTGGATCCGGGGCCCATTGCACCATTTGCCGATGGCCGGTTGGACGTAGCTCTTCGGGTCTGTAATCGGAGCGTCCGAGAAATCTGTATACTTGCTATACTATGGGAAGTGAGTATAAGCGCGTTGCTCGGAGGATATTTCAAATTCGTATACCTTGTTTACGGTATCCACACGGAAGCCATCAACTCCCTTGTCCAACCAGAACCGCACGGCACTGTCGTAGATCGCCTTCCGGGTGGCTGGATTATCCCAGTTGAGATCGGGCTGTTCCTTTGCGTACAGGTGAAGATAGTATTCTTGCGTATGCTCGTCCCACGTCCCTAAACAATTAGCACCGAACGGGACAGATGGAGGGATGGACACACATGTGCTGCCGGCAAAATAGCCGCGCCAGTTGGTCGGAGGCAGACGGTTTCCATCTTTGTCATATCTCGCTGGTCGCCAAAAGTACCAGTCGCGCTTGGGGTTGTCCTTGCTGCTCCGGCTTTCCTGGAACCATTTGTGCTGGTCACTGGTGTGGTTGACGACCAGATCCAGGAGAAGCTTCATCCCCCGCTGATGACAGGCGTCAATGAGCTTCTCTACATCCTCCACAGTGCCATACGCCGGGAGAACCTTCTCATAGTCGGAGATGTCATATCCCATGTCGTGCATGGGCGAGTCGTAGTGCGGCGAGAGCCACACGACATCGACGCCCAGCGCATGGAGATACGGGATCTTCTCGATGACGCCGGGAATATCACCCCAGCCGTCACCATTAGAATCCTTGAATGAGGCGGGGTAGACCTATACGATTAGAACCACAATTCACACGAGTGGCTATGCGTAGATTTGCGCCCGGACTCACCTGATAGACGGTGCTTTCCTTCCACCAGTTGTTAGCACCCGTCGGCACGAGCTGGATGGCGTGAGGAGACATGACTGTGGTTCACTGATCCTTCAAATCATAGTGAAAGCAATTCCTCGGTTCTGGGCAGTCTTTCTTATAATCCACCGGATGCTGCTCGGAAGCGTGCAGGGCGTGCACTCCGGATAGACACCGTCAAGCCTCCGACTTGGCTCCGAGAAACAGGTCATTCGTGCCAATCACCGGCCCGAGCGGGTCCATTTCGTGCTCTTCTTCTCCCCGCAGCCAGTGTGGAGTGCAGCAAACCCCGGATTGTCCCAGATGTCGCACGATGGGTTTTCGCCCGTGGCTTGGGGTCATCTGAAGACGTCTGAGTATAAGTATCCTCTCATCACTCGTTTCTCTGGCATGGTCGATTCCAAAGTCATGGGCTGCAGCATTGGTGCCGTCTGATCATTTCTGCTGTCTTTTTTTTCTGTCTCCCATCCTTCATCATGTCGACCGCCGACGAGCACCAGGGCACTCATCGCAAGCCCGAACTGGCTCATGGAAAGCATGGCGCTCAGCAAGAGCAGTCCATGACTCTGTGGAAGGCAATCCGGCTCTATCCCAAGGCTGTGGGTTGGTCGGTGTTGCTGTCCTCCACGCTGATCATGGAGGGCTATGATCTGGCGCTGCTTGGGTCCATGTATGCCTCGCCTCCCTTCAACAAGAAGTACGGCGTGCCCACGTCCGATGGTAAATGGGGTGTCCCGGCGTCCTGGCAGTCGGCCCTCTCCAACGGAGCTCGAGTGGGCGAGGTCTTCGGTTTGTTGATCAACGGTCTGATCTGCGAACGAATTGGATATCGCTGGACCATGATCAGTGCTTTAATCGCTATGAACGCCGTCATTTTCATCTTCTTCTTCGCCGTTAACGTGCAGATGTTGCTCGCTGCTGAGATCCTGGCCGGTATCCCCTGGGGTATCTTTCAGACCCTGCCAGCGCAGTATGCGTCGGAAGTGTGTCCCGTGGTGCTCCGCCCATACCTGACGACCTATATCAACATGTGCTGGGTGATAGGTCAATTCGTGGCCGTCGGCGTCAACCGTGGCTCTATCCCGCGTGATGACCAGTGGGCTTACCGCATCCCCTTCGCTATTCAATGGGTGTGGCCTCTCCCCATTCTCCTTGGAATCCTCTTCGCTCCCGAGTCCCCCTGGTGGCATGTTCGTCGCGGTGATGTGGACGGTGCCCATCGTGCACTGAAGCGATTGACATCCACTGGAGACCCGACCTTCGACGCCGATGCGACCATCGCTATGATCGAGCATACCAACGAGCTGGAGAAGTCGCTGTCCGCCGGCACACGATACATCGACTGCTTCAAGGGTGTCAACCTGCGACGGACAGAGGTCGTGTGTGGTGTGTGGCTGGTGCAGACCCTCTGTGGACAGAACCTGATGGGCTACTTTGCCTATTTCTGCGTGCAAGCTGGATTGCCCACGGTCCAGTCGTTCAACCTCTCCTTGGCCCAGTATGCTCTCGGATTGCTGGGCACAATGGGCTCATGGTTCTTGATGTCTGTTGCTGGTCGTCGCACACTGCACCTTTGTGGTCTGACGGCTGCCTTCATCCTGATGTTGATCACGGGCAGTCTACACTGGGCGCCGGAGGAAAACAACGCAGCCAAATGGGCGGTTGGTGTCATGTTGATCATCTTCACCTTCTGCTACGACATCACGATCGGTCCCATCACTTACTCCCTCGTGACGGAACTGTCATCCACCCGGCTGAAGGCCAAGACGATCGTGCTCGCCCGTGCCGGATACAACATCAGCAACATCGTTGTCAACGTGTTGACCAACTACCAACTCAACTCGACCGCGTGGAACTGGGGCGCTGCTACCGCCTGGTTTTGGGGAGGAACCTGTCTCTGCTGTCTGGTGTGGGCTTTTTTCCGCGTGCCTGAGCCCAAGGGACGCACGTATGAGGAGCTGGATGTGCTGTTTGAGCGTGGAGTGTCGGCCAGGAAGTTCCACAAGACGCATGTTGATCCCTATGAGGACTCGGTCGAGGTGCATGAGGATCATGCAAAGGAGTAGATATGTTATATGTATGGAGAGATGCCATTTGAGAGAATAGCGCGCCAATATATTGTTGATTGAGACCGGTCATGCTTACGCTCATCCCACATTCACCTATAGTTGAAGATGCATGCGAGGAGTTGAGGAAGGTACTTACCTATGACACGGGGTAGTAAAGACTTATCCTCTTCCTTCCCCCTTCCTGATCTTTCTGCCTCCCCTCTTGTTTACAGATCCTTCCAGTCCCCTCCCTCACCATATCTCAATTACTCGTATCCACATAGAATACTCGTAATCGCAGTCTTAAGTATGCCCAAGTGAGTCCCCCTCTCTGTTCTCTTACCACACATACTAACTGTCTGGTAACAGTACCAATATTGACCTTCTCGGCACTGAAACTGAGGGGATCGACGCTGTCCAGGACCTGCACCCTCGGCTGCGGGATGGACTGAAATCGGCGGGAATCAGAGAGCTCACTGCAGTTCAGAGAAAGCTCCTCGAAAAATCCATGACTGGTCTGGACGTGGTTTGTATCGCAGGGGATCGCCACCGCTCAACCATGGGCAGCGTGATTGCAATCCTGAATGCAATGCTGCATTGGGAGACAGCGTGTCAAGCGAACTGGGAGACAGCGTGGCATGCCCTTCTGGTATTTCCAAACATCAACAAAGCGAAGGAGTTCTCCGAATTCCTTGGACGCCTGGCGCCATCGACCAAACTTGTACGGCGGACTTTGATTGAGGACGGTGAAGTGGACACTGACCTCATCCAACCCCATCTTCACCACTTGCTCGTTGCAACACCACAGGCACTGCTTCCTCGCGTCGAGTACAAAGAAGTGAATCTGGAGTGGTTTCACTACATTCTTTTCGACGGACCTTATGAAACGCTGCAACCCGATGATCCAGGGGAGGACTGGATGAAGTTCTGGGTAGAGCTCACACAGCAGAATAGCATACGCGTTGTCAATAGTCCCGTCGGAATTTCGATCCCCGTTCTGAGGAGGTTTCTGCGACCTCTCCCCGAGTTTGAAAAGCTATCAGCCGACGCTCCCGACGAGAAGTTGGTCGTGTTCGAGCTCAAACCCACAGAGAGTCGTCGGGCAGGCCTCCTCAGATTCATCCAAGATCATCTCCCCAAACGGAGGCAGCTCCTGATTCTCACCGATAGCTTCCACGACTCAAATGGCTTACATGCTTTTCTGAAGCAGCGATTAGGGCGTCGTTATGCTGTTAGAAGAACATGTCCTAGGCAGGAAGAAACAGAGATAGCCATTGCCTCTTTTAGAGCTGGAGACACAAAGATTTTCATTCATCACGGCGAGCCTCTGGACAGCCTCAATGGCTACAAAGTACGATTTGTGCTTTTCTTCACTGTCCCTGTCGCCTTGGGTCGTATCTTTATGGCCATGAACTACATTTCTGACACAGTCGGATGCATTCTTTTGCTTGTGGATCCAGAATCTGACAAGGATCGCATGCTCAGCGGTCAGTGGGACTTATGGCAGCAAACAGTCGCAACGCAAGTATCCGACAGGCTCTGTGTCACTGGGCTTCCAACCAACTGGTCAAATCCGCGGGTCCTGGAAGCTATGGCGCAGTACGAGCCCAAAAACATTGAAAGATACACAGAGACGGGAGACTGCGAAGAGTAAGTTGTCTATTCCACCCGGCCAGCTAGCCCTGATGCTAAGTTGGCCTGCTCCCAAGCTACGGTTATATCACTTTCCCATCGATCGATCATGCCACCCGCTGTCTTCATCAGCAGCACAGAATCATGGGCCAGAACGTGATCAGACTGCAATACGCATATCCTGCGGAGGAGAGTGAAGCGGGATACTAAGACGATGGAAGGAAGAGAGAGGGCCAGAGACAAAGATCACTGGGAACATGATGGGTTGTTAGCTTTACCCTGTTGACGTACTTAGGTAGCACTACGACACAGACTTCCAATTGAAGGATTCTGAATGCTTGGCATTGTGGTCCCATTTTTCTCCCCGGAGTGTCTCGGAATCCAGACTCTCTCCACATAACCTCCTCCGACTATGCCCCGAGAGACCATCAAGCAGGCCTGTGACGCCTGTCGTCGGCGTAAAGTGAAATGCACCACGCAACGACCGTGTGAGCCCTGTCAATCGGCCAATTTGGTCTGTCGCACATCAGCCATCCGGCTCAAGAAAGGGCGGCAGGGCAGTACGGCAAATGTCCTCACGGAGCTGCGGCAGCATTCCTCCGACCATGCGCCTTCCCCAAGCCCGTCTCCGCTAGAGGTTCGCCAGGATAGAAGGTTGCATGGGTTCCGACGAGAACCGGGGCTGCTGCATACGAGCTTGGTGCAGAGCTGCGCCGACTACTTCTTTGCCCGGATGATGGGCACCGTCCCGATCCTCCACCCGGATACATTCCAGAAACACGTTCGTCGCATGGACAGCGATGATTGTCTATACTCTTATTGCATGGTTGCGGCCTTCTGTGCCTTTGTATTGACCCAAACCGGGTATCTCTCCTGGCATGGGGAGATCCCCCCGGGCCTTGCAGGAGCTCTGCTGGACGAGGCAATGGCAGTGCGTCGCCATCTGGATTTGTTTGCTGGGTCTACCCGCCAGGGCATTATCATCGCATTTTTACTGTATGGGTGCCATATTGGCTTTGGGAACCAGCGTCATGCGTATTATTTCCTGCGGGAGGCGACGACGCTGTACACGGCCGGGATGCTCGACCAGCCTGGCGTGGAGGGAGAAGAGGACCAGGATCCGAGCTTTCAAGGAAGGCTATTTTGGCTTCTGCTCATATCAGAGCGGTAAGAACATCCTTTTCTTCTGCGCAATGAGGAAGATCCTAATCCTATGGCAGTGCGCACGCAATCCGTCGACATCGCCCCATCACACTGCAAATTACACCCGAGACTCCAACACTCGATACATCTCAAACGGACGACCCGTTCATTCTGGGGTTTGGCTGCCTCGCCGAGCTATACCGTCCATTTGACGAGTCCTTCCTTAGTCAGTGGAACGGCACGCAAACAGCCTACTCTCGCGACTCGCTTGTACAGCTCGAGGACCATCTTCAGCATGCAGTCCCCTCCGACCTCGACCTACCGGATGTTCTCATGGCAGATCTGCGCGTCTCACAGCAGTGGCTGCGGACCATGATCTGGCAATTGGCTACCGGCGCGGGCTTTCTATCCAGTACGCCAACGCACCCATGTCTGGATTTCCGGTACCCGTTGCAGATTGCACGCGATCTGTCGCTGGCGACATGGAAACTGTCACGAGATAGTATGGAGACACATGGAATTGGTCTCATTGAGAAGGTATTCGAGGTCGCGTGTACCCTGACAGATGTCATGGCCTGTCTCAGCTCGACGGGCCTACGATCGTCCGGCTTTGAAATGGGGCCCCAGGACTACCTCAAACATCTGGTTACCCTGGTATACTCCCTGCCTGGCGGTCGCCGGAGATTCTTGCCTCTGCTGTTGACCAAGCTCGGGCAAACCCTGCCATCCATGCTACAACCGATCAGCCGGCACCTCAATCTGCCTGGTCGGGGTGACAACGCGGCGGAGGAGGAAGAGAAGGATGAGACGGTGCTCACGGAATACGTGCGCGACTTCAACTGGGCGGAGATGAGCCGCATTGGAGCAAAGACGCCTGAAGTCGACGAGGCGTTTCGCCTGTAGGTAGGCTTGTATAATGACAGTGACGGTTGATGATGCATTATCATTGCGTATTCGTAACTTCATATACTGTATCCTGTGCCAGGAACGCGGTATATCAACTGACATAGTTCGACGCCAAAGACAAGATATCTTGTAGGCCCTCAACACCATCCAAGCCGTACGGAGCCGCCAAATACTCCAACGACGGTGACAAGACAGACTGCCTTCCACTCCCTCCGCTCCTCTGTCCGATACGATTGTCGACCGGCGGCCAGCCATGGTCCATGTCCATCGTCGGAACCTGCTTTGGACCAGCTGCCAGCCGCGGGAACCCGCGCAATCGCCCCTGCTCGCAGAAGTTGCGGATTATGCCAACGAGGTCGAGGTCAATCCGTCGATCGTCGACCTCGCCACCGAGAGCCCGGCCGATCGGTGGTGGTCGGCTGCACTGTTCGCGGGAGAGAAGAGCTTCGAGAAGATGTACACCACGCTGCGCGATCATGTTCGATCCGCTGTGAGAGAGAATCTGTAGGCCATCTTGGACGAGCTGGCGATGATGGGTCGTCTCGGGATCGGATGTATTTCGGTAGAATAGGTCGAGACACAGTATGATCTAGTATTCGGATTAGTTGTCTAGTCCACGGCGAGTATATAACGATGATACGTACACTAGCTGTCACGCCAAACGCCTGGTGAGTCCACAGCACGGGACCGCCATCGTGGATCGCCTCCTTCTGCTCCTTGAGGATCGTTCTCGCGGCCGCGACGCATGTCCGCCGGGTCCGCGCAAACACCGGATTCGTGAAACTCAGCTCGAGGAATTTGCGATGGATCATGATGATCTTGTGCGAGGAGCTGATCGCCAGACTACGTCGCGCCCACGGCACATGGCGAGGCCAGGAGGGATCCACCGGGACGTTCTGCAGGTAGTATGGCAGGTCCCGCGTGGCCAACTGTCGCAGGCGGCGGTCGTGCTCCAGCACCTGCTCGTAGCGGGTGTAGGGGGTGTTGGCTGACATCAACCCGTCCTGGAGGGACGGCATCAGCGCGGCGACTTCGTAGAAGAATCGCAAATAGCTGGTGGTCGTGGGCTCGTCATGCGACCGTGGGACCATGTCGTTGTCGCGGCAGTTGCGTGGTTTGGCGGTGTTGGCGCAGTGTCGAGAGATGAGATAGCTCTCGCAGAACGGGATGGAGAACCAGTCCTGGATACACAGCTGACACCATGCACGGCGGCCGATTTCTCGGTCGACGGATTCCGGCGACATGTCGTCATCGGTGCTTGGGCCCAAGCGATGGAGTCCCAGACTCTGTGCTATCCGTACGCCGGCAGCCAGCAGGACGCACAGACTATTGGAGAACCCGAGTAGGTGCGCCGACATGGTCAGTGTGGTGATGGCTTGCACCGAGTGGATGGAGTGACATGCTGCGAAATCGCCGTGGTGTAGACACGTCGACACGGCCTTGAACCATCGCTGCGACAGCGCCGTCTGCTCCCATTCCGGGAATCCCCATGCCTGAGCGGTTGCACGCGGTGCGCAGGCCAACGCGCCCGTCAGCACAGCAAACAGCAAGGCAACCCATCGCAAATCCACCTGGTTGTGCGTCAAATCTCCATCAGAGACGCGGTAGAAGTCATCCAGCTCCTCGCGCAGCCGCACCGAATGGAACGAGCCATGATACCAGAGCAGACACTCGCAGTGCCAGTCGACCAGCTGCTCCACTTGTGCCCGTGGCGGTAGTAGGGACTGGACGTAGGCCAACGCCGACTCAGTGCCAGGCCCTAGATGGCGGTCCTCTCCGTCATCCTCGGCCGTGATGTCGCCCGGCGAATGCTGCTCCAACCCGTCTCTTCGGGCGACCACCTGGCCATAATCCGGGTTCTTCCGCCGGCCCCATGCGAGAAACTCGAGAATAGTCGCGGCATCTTCAATTTCTCGCTCCGGGTATTCAGTCGTTCGGTCGACGGACGCGACCGATACTGTGGCGGACGGGCCACGGTCGAGTTGGACGGGGCTGGCGGTCGAGCGGCCGGCGCGCGCGTCACGTAGAGCCGCCTCGAGCTCCTGCACGCGCGACTGGAGACGTTCGACCTGATCGTCGCCATCGTCGTAGACTCTCGAACAGTCGATACCGCTGCATTGTTTGTTGTTAGACAGGAGGACTGGATCAAGGTACGAGCGTACCCACCGTCTGGTACAGTTGCGACAAGGCACCACCTTATCACAGCGGATCTTCCGCCGCGTACACTCCACACAGGCCAGTCGTTTGCGATTCGCACTCATGGGGAGTTATGCTCTGGAATCAGCCAGAATGAGGGAATGGATCGAGGTTGACGGGGGTTGACAGGGACAAAATGCTCGGCCGCTCGGCCGACGAGGAGAAGCCCTAATGCTGATAAGCTCGGCCGAGGCTGATAGCGCTTATGCCATCCGAATAGTAATGGACAGGATATATAGAAACTCCCTTCAACTCTTGCAAAGCCATCCCAGATACACACCACAAGACCATCGCGATCAGACTCACCATGGCAACCTGCTACGTCGACCGTCCCATCCCTCAGATCTCCCTGGCCAACTTCGACCAGCGCATCGATGACATCACCGCCGACCTCGTCAACGCGGCCGAAAAGGTCGGCTTCTTCACCGTCGTCGACCACGGCATCCCCATCGAGGAGATCGAGCGCATGTTTGCCACCGCTGAACGCTTCTTCAGTCTCCCTGACGAGGTCAAGGCCACCGTCCCCTGGAACCCGAACAACGTCGGCTGGGAGAAAAACGCCCAGGTGCGGCCCTCGACCGGCCAACCTGATACCAAAGAGTCATACCAGCTGCAGTTCGGAGAGAACATGACCGACCTCTGGCTGGACGATGCCCATCTGCCGGGCTTCCGCGACACGTCCCTCTCATTCATGCACCGCGTCCAAGGCGTGTCCGAGAAACTCATGCGCTGCTTTGCGCGTGGTCTAGGATTTCCAGAAGACTTCTTCATCCAGTGTCACGATGTGTCGCGGCCGATCGCGCAAACCACCATGCGTCTGCTGCATTACTTCGCTCTGCCGGAGACGTCTGATGGCAAAACGTACCACCGCGCGGGTGCCCACGCCGACTGGGATTTCCTGACCCTGCTGTTCCAGAAAGAAGGTCAAAGTGGTCTGGAGATCTGTCCGGGGCGGGAGGTTGTGACGGAGTTCGGGATTGGGGATAAATGGACCAAGGTCGAGGCGAAGACGGGCGATATCGTTTGCAACATCGGGGATCTGCTCATGTCGTGGTCGGATGATCGCTTCAAGTCGACGTTCCACCGGGTGAAGGCGCCGTCGCAGCCTGGTGACTACTTTGGGGATCGGTACAGTATTGCGTACTTCAATCAGCCGTGCAAGGATAGCTTGATTCAGGGCCCGAAGAAGAAGTACCCCTTGGTGACGGGCGAAGAGTTCAACAAGCGGGCGATGCAGCGGAATTTTGCTGCATTACAGGCCAAGTTGAAGACGATGGAAGCAGGAGCTTGAAGGTTGGATGTATATACCACATAGTTTATTGTTTTTAATACAATTCGCATGCATTGGGTCACTTTATGTTATCCAAAATGGCCGCTATGCTGGAAAAGGCCCAAAGAATGTAGTGATAAGTTATAAATGCCTTCTCTCATGTTGACACATTATCTATTACTCTAGCTGACTATTCTTTACACGATTCACTGAGGGAGCACCCGACGAGGCTCCTCCTTCAGCACGAGATTCAAAATAACACCCACGACCGCCGCAATGATAAATGGGGTCTCAACGATCAGGTTGATGCCCTGTTCGAATCCCCGAAGATGCACGTTGTCCCCGTTGTACGTCAAGACCGACGTGAACCAGTCCGGAGACACAATATCCATGAACCCAATGCCAAGTGCCACAGTAAGGATGAACCGGGTTCGGCGGGTGTATTCAACCAGAGCGAGGACGCGAACACCAGCCACGGCGATAGTGCTGTATAGAAAGACTTGCATCCCCCCCAGAACCGAGGGAGGCATGGAGCCAAATACTGCGCCGAATTTTCCCAAGACGCCCATGAGCATGAGAATGCCGGCAGCACACCATCCCGCTCGTCGGCTCTATACACCATTAGCATCATGGACATCATATTCGCATGGCTGAAAGACTCACCGCACACCCCGTCAGCGAAATGACGCCGTTGTTCCCGGCTTGACTGACCATCGGTAGGGACGTGCCCAACGCACTGATAAGACTGCCGATTCCGTCGCAGAGAATACCTCCCTGGATGCGACTCTGGAACTCCGGTCCATCGATCGACACCTTCGAGATTTCGGCCGTGGCTAGGATGTCCGGCATGCAGCTGACGGCCTCGCAGACGAAGAGAATAAGCAGCGGCAACACCAATGCGCTATCCACGGACAGTTTAAATGTATGGACCCAGAGGAATGTGCCAACAGGAGCACTATCAATTTGATCGCGAGTCCAGTAACCCGTCGCTCCTGAGATGGCGCATCCCACGGCTAGTCCGATGATGATAGACGCAGACTTCATCAATGGGGACCCGAAGAATTCAACCAAGACGATCGACACAAAGACGCTGAATCCCAGTCCGATCAATTTGGGATCGCCCCTTTGGAAGCTGTTAGGATGAGGCGGCTTAGCGAGAAGGGAGTAACTCACCAAGGCAACGGGTTTGGGGCAGATACATCCGGGCACAAAGCATAGAATCCTTGTCCTCCGTGGCAGTTGGAGCTGCCACCCCAGTTTTCCATGCCGTTGGCAATAAGATATACACCGATAAGGAGAAGTAAGGTCCCAGTGACCACTTTGGGGAAGATCCGGTCGAGAATTTTTGGAGGCACCAGAGACATCAGGATTTGAATCCACACTGTGCAGAGCATGGTCCCAAGTACGGCGCCCCAGGCTTCAGGACAGGGTAGTCGAGAGCCATGTTCGTCCGTCGGACATGTGCCGTTAGAGTATCGCATATCCCGTATAGTTGAAGCATACCGCGAGGATGTCAAAGGTTGGCGCGACGACTGACAAAAGACCTGTGCCGATATACAAGGGTGTTTTTGTCAGGTGGACTCGTGTCACCTGCAAGGCAGTGGCAATTCCGGTAGTGATGAACGCTGCAGACACTAGATACTGCGTCTGCTCCGAGTTGAGATAGAATGCACCTCCCGCAATGGCCAGCGGAGGGGAGACGACCGATCCGATCATAGTCAAAGCATGTTGCAACCCCAGGATGAGCGTCAACAAGATGGGCACCTCGTCATTGAGACCATAGAACGGTGGATCCGTCCCTTCATACTTCTTGTTGAGAGGCCAGATGTTTGGCGTGATGAGATAGAGATAGTCCTGAAGTCGTCAGTATATGCCAACTAAACAACAGCACAATCAACACACATAGTCTCCAACCCATCCATCGCGACTGGTAAGATAGTGTTTCCAGTACTGCCACTGAGATCGTGCAGGCAGGATCTCGGCGGGAGAGGATGACTGTTCGTCTGAAATAGACACGGGTTCGGATTTCGTCTCCATGTTGATGGTGGGCTCCTGGATTGAGGATATGCAAGGGTCCCACGAGAAGGACTTCATCTTTTGTACTTCCATCCATATAGCAATATAGTATGCTTTCTTATCTGATAAGGATGACAGCGCGATAAGCTCGTATAGCGCCATATTAAATGGGGAACAGCCAGCTCGGCCGAAGGATTCCCTTATCAGTAGGAGAACTGCCACTCGGCGCCACTATATCTGTCCCATTAATTCATTACTCCCATCTTGATAGGCAGTGGGACAGACCTGTCAACATGGCTCAATCACATTCTACTCTTTTTATTCATGCGACCATCATCACGGTAAACTCCAGTCGGGAGGTCATCCATGATGGTTATCTGCTAGTTGAAAACACCCGCATTGCGGCCATTGGAAAATGCCCTGTTCCTCCAGACTTGACTGCATCCAAAACAATCGATTGTACTGGGAAAATCATCATTCCCGGCCTCATCAACACACATGCTCACTTAGTCCAGTCGCTCTTACGAGGATTGGCTGAGGATCTCCCATTACACAACTGGCTTTGCGACGCCATTTGGCCGTTGGAGTCGGTCTACGATGACCGTGATGGATATCATGCCGCCCGACTCACCATGGCAGAGATGCTCAAAACAGGCACAACGTGTTTCCTAGACCCGATGGTGACCTACCGTGCGGGCTGGGAGAATGTATGTGCCGCAGTGGATGAGATGGGAATGCGCGGATGTCTCGTGAGTTGCATCTAGAACCTATTCCAGGCCTATTCTAGGGAATCGAGTCCTAATTGATAATGTAGGGGAAACTGGTCAAATTCACCGAGACCAACAGGCAACTCTCAATCACCGATCCGCGGGATAGAGACCTTCTGGCCATGTCAATCCCTGCCTTGGTGCAATGTCATCAAGAGTATCACGGCGCATGCAACGGGCGCCTTCATGTCTGGGGAGCAGCTGGGACACCCCGGGGTGCACCTGCGTCGCAATATCGGGAGCTTGGCGAGACGTGCGCCAGCCATGGAATCTCTATCACAATGCACTGTGCTGAGGCCCCTCGCGACCGTGATATCTACCACGACACATACCAGTGCACCGCCATGGAGTTTATCCGAGACACCAAGATATGCGGTCAGCCCGTTGCCCCAGATGAATCCAGTCCGCCTGGGGAAACAGAAAGGCCAAGGACCACCCACCACTTGGTTCTTGCCCATATGGTGAACTTGGATCTCGATGTTGATCTCCCTCTGCTGCATTCGACCAATACATCCGTCGCGCACAACCCGTCATCCAATCTCAAGCTTGCATCGGGAGTTGCCCCTATTCCTGCCATGCTATCTGCGCCGTATTCTATTAACGTTGGATTGGGCACTGATGGTGCACCATGTGCCAACCACTATGACATGCTGCAAGAGATGCATCTGGCTGCGATCCTACATAAAGGGGTCTGCCACGATGCTGCGGTGATACCCGCCAGCACAGCACTCGAAATGGCGACTATCAACGGTGCCAAAGCTCTGGGATTGGAAAGTGAGATTGGAAGCCTTGAAGTCGGGAAGAAGGCTGATCTAGTGGTGCTGGATCCTTATGGTCGGGGTGGGCTGGCGGCAGCTCCATGGTACTGGGACCATCGCACGGGTGTGTCGGCTGTCACTACGGTTGTCCATGGCTGTACCGGAAGGGATGTGAGTATGACCATGGTTGATGGCAGGATTCTGGTGGAGAATGGAGTCTTGGTGGACGGGGGTGAACAAAAGGAACAAGACATTGTGCGTCAAGCTCAGGGCGCTGTGCAGGGTATACTAGCACGTTGCAATGCTACTCGAGAGGAAACCAGCCAAGTGAAGGGGACTATTGGTACAGGATGGACCACTCAGGTAGTAGATAGAGAGACCCCGAATTATATGTCGGTAGAGGACCACAGAGTATTACCTCCACTATATATATTGCTTCATAGATCCTAAATCACTGCCGAACTGTCCGTCACGCCCTCATCTACCAGAATGGTATTAAACGAGACTATAGTATCCTTGAGTAACCCCATTGATACTATAGATCTGCCTTATTTCCCTGTAAAGCTACTGGTGAATGGCGAAAAGTAGCCTCTGTGTGGCTAGGTTCATAGAGAATAGTCGAAGTCTCCTGCTCAGAAGGGCAGAGATAACTTCAACAAACAACTATCGTCTTAGTAAATCAGTAATGATAGCCTTGACGAGGCTTTCGCGGTCTCAAGAATCCATTCAATGGTCTATTCCCACTTATGCTGATGAAAAATGAGCCTATGCAATAACCCCTTGGCCCCACGAAGCACATTCCACCGACCACGAAACTATCAATCACACAATTTCGAATCATCTAAGCGAGGACCACCACATATTTCTTATTTGCACGTTTCCTGGAAATCTTCTCCATGCCGTGGTTGCCATTCCCACGGCACTCGATGATATCACCACTATCGAATGAAGACATTTTTATCCCGGCGATCGAACCGCAGTCTCTCCGCAAAACCTCAAGAACGGCACTTGGAGAATGCTGGACCTTATTAATCGTTAACTACATCCTCCTCATTTTACACCTATCGGCCGTCGATCGGCCAGCTTGTCAGTCGCATATACTCACCATGGAAGAACAACAAAACATCCGCAGGGTGGCGTTTGCGCCGGGCACAGCTGATGGAGTGGCTGAATACGATGCGGCCAAGGAGGAAGAGACGCCGCTCCGAATCCCAGCGCCTCCGACGATGCCTCGTCCCAGTCGAACAGTGTCTCATGTACATGAGCCGCCGTATATGAAGCTGGCCAATCCGGGTCCGCTGGGACTGCTTGGTTTTGCCATCACAACCTTCGTTCTTGGGCTATACGAATGCGGCGCTGGGTATGACTTCTCTCGCAATCGGATTTGCGACGCTGACATTTTCGCCGTTATCAGACTGCCTCACTCGGACCCTGCAGGCGATGTCGGTCCAAATCAAGCCGTCTTCGGACTGGCCATCTTCATGGGCGGAGCCGCGCAGTTCGTTGCGGGCATCATGCAATTCCGAGTGGGTAATACCTTTGGAAGTACGGTGCACTGCTCGTATGGGGCCTTCTGGCTGAGCTACGCCATGTTTCTGATCCCATCGCTGGATATCCGGGGGCAGTACAAAGGCGACGAACGGGCATACACGTTTGCAATTGCGATATACCTCACCCTGTGGTGTTTCCTGACCTTCCTCTTCCTGATTGCAGCTCTTAGGACGAACGTTGCTATTCTCCTGCTGTTTTTCTTTCTCACAATGGCGTTCTTATTCCTGGCGCTCGCGAACTACCTCATGACGGAGCACCCAACTGCGGCGGTCCGTCTCAACAAAACAGGGGGAGCGTTCGCTGTTATTTGTGCCGCAGTTGCGTTCTATGGAGGGGCATCGGGCCTTATGCTGCCTGAGACTACTTTTGTGAGGTTTCCCTTGGGGGAGTTCCCACATCCTGCAGTGTAATTAGCTCGGTTGTATATAATCACACTGCTAATATGTAGATGCGGAACGACTCCTCGCTATTTCATCTAATTGCTACCTTCTATGGGAATGATGCAATAAAGTGATCATCTGGCTTGTCAAACGTGGATCAGGTAATTCAAAGAATATACCTGAAGCGATTTGGACGATCCATATCATCCTCCTCACCCGCCTGCTGCTCGTCTTCTTCCAGTCTCTTATTCAACCGCGCATGGACAACCCGGATGACAAAGGCCAGCACCGCAACAACAAAAGCCACCCCAGCCGTCGCACTCCCACCGGGGATATACCGTGGCCCGGACGATGACGGCCACATGTAGCTGCCGTATATTGATGCAGTGTTTCCAATCATGTTCGCAACGGCGATAGCGGCCGAACGCTTGACTAAAGGTCTGGGGAATGAGTTCGCGACCCACGCGATGATGATCTGGTATGCGGAGACCGCGCCCATGGGCATTAAGAACATGCCGAAGAATTTGGCGCCGAGATTGGTGGTCGCCGTGCAGATGATGCATCCCACCACGCTGACCATCATCAGCGAGATGATGTGGATTCCGCGATCGTTGCTTCGGCCTGATGTCCAGGTCACGACGAGGGAGACCAGGAAGGTCGCGATCCACACCGGAGCGGTAATCAGCAGCGTGATGATGTTGTTGTATCCCAGTGTCTGTACGATCGTGGGGAAGAAGTACTGGAAGTTTTGCGAGAGTAGGGAGGTGTGTTGTAGCAGGATGAAGAGGTAGATTCGTTTATCCGTGAAGACGAGGTATAGAGCTTCTTTGATGCTGTTGGAGCTGCTATCATCGGCTTCGCCGGCATCGTTGATCAGACGCCACTGCGCGTAGGACTGTTCGCTTGCATCGAGCCAGGAAGTCGTCGCTGGGTAGTTGGGCAGGAAGATCCTACAGTCATCAGATGAGAAGTCGAGCGAACACGAATGTACTTACGCCGACATGATCGACACCCCCACGGTGATTACCCCCTCGATGATGAACAACCAGCGCCATCCGGCAATTCCATGCGCCCCGTCAAGGTTTCCCAACACCCCAGCTCCAATCAAGCCACCGAAGGCATTGGCAAGGGAGCTTCCAGCATAGAACCAGGCAATTCTGTGACTTAACTACGCAACGCGGGTTAGCAGGGAAGAGTGCCGTGGTGTGCTGGCGCATACCTCTTGTCGCGTATACCAACTCGACCTATCACTTGTAAGCAACAGCCTATCCGAGCATAGCCACCTCAACTCACATAAGCATGATTGCGCCCGGAAAGAAAGGCGCTTCGACAAATCCAAGAAAGAATCGTGACACCACCAGCCCACTAAACGAATGCGTTGCCGCTTGGCATGCGGAGATGACACCCCAGAGCGCCATGGCCATCCCCAGAAAGAGCGAAGGTCGGACGCGGGTCAGCAGGAGGTTAGAAGGCAGCTGCATCAGGAGGTATCCAACGAAGAGGATACTCGTTGCTAGATTGTAGTCGGTTCCATGCATGTCCAGGTCTTTTTCGAGCGATCCCAGTCGGGCCTGAGAAAGGTTACTGTGACGAGTCAGCGCAGAACACAGCCGGTTGATCTATGTGTTCTCACTTGCGGTCTAAAAAGTTCAATAGGTACATCAGGACCAGGAAAGGCAGCAAGTGTAAGTCGACCTTTCGCAGCAATTGCTTGGTCATCTTCCGATGCCACTCGCCGTCTTTTGCGGCATAGGCCTGATACAAGGCATCCTGGTCGAGGCCGTCTACCGACTTCTCGGGCAATGTCTTGTTTCCGATGTATTCTTCTGCTGGCTTCGACATGGCTAGTGGACGATGCGGCCGGGACAAGGAAACCAATGTGCTTTTTGACGTGGTCACCCCTGCATCGTCAGTCTGTCTATTTATCAGTATGTAGATCGTCGGAACATGTCCGAAGTCCAAAGCCTATTGCGATCCTGGAGTCATTCGGTCGTGTTCTCTCCAATTTTTCAACCTCTGTGGAGGCGGGGATGTGGGACTATCGCGGGGTTCGGGGTATTGGTGTCCGAGGGATGCTGACGATGATGGCAAACATTTCCTATTTCGTCTTCCACAGGAGACAGACAGCACACACTGCAGCATCGCGATGCCCATCCATGGTCGGGCAGACGACTTCTTCTCGCCTACATATGTTGAGCTTTCGATGCTGGTCTCACATCTGTCCAGCTTGTTACCAGAAGGTAGTAGTAGCCGCCAGTGCACACCACGGCGGAATGACTGCCCCCTGGATTCCGAATCGGATTAGTGTAGGCTGAAGCTAGTGGTAGAATGACACCAACTCAAAGGATCGTGTTGATTATCGTTGATTATTAGGAAGACACTCTTCATTGTGATATCCACCAGTTCTGCCTTGATGCCTCTTGCCGAGGTGTTAAGGATGAGCCATTCAGTTGTCGGCTCTCTATAAAGTCAAGGCGGAAAGCCTTCGTCACCATGCCGCACAGACATATTTAGTATTTTTTCGAGTCCCTTCGCAGTATGAGGCGTTTTGTGGCTGGAGCGCAGACGGGGGTGTATCCCGACCCAAATTGAACGTCCTCTCTTCATCATCAGTGGCAGCGGATTTCCAGACTCTCTACAGAATGAACTTGTGTCGGTCTGAATGGGCGATCTGTATAAATAATCCATCACTCTCCACCTGAAACCGAAGCCGGTCGGTCCATTTGTAATTCACCGTTGCTTAATTCGTCTGTGAACACCGAAGTGACTGGCGTGCAATCTCCCGCTACATATATAACTGCTCTTGATCCAGATGAAGACAAAGTATTCATCGACCTCAGTGTTGACATCTATTTAATGCAGGAATGTACGCCTCAGGTTGGGGGAGGGATGGATGGTATCAAACATAACACAGCCGCGCAATTAATCTGATAATGCGAGGGGAGATAAAATGAACACAATAATACACAGTTCCTAAAGAATGACCATGAGATATAACTATTATGGGCGTCGATCATACGAACCGCGCTGGAAATCAGTGCACTCTTCGACATTCGTCTCGATCTCTGTATGGGTCAAGATTTTGCCATCGGGGATAATAATCCGGTCCTCGCTGCCCGTTCGCGTGAATCCACTATGGATCTCAGTGCCAACGACACGGTCCGATTCCGCGCCTCGAAGCGGACCGATATTGATAACCTGGTCGCGCACTTTGGAAAAGCCAGACCCGTACTTCCGGCCATTCGAGCCAGACCACGTGCCATAGCCTTTGTTGCTGGAGTATTCGCCAACCAGGCGAGGGAGGAATCGAGAAGCGATGGCTTTGAAGGAGGGAATCGAGGAGGCGAAGATGCCGACATTAATTTCGATCACGGACCAGTACATCGCGCCGCTGATGGCGTACGTCGCGTCCGATGACCGGAGCATTTCTGGGATGTAGGTGATGCGAATGATGGAGGAGACGCAGGCACTGAATGGGGGAGATTGTGAGAAATTCGTCGGTATATACCTGGGTGGAAGATGTGAAAACTTACAACAGACCCAGGCACAAGATCATACCAAGGGCAACCTTCTGCTTGACGGGCATCTGCAGTTTGAAAATAACCCCAAGAGGCAGCGTGTAGGTCATCAGATCGGTCAGGATGTTGAGGGCGGCGTTGGCGAGATAGAATATGTTGATGTTGACGCATTTTCCCGGTTTGGTTGACGCCCACGCCTTGTCGATGGGCTGACATTGGAATGCGGCGACCAAGACGAACGAAGTTGCCTGCGATGCGACAATACCGAGCATGATCAATGATAACCGCGTGAGCAGTCGATCACCCAACCGGGTGTAGAAGACGCAGACGGACGACTTGATGAAGCCGAGGGTTGTGAGATAAAACATCGAACTTAACCAGACCGCCTGATCAGATATGTCAGTTACAGGTTTTGACGAAAAGAGGATGGACATCCATACCAACGCGTAGGTCACCATGTTCTCTTTAGGCACATCTTCTAGGTGCGAGCCTAGGCCGTATTTCACGGCTGTGACTGCGTCAGTTCACTGCTCATGACCAACAGTGGTCATAACTTACCCACGACTGTGATGGCCGAGAATGCCCAAGAGAAAATCTGCACATGCTCATGTTAGCGACCTCTCAATTGCAACACCGGACAGAGCATGCTTACACAGGCACCGATGATGAGATCTGAACTTTTGTCAGTACTCTGGTGTTCTAGGCTGATCCATACCATACTCACAATCATCCGGTCCCATCTTCCTCAGTACATACACTCGCGAAAACAGTCGTAAGGACAGAACAATGAAGGTCAGGACTGCAAAGCCGAGGGCAACGCCCGAGACCGTCGGGCCTTGGGAATCCGCCATCTTGGAAGCTCGATGTGGCGCTGTAAGTACGTATAAACGGGCAGTCCTGGAGGAACGCTGTCACTCTTGGGAATCAAGAACCAGCTTGACTGAAACGACCGTGATGCGGAATGCAAAGGAATGAATTGGTGGGAGGGTGAACAAACACCGACGATTCCATGGACTGTTTTATTAAACGAGTATGGGCATCGCCTCTAGAGACATCACATTCTCATTCTTTCAGGGAGAACAAGGAATCGAGGAATGCTGGAGAATGAACTAGTAGGACTATCAAATCCCTCTGACAGATCGTCTCCTGCAAGGCCCAAGACCAAGTGACGGGGTCGTTGCCAACGGGCAGTGATGGACAGTGAGTGCCCCGAAAAGGGTATGTAGAGAAAAGCACATATTGGCTATGGCCACTTTTGGTTTCCATACTATTCGTCCAATCTGTCTTCGCGCCCCAGTACAGGAGGCGCATATCGGGGGTCGAGTCAGACTAGGGTCCGGCAGCCGAAGCCGCACAAGACAGGACGAGAGCCCCTGGTCTAGCGTACTGCGAGCTATGCCGGTTTATTTCGTGCCTGCTCATGTGTCTGCCTGGAAGCCTGCTAGTGTTGTTCTAGACTTGGGGTCTCCACCGCGGTTGACATATCGAGAATGTGATCTAGCCTTGTCCGAGATCTCACATGGCAGAAGAGTCTTACTTTGTGCATCTCACTCATCTCAGCCACATGAGTTTCCACGTTAAGCCAAGGTGTGCATCCTGAGTATGCGGTAGAAACTCTCCCGTATGAACTTAATGTTGGTGTGAGGGATACAAGACTTGGGAATTAATTTCGGCAGTGAACACGGGCAGAGAGGAGGGGCACAGTTTCAGGTCTGACACGGGGGACGGCCCTCATGGCAGCCCGTGAGTGGTGGCATCTTGGGCCCGCGCTAATTATAGTGGAATCTCTGCCGCGATCAACGCTAAATCCTGTAGAGGATTGTTAGGGCATCCTGCCTACGGTCTCGGTTACTTAGTGGAGCAACACCGAAGACGATCTTCTGGTGGGTTTCGGAAGAAAATGACGAGAAAGAAAAGGAAGAAAGAACAAGAATATCTGCCTACCTGAAGGGACAAAGGATGGAAAATGCAGTATCAGGACGGTAGAAATGGAATTGATGGATCACCAAGCCCTATGTTCATGGCCAAATCACCGCACATGCCCCATATTTCTTCGACGCGGGAAGTCAGTCCCTCCGTGATGAGCTGTCGATCTGGGCGAGACCATCCGTTGACATTTATCTTATTTCGGGCTAGAAGACACGCCAGCTGCGCCATAGACTTTCGCCAATGCAGCCGTTGAAACCGTTCACGCCGCAGGTGCATAAGGGCTCTTGCTGGCGTTCAACGGAAGCAATGAACATGAATCAATTAATCAATTCATTCTATGGGGATTCCGTCATGAACCATGCCCTAGTCCTATATTGTACTCTGTATAGCCTAAACTATTCCAGGGTGAACAAGGGCATTGTCGTGGCAAGTTACTATTCACATGGGCATGACAGGACCCTGCGGTCGGTCCATATGGATCGGTGGAATGGCTCCATCCATCGCTAGTGCTAGGACGAGGAGTTGGCTCTCTGCCGCCGTACCGAGATTTTGCCCTAAACCAATCGAGTCAGTGGTGGGTGTTTCTTCCTCGAGACTCGAATCATTTCCTGGTTTGATCGACAGTCGCCATACCGCAGTCAGTAGCTGCTGGAGAAACTGATGACAGGGAAGATCGCTAAGTGCCCTGGGGCAATGCTCATATCCCTACTGAAAAGGGAATTCCCGTGGAAATGACAGGCCCCAAAGAAATGACATGCGGAATTCAGCACCTCTTCCACCATCTGGAACTCCATAGCAGCCAAATGCGAGCACTGATTCCATTTCTGGGCACGGATCGCCGACTCGGACGTTTTGCCTCCTTGGACCGTCGGCTCGCGACGGGCGGAACGTCTCCCCGCCGACCCTAATTCTAGGTCACTATCCCACCACTGACGGTAGGTAGAATCAGAAGCGAACATCCACTTGCTCTGGGGTGTCCGCTAAGTGGGACGCCAACCTGTCAAGTATTACTCAGAACCATCTGTCATTTGCTGTCATGGGTTATCCATACCGGAAACAACATGTCCACTGTGTAGGAGCTAAAAAGATCACTTACCTGCATACAGAATAAGTGCAACGAAGTTGGCATACTAACAAAGGCAGAGAAAAGGAGGAACAGGTCTTGTCGCGGGGCGTGCGGGAGCACCCATGGTATTAATTCCCGTGGAAGAGGATCCTTCGTCCAGCCTGTCCTCATCTTCTGACGATACTTGCATTCATCATGGGTGTAGTCGAAGAGGGCCTCCTCTCCAAACTCACCGTAACCAATGCAGTCCTGGCTCTGGTCGCCTACGTCGGCTTGAAATTCCTGTATCAGATTGTTTATTATCGCTTCTTCTATCCGCTGTCTGTCTTCCCTGGACCGTTCTGGGGCAGTGTCACCCGACTATGGATCGCATGGCATAACATGAACGAGACCGAGCTGCCGACGGTCTACGAATTAACAAAGAAATATGGTAAACAACTGCAACATAGACGAAGAAAGACCTGCCAGCTAAGACAGACATTCAACCCATCATAGGCCCTGTTGTGCGCATCACTCCCACACTCCTCCTCGTCAGCGATCCCAAGAAGCTCCCCGAAATCTACCATCGCAATGCCGACAAGACCGGCCACTACATCACCGGATCGTTCGGCGAGACCGAGTCGCTGTTCAATATGCGCTCTCACAAGACCCACGCCTCCTTCCGCAAGCACATCGCCGGCCCCGTATGCTCCATCCGACCCGAATGCCATCCCACGACACTAACTCCGAGCAGTACAGCTTTTCGAACGTGCGCAAGATGGAGCCGTTGATCGATGCCCGCATTGGCGACTGGCTGGCGAAGTTGGAGGAGAAATTCGTGAGTTCTGGAGAGGAATTTGACTTTGCCTGGTGGGCAGTGTAAGGATTTCACAACTACATGGGGAGAGATGGAATACCTGGTCGCTGATCTACTTGCAGATACATGGCATACGACGTGATCAGCGAGGTCGGCTTCGGCGCGCCGTTCGGATTCATAGAACAAGGCAAAGATGTCGGTGGGCTCATCCAAGGCTTCCACGACGGCCTCCCGGCCTTTGGACTCCTCGCGCGCTTGCACCCCTTCACCAGCTGGATCAAGACGACCTTCCTGAAGAAGTACCTCGTGGCGAAACCCGAAGATGACTCCGGCATTGGCGTCCTCATGCGCTTCCGAGACCGCTTGATCGACCAGCGACTGCGCGACATGGAAAAGAGTGGCGGAGATATCGGTCGCATCGACCTCCTCCAGACGTTCCTCGATGCGCGCACGGAAGACGGCAAGCCCCTCGATATGGAATACATCAAGGCCGAGGTTCTTCTGGTGCTGTTGGCGGGCGCCGACACGACCGGCACCGTCTTCCAGGCATTGATGTACAACCTGTTCGTGAACTCGGAAATCTACGAACGCATGATGGAAGAAATCGACAATGCCGTCCGGAAGGGTCTGATCTCTGAGGACATGCCGCAGTACGATGAGATCCTGGAGCATCTTCCGTATTTTGTCGCCTGCGTGCGGGAAACCCTGCGTCTCAACCCGCCCGCCCCGAACATCTTCCCTCGCTATGTGTCGGAGCCGGGCATGGACCTCTACGGCCGCTTCGCGCCCGCTGGCACTGAGATCTCGGGGAACCCCTGGATCATGCAGCGTGACCGTGGTCTCTTCGGCGAGGATGCGGAGGAGTTCAAGCCGGAGCGATGGCTGGATCCCGAGCAAGCCAAACTGTTCAACAAATATCTTTTCACCTTTGGATACGGGGCACGGGTATGTCTGGGCCGCGATGTGGCCATGATGGAGCTGTTCAAGGGGCCGCTGCAGGTGAGTTGCGAATTCCGCTGTGGATGAAGACTGTGCTGATAGTGTGTTCTAGTTCTTCCGTCACTTCAAGCCGACGGTTGTGCCCGGCAAGCCGCCTGCGCGGTTTGTGATCAAGGGGGGCGTTGGCTTCTGGAGAGATCTGTGGGTGACTATTGAGAAGCGGCCTCAGGTGACGAGGGAGTAGGTTGGTAGTTGCCTCCATTTCGTAGAGTAATGAAAATCGAAGATATCATGTTTGCTTGTTGTTGGTTTTACGTACACCTTGCCCCTGCGATATACAATTTGGTTTCGGTTTGGATAGATCAGAGCTGGAGATCCTCGGTGCATGCACGTAAGCGGCGGATCTATCCACGTTATCCACATGGACCCGTTGTGATATATCCAACGTTTCTGCTGCGTGGCGTTGCAGATCTTCCCGGGCCTTCTCTGTCCAACGTGATCGGATCTATCGTTCCTGACGATCAGTGACGGACGCACTCCGAGTACATACCAAGTCCAGTTAGTGCACATGACTCGCGCCACCTGCAATCTTCAGTGTAAAGCTATAATAATTTGTATCTCTTGCTTGCACTGCCGAGATGGACGTACGGAGGAGATTTTTCTACCCTGGTCGCATTTACGGAGCTTCCAATATCTTCAAGCGGTATTCGCAGCATACAATTGCCCAACTAGTTCAAGTCTACTCCCCACGAAATCATTCTGAATTTCGGACCGAAGTGAGCTCGATGCAACAGCATAGGAAAACAGCCAAGTTCCCAAGGATCGGCCCCTTGAAAGATTAGTTAGCTGAGGCCATGCACGCAAATTGACTCCAGTCCACATACCATATATGCCACATTCTAATGAACACTGCGCTAGGTCCCATCTGCTGCCGTGCCCATTCATCCTGTAAGTCGGATATATGAGGAATGTTGTGTTGTGGATGATGCTGTGACTTCATAAGAGACTAACAAAATTGCAAATGTCATTGATGACAGCGTCGAGATGGCCATCGATGACCTTTGCTCGTATTGTTATGTGACGAAGTTGCCGATGATGCAGGCTAGTCCATTCATTCTCCTTGTACAATGAGAACTACAAAGGAGGACTCGAATATGCCCAATCTAAATGCAGTCTTTCGGGACCAGGTGACATTTCATCGTCGCTGGTTCTCACGCCGCCGGAACCAACGCCCTTGTGTGTATCCAATATTTTGCACACCACAACAGATGACGACACCTGTGACAGTCTGTCTGTCCGATACAAAGTCCCTTCCGCTGCCATATTCACCGGAAATGCAGGTGTTCTTGCAGACTGCCTCACCTTGCCCGCTGGCGTGGAGCTGTGCATACCTCTGTCATGCGACATCTTGTACAAACTCCAGGATAATAACACCTGTCGGTCAAACAAAACAAGGAGGGTTTTGGATACCATGATATTATTGTGCAGAGGTGTTCATTATGGCTAGACGGTATCAGGTAGTACCTGGTACTCCTGAGGTACCTGGCGGTATTGGGTGGTACCTTACCAGATCGCCCCAGTACCGTGTAGGTATTTCACAGAGTTACCTTAGGTCCACTCGGAATGAAATTCACTATTTGCACTCTTTTGGCTTCTGGCAATCATTTTCATCCAACATATTGCCATTTCCCGCCTTGTCTGCTTTTTCCTGCCGCATTTATCCTTGACCTCCAGCTCTACGAAGGAAGCGCAAATAAGCAGGAACATGACTCAACATGTCTTTATCTCTTGTTCCAAATGAGCTGCTCCTGGTCATCATCTCCCAAATTGACTCCGAGGCCGACCTGGCCTCTCTCGCATGCACCAATCGCACATTCTACAATAAATTTATCCCACACCTCTATAAACGCAACGCAACATATTCTCATGGATCAGCCTTGGTATATGCTGTTCGACATGGCCTGTACTCGACCGCGCAGAAAGCCGTGCAGGCTGGGGCAAATGTCAACCAGAACATGCCCCCGATCCCTCCATCAGACAAGCGTCCTTTAATCAACTTTGCAGCCAAGGAAGGCAACGTGAGACTTGTCGAGTTACTGCTTGATGCGTCCGCCGACATCACAAGTAGAGATAAGTTGAGACTCACACCTCTGCACCTAGCTGCAGCCCAGGCCCACCTGTCAACTGTGGACCTTCTCCTGCGTCGTGGGGCGGACCCGAATGCCCTGTGCCGCTCGCGACGTACGCCCCTCTATATGGCTACTCTGCGGGGACATGTCGCAGTGGTGAAGCGTCTTCTGGCGCAGCCGACCATTGATGTGAACTTGTCAAATTCGAGCAAGGAAACCCCCTTCTTGGGGGCAGCACGATTGGGCCACCTCGAGATTGCTCTAGCGTTACTGGAATGTGGTGCCTGTGCCAGTGCGTCCCATCCTACGCAGTCGCCCGTTCATCATGCCGTCAGGAATAAACAACCGGAATTACTCCAGAAGCTAGTCAATCGGGGCGACGTGAACGTCAACGTGTTATATAGCGATAAAATTACCCCACTTCATCATGCAGTCTATGCCTCGAGAGAAGACCTGGTCAGAATTCTACTCACAGATCCACGGGTAAATCCGGATATGACCGGCTCGGCCTCAGGGCTCACTCCTTTACTGCACGCAGCCAGGACGAACCAGCAGGGGATCGTTCAGCGGCTACTGGATGCAGGAGCCAACGCGCGGATTATGGATCGTACATGGCTGTCGGCGCAGATGGTTCTGGAAGCGCCGAGTGTGGAAGCCCGGAGGCGATTAATTGACGAGCACCGCCTGCCAAGCCCAGAGGATACAGAGCGGAGCATTAATGGTCAGATTTTCTGATCCGAGTTTCGTGACTGTCCTGTTATTTCGCTGTCAGACTGTTATCCCGATAGCCAGATACAGCATAAGGCCTTTCGGTCTAAATAACATGTCCAGTATTCGAATCAAGACGCAGATTGGTCGATGCAGAACTCGAAGCGATGAAGAAAAATGCATAAAGCGACTCTATATATATCAACTACAGATCTGTTCTACCCAACCAAGTTCATCCATTATCTTGTCACTCATGCATTATCAACAAAACACACTCTTCCTCGCCTGTCGCTCGTTTTACTTTCTCTATTTACTCTATACAAACGGGGAGTTCATATCTTTCTCGTGCCCAGTTGCTCTCGGACCGATTCGGCTACATTTACGCTCCTTCAACTGCTGGGTTGCGCTGCTCTGTCTGCCTGCATCGTCTTGAAGGTCTGCTTTTTCGCCACAATGAGTGCAAATACCTCCACCAGAACAACCGATGCCTGGGAAGAGGATTAGGAATCTGCCGACGGCATCTTGATTGAAGACGCTGGACGAGGCGGCGAAATCCTTGCGATTGATGGCAAAGGGACACAGCGCTAATGTGTTGCGGATGGCCTCGATGGCGGCGGCGTCTTGATGGGCTGTAGGGGGGAAGGCTGTCGCGAGGGACTGCAGGGGCATTGGAGTAGTGTCCGAAACCAGTGCAGCCTAAGCCACACCGAAGAGGACGGTCAGTACGGAGAGGATTTGCCTGTTGAAGATGGAGTTTGGTAAGGAGTAGAGGGCTTTTCACATTTTATTCTACGCGAGGGAGGGTGACACGAAATGAAAGTGGTAGGAATGAATAGATTGCATTGGCGAGGTCGTATATTAGCGTTATACGAGCTCAATTACCATCCACTATCGATAGTACAATATTATGTGTCAAACCACATCTACAGCCATATATTACACCTTACATACCACTAAGTGGGTTGCCCATTTTTGGTAGTGTAATGGTCATTTTGGTTGACATTATGCTAGATCCAGTATGGCGGAATTAGTGTCGGCTGAGTAAGTAAGCGCGAGATTCCGTCGCGTGCGATAGAAGAGGAGGCAGTGGTTGCATAATATTCTAGTGAATGTGCATAGAACTAACGCAAGAAGGAGTCTGATGCAGATTCGAAGTAGAGATGAGATCGCTCATCGGATAGCACAGCGGAGTTGCAAGAGACCATTGCGTACATCAATAGTCTATATATATTCATGGTCGTGGGGCTATAGTCCTAAGGCCAGTTCTAGGTATAGCTTTTCCGTAGATATATATAACAGTCACCCCCATTGCAGATACTAACGAATGAGGAAAGCATCAACGTGACGACATGATATACTTTGCATTGTAGACGCACGTGCCCTCCTTCCTCACCACTCCCTGGTACCTACCTAACCTACCTAAGGTGGTACTCCGGAAGACATACTCGTATACTCCGTACTGACCAATCTGATGCCGCAATTCGCCCACGAGGAGTGCGGGATTTCCGGGTCAAATCAGCAGTCAAGCCTTGTCCAAGCATTCCCGACAAGGCTTGATGCCAAGACCACACGTGGGCCATTCGGTCCTGTTTATTGGCCCGCACCCGGGGTTCTGTCCGGTCCTCCCAATCACTGCAGGTGTGCCGCTCTTGCCAAGGCCCGCCAAGGCCATCGAACGCCCGATGAAGCTCAGTGCCAAGAGCTGCCGTGTTGCATCCAGGCACACGATCAAGATGTCCCTCTCGCGGTACAGCGAATCCTCGCGGAGAGTCCGTCCACGTTCACCACCACATGTGTCGGAATCAGCTCATTGTGTCAACACTAGAATGACCTTCTCGCTGTTGCCTCAAGTAGCATCCATGGGTGGCCCGGATGACGGGCCCTGACGTGACAGGCCTCTACTCCGTACATCCAATCGTTCTCCCACTATCAACTTTTCTCCGTTCTAGAATGTCACTCCCTGCGCCTTCCTGCGTCTTCCTGCACCCCCGTCTGACCATGCGAGACGCCGTCGGACAGTAGTTTACGCCACCTCGCTTCGTCGTTCGTGACAATATACGAACTCAGCCTGGTCGATTCCTTATAAACCATCCTCCGTCTCGTCTCATCTCTTCTTCCCTCGTTCTGTTCCTCATCCTTCTCCTTCGCTCTCTCCCACCCCTCCCACCACTATTCCAACAAGATGGTGCTCACGGAGTATACCTACGTCTTCGCCATCGGCACCTTGTTTGCCATGTTGGATGCCTACAACAATGGTGCCAGTAAGCAACCACCTCATCTTCATGGACATACCTCCAGGCTCTCACCTGACCAACAACAGACGATGTCGCCAACTCCTGGGCCACTAGTGTCTCCTCCAGATCCATCTCCTACCCTATGGCCATGGTCTGCGGCACCGTCTTCGAGTTGTTGGGTGCCATCACCGTCGGCGCCCGCACCGCCGACACCATCAAGAATGGCATCATTCCCAACTCGGCTTTCCGCGGGGATGCTGGCGTACAGATGCTGGCCTTCGCCTGTGCGCTGGCCGCCGCCTCGTCCTGGGTGATGTGGTGTACCCGTCACTCCACGCACGTCTCCTCCACCTACTCTCTCATCTCCGCCGTCGCGGGCGTCGGTGTTGCTACGGTCGGCGCGTCCGAGGTACAGTGGGGCTGGAACAAAGGAAAGGGACTCGGTGCTATCTTCGCGGGCCTCGGAATGGCCCCGGTCATCTCTGGGGGCTTCGCTGCCGCCATCTTCATGCTCATCAAGCTCATTGTCCACATCCGCAAGAATCCCGTTCCGTGGGCCGTCTACACCTCACCATTCTTCTTCCTCATCGCTGGAACCATCTGTACCCTCTCCATCGTCTACAAGGGCTCTCCCAACCTCCATTTGACCTCCAAGCCCGGCTGGTATGTCGCCGCCGTCACTATGGGCACCGGAGGCGGCGTGGCCCTCCTGTCGGCCATCTTCTTCGTTCCGTTCGTTCACGCGCGCGTCATCAAGAAGGATAACAGTGTCAAGTGGTGGATGGTCATCCAGGGTCCATTGCTCTGGAATCGCCCCGCTCCCATCGAGGCTGATCGCGCGCTCGTCCCCGACTACGCCGTGGTTCAGGAGCATGATCTCGACAAGGAGTCCATCAGCCCCCCGGCGTCGACGATGGAGTCGTCGGAGCAGACGGAAAAAAGACTCGTCCAGGTGGAGGCCGCTCCCCTCACGTACCGAGAGCTCCTTGCCCAAGGAGAGGAACGGTTCCATGCGCGACTGCGGAAGGGCCGCGGCCCGCTTGGCTGGGCCATGCGGGTGCTCCATGACAACCCCATGGGTGCAGGAGAGGTTTATGAACTACACAACCTGAAGATTCTAGCCAAGCGCATTCCCGCCATGATTGTCTGTGGCGCTCTGTACGGCATGCACTACGACATCCACGCCGCCCAGGCGGGTATTTCTGGCACTCCCGAAGCTGCTCGCATGGAGCGCGTGTACGCCCAGGCTGAGAAATACCCCAACGAAGTCGAGCATACCTATTCCTTTGTTCAGATTCTGACGGCCTGCACCGCGTCTTTTGCTCACGGTGCGAATGATATTGGAAACTCGGTGGGGCCGTGGGCTGTCCTCTACTCCGCTTGGCGCACCGGCGATGCCACGGCCTCGAAAGCCCCGGTTCCCGTCTGGCAGTTGGCCGTGCTAGCCATAATGATCTCGCTGGGTTTGATTACCTATGGATACAACATCATGAAGGGTATGTGCTATGCATCCTTGTTTTTTTCCCACGACCAGCACTAACAGATGTCACAATAGTTATGGGCAACAAGATCACGTACCATTCGCCCAGTCGAGGTAAGCTTTCCGCCATCTTCGGTGTTCTTTTGATGTTTCTAACAGCACTCTAGGCTCCTCTATGGAAATGGGTGCCGCCATCACCGTCCTTGTCTTTTCCCAATACTCTCTCCCCGTGTCCACTTCCATGTGCATCACTGGTGCTACCGTCGGCGTCGGTCTCTGTAATGGCTCCCTGCGAGCAGTGAACTGGCAGCGAGTTGGACTGCTCATGTTCGGGTGGATTATGACTATCCCCATCGCTGGAACGCTGGGCGGTATCCTCATGGGGCTGTTCCTCAATGCTCCTCACTTTGGTTCTTGAGCGTTTGTTCTCTCATTGCCGTCATGATTCAGGATTTGGCGGTGGATTTTGCTAGCATCTGTTTTCCTTTTCTAGTTTCTCTTCTACTAATGTGTTTTCCAACTTAATGGATTATAATCCAATGTTTCACCGCAAAACACGAGGTTAATTAGGTACTGAGACAGTAGTGAGCGGGGATGCGAGCGAAATACGAGCTCCCCGTGACAGCAACTGACTCATCTCTAGCGCTGCACCTCGAGTTGACAAGCGTTGTACCATCGTCTACCTTCTGAAGGAAGCCCAGAAAATAGTACTAGACATCATTTGCACAAGCATCGACGATGTCTCTACTGCACAGTTTCTTTCGGCCCTTCATCGACGCATTCTTCTGCCCAGGCCTGTCATTCTCGTACCGATGGCGCCTCCTTGGCTTCCAACCCATCGCCTTTCTCACTCAATGCATCCAGTGGCTTCCCAACATCAGATCCAATAAATATGCTATTCACTATATCCCGTTGAAAAGACACCCGGGCCAGTTTGTGCGCGCAGCGATCTTCCAACCAAAGACTGCCAACACCTCCCGCCCACGACCGCTACACATCAACATCCACGGAGGCGGGTTCATAGGCGGTCTCCCAGAAGGAGACGCCCGATTCTGCGAGCGTGTTGCGGAATCCACGGGTGCCGTTGTGGTCTCCACGTCGTATCGCTTTGCTCCCTGTCACACCTTTCCCGTGGCCCATGAGGATATCCAGGATGTAGCGGCTTATTTGGTGGAGCAAGGCTCTGAGATTTGGAATCTTGACTCTCATTTGATTACGGTTAGTGGTTTCTCCGCCGGGGGGAACCTGGCGCTGGGCTTGAGCCAGGCCTTGGCGGGAACCGAGTGCGCGGTGAAGGGCTCTGTCACTTTCTATGCTGTTGTGAGTATTATGAAATCGTGTGTAGCTATCGATTGGCAATTCCAATGCTTATTTGAAAAGGTTGATCTACGTCTTCCGCCCTGGGAAAAACCCAGGCCAGCCGGATTTCCCACCTGGGATCCGTTGTCGTTTCTCCAGCCGCTATTCGATGCATACGCCGGACCGAAGCGTGCTCAAGAGATGCAGAATCCTTTTTTGAGCCCTATAGTGGCCGATATTGAGAGCCTCCCACCAGACATGCTTTTCATAATACCGACGGTGGATATCCTGCTCGCGGAGCAAACCGCCTTTGTGAAGAGACTGCAAGAAGATGCAGAGAAACTGAACCGCCTCGGCTGGGGTCGGGCAGAAGATGATAGAACGTCTTCTCAAACAGGTTCTAGCATGCAGTCTAACGAGGGGGGCCAACGGACACACGGAGAGCGCCGATATACAGTGCAAAGCAAACTTTTCGATGGCCAAATTCATGGCTGGCTGGAACGTAGGTTACGGTGATTGCTTGCGTCTGTGACATAACACTAACAATTCGCAGTTCCATCAGCGGTCATAGACGAGCAAACTCGACGAGAGGCTTTTGATAGTGCGGTGCAGTTCCTCGAGAATGTGCATCGCAAATACGGATGGGATTATGAACAGTCTTGCATCGAATAATATGGCGAGAAGTCATCCGGTCACTTGATACCCTCTCTACTCCTGTACGATAGCTGCATATTTGAGAATAATCCCAATGTCCTGTATCCAGAGGGCCGTTCATATGATTAACGGATCCTTCGGCGCGGATTCTAATCTAAGCCGTGGGCCTGATGATATTCCTGGAGTCGTGGGTAAGACATGATGGTCTTAGTTGACGTGCCCTGCCATGATCTCGTCAGATATCTTCCATGATCCGGACATATAGGGCTTCGGCTTATGGAGATGACATTTCGGCACTGGAGGCCTTACGAGTCAGGAGGAAAACTGAATCACCGAACCTCGCTTGCTGCTGAGACCCAAGAATAGAAACTCATAAGCTGACAATGTCATGACGTCGGCATAACTGGAGGACACACAGGACAATAAACGAAGCCGTTGTGCTCGGCCTAAGACATTGTTCTCGCCACAACGGCCGATAAGGATGATGCCGAAGTACGGAACCACGGATGGCTTAACAATGTCTTACCGCGCCCACACAATCCTGGCTATTTTTATTCTCTCGGCTCCGAATTTGCATTTCATCAGCTTTATTCATCGTGGAGGCTGTAGAATTTCACGTTTTGCGAATGATTAGGTATTCCGTCATTCCTGGATTACTGTCTCAGCCGCCGGTATCATTGGCGGTAATATAGTCTCAAGGAGTCTAGAAAGGCCGGTCAGGCCGGAGCTATGAATAGCACAGAAAACCCTTCAGTTCACTGGGTCCAGGGTCCAGGGCCTTAGTGGGTCGGCCTAGTTGACACTGACAGCTGTGGCGGATGATATTTCCGATGCCTGGATGGAGTATATAAGGACACACACACTCGTCTGTCCAGTGTCAACAAGCCCTACTCAACCGCCCGCTCATCAATATCACTAGTCTATCCGCTCCAACATGCATCTCAGTCTTCTTTTGCTCTCGGCGCTCATCGGGTCAGCTCTGGCTCTGCCAGGATACCATGCGCGCAATTCCACAACCCCTTCCTACCGTCCAACACACACTCTTCTGCCCACTGGATCTAGTGGCGGCTACGGGGGAAAGCACCATACATCTAATACTACTACCGGTCCGCACCCTACGACCACTGACAGCGGCAATGGACCCGGAACTGGAGGTGGCCTGGTGACAACGGTCACGGATACCATCACGAGCACCACTTTCAAGCCATGCTCGACACCGATCGGAACCAACGGAGGCACCACCTACTACAGCACGTGGCTGACCGCGTCGGTATGGGAGACTACAACTTGTTACCCGACTACGGTTCCGACTTCCATCCCTACATTTGTGGTGACCGGTCTTCCCGGTGGTGCCAGCAATTGTGTTATCCAACCCACCGTGACTGCAACCGTAACCGTCACTGTTGGAAACGACAATAATGGAAATGGAGCCACGGTGACCCAGAAGCCTGGCATCGGTGGTGGCAGCGGACCCTGTGAACGTTGCGAGACTATCACCTACACCAACACCGAAGGCCGCACAACTACTATTATCATCCCGCCTTTCACCGACGGATCGAACAGCACGGCGACTCAAACGGGTCCCCAGACTTCGGCACAGACCAGCACTCTGACGACCACAACGAAGCGGCCCATTGGTACTGGGACTTATCCGACGCACACCCGCGGACATGCCAGTGGATACCAGCCCTCGGGGACACAATCTACTCATGTTCCTAAGGAGTCCAAGGCCTGGCACTTGGCTCGCAAGTTCTAGGGAGATTTGTGCTTCACCAAGTACGGGTGTATAAATTATGGGTCATTGACCGGGAAACAAGTCGATGGTTGATCTGGGGAAATTAATGGTTATGTTGAAACTAGAATAACTCACGTTTAGCATGTTGATATTGTTTGTTTCTTAGGTAGCATCTTGTACTGCCGGTTATGTATACGTTTTCCAGTGGATATAATACAGTGGCTTTTGAGTTGTTTCTCTCAGTCTGTTGTTCGGCTTACTAGTACTAATATAAGTGTTTTGTAATTACAGTCGGATCAGTTGCACCCAGGAAGAACGGACAGTAGACGGGACATTTTGACACAATACTCCTCGGGCAGCCTCATTAAAAGTGAGCCTGCACAAGCCACAGGACGTGTAACGTCATGCGCTGGAGGCTCGCCCCAGCTTGCGGGGCTCAGGTGCGTGGAACATGTGTTACCTGTTCCAGTCGATTGGAACGACCTTAGAATGTATATGACAGTCGAATTACTACATATGTGACAGTATCCCTGGGTAAGGTGATCAAGATGCACATGAACCATTTCACTGTCCACGGAACTAGGGGTCAGTAGCATTGGATCCGGACATGTCATCTACGTCTCAATGCACTGTCATCAACATTTCATTCCACAGTCGCATATATTATTAATTGCTATTGAACAGTTCTGAGGTACATACATTCGCCAAACCGTACTGCATATGGCTATGCATGTTGTGGCCACTTGCGAAGAAGGTCACCCAGTTGATCAAAAGGCGCCGTCAAAAGTCCCACTGCAGTCTCAAACGGAGGCTTGTTCGGGGCATGCGGATGGGCCCGGGAAGGCATGAAGATTTTCGTGCGGTTGAATGACTTACGAAGATGATCACTCTGATCGTCGGTAAGGACAGATTCCAACTGCAGGAGATCGTTTGTCTCCTCGTCCTGGACGTGCTGTGACATATCCTTCATCAACGCCTGGATAGCTGGGATAAAGGAATCATTTGACGGGTCTAGATTCTGAAAGGTTTTGAGCTCCTCCTTGACCTGATAATCCATTAGCCTGGACGTCCATTTCATAGTGAACAGACTTACGGTTTGGTGCGCCTTGCGATTCTTCTCGGCCATCGCGGCCCCCTCGGGGAGATGCTTCTCCAAGGCAGGATAAACGACTAGCTCTTCGGCAACCAGGAGACGCGCCAAGTCCCAGGTGAACAGGTTCTGGAACCGGACCTGTTCGTCTCGGTCGGTAGAGGAGACAATCCGATTATAACATGCCAAGATCTCCTGGTGGTCTTTCACCACTGCGTCGCTAATGTGACCCCCGGCCATAGTGTCTGTAGTTCAAGTATGTCCACGGAATAAACGATTCGATGTGGGTGCTTGATGGGATATAGCGAGGCAGCGGGAAGCATACTTCGCACACGGCGGGTAAAAGCTAATGGCTGCTGAGGTGGCAAAAGGACGATGTCATGATGAGATCGCACAGAACTTTACCGAGACTTCCGGACACCCATTGGTTTCATGGTATCAGAATGTAGAGATGGGGTGTTGTACCTACAGTGGGTTAAAGCTAACAATTCTTGTATATATATCAGGACGCTTGTGATCTCGGTCGGGGACGAGGCCATGTACCAGGTCGGCCATGCGGTGGCTGCTTCAAGAATTATCATTTCAATCCAAGCGAGAAAAATATCAGAAACCTCGTAACTCTGTGGCTTGGGATCCAAAGAAGCGACGAAGAAAGAATCAGAGTAGTGCCAGCTGTCCACATGGCCCAGACGGTATGCGTCAGATCAAGGGATGATACATAACGGTGTTAAACGAAGTATTATTCTTGTAGTTCAACAACTCTTCAGTTTAACTCGGCAGAGAGGCCAGACTTCCTGGTGCATGGTAAAATGATCGATGGCATGACAGTTATGGAAAGGATGAGGCTATTCGCAGCCTCTAAGCTGTCTCCACATTCCCCAGAAACTACCCGACATTACTACCTAGATACTAACTGGGGAAATACCTACAAACAAACAGCTGTTAGGAAATTCCGTAATAACCCTGATTGTCAACAAGACATATTAATATGAAAGGAGAGCAGGACAAGCCACCTGGATAGGGTTCCTTTATTCGCTTGTCATATGGCCTACCTACCAGTAAAGCACTTCGTATCCGATGTCAGGGGATGCCCCTTGATCAGCATACCACTAGTCTCTAGCTCGGTCTCGGACTCAACCCCGGCCGGGCATCTGCTTTTATTTGCCGGGACCCTGTTCTCAAAAAGGAAAGGCTGGATCGGCACGGGCTCCTCGCGCTTTTAAGCTCCGACTCTCCGACTGTCTGTGCAACATCGGCGGCTTCTATAAAATGTGCGCATGCTGGGCATCCATCACCACCATGAACCCTGACGATTTGCTGCTCGAATAGAGGGCATCGCTTGAACCAGGTGTGTACCTGCATCATGCCTCAGTTCCCCCCTGCACAGTCCGCGACGGCCACCGTGGGCGGAGTGCCCGCCACCGTCCCAGATATACCGATCTGCGCCGTGTTTCTCGCTCTTTACACCGGTTTCGCTGTTACAAACATGACCATCTTCCGGATGAACCTTCGAAGAGGCCACAAGTTCGTCCTGTCGGCCCTTCTGTTTGGCTTCTGTATGGCCCGGCTTACGACTCTTGTCCTTCGCATCGTCTGGTCTACCATCCCGCACAACACCTCGCTCGCCATAGCCGCTAGCATCTTCGTCAACGCCGGCGTTCTTTTGGTGTACATTATCAACACCATACTCTCACAACGCATTCTCCGAGCCAAACAGCCTCGGCTTGGTTGGAATCCGGTCCTTCGTGCCGGATACAAAGTTTTGTATGGCCTCATCGTCGGCGCCTTGGCCATGGTCATAACCAGTGTCGTGCTTTCGATGAAAACAACAAACCTCCATATAAAGCACCAATGTCGTGATATTCAACTAGCCGCCATTACCTATCTCCTCGTCTTCACCTGCGTCCCGTTGGTTCACCTCGCCGCTGCGTTCCTCCTGCCACGTTCCACCGATGAAGAGTCATTTGGACAGGGAAGCATGACCAGCAAGTCCCTGATCGTCGGCCTGTCCACCTGCATATGCATTTTGATTGCGGGTTTCAAGTGCGGCACAGCGTGGAGTCCTCCTCGGCCAGCGTCGCATCCGGCATGGTTTCACTCCAAGGCTTCCTTCTACGTCTTTAACTTTGCGTGCGAGATCCTCGTCCTTTCACTCCTGACATTCAGTCGCTTTGATAGGCGATTCTATGTCCCCAACGGTTGCAAGGGTCCTGGTGACTACACGCGACTCGCAGGGGAACCGGAGAAGCCACCACAGTCTGACGGCCACGATGAGGCTTCCGCGTCAATTGCCCCGAAAACAAGCCGATAACTTCTATTACAAGGGACGTAACCCATATAATCAAGCTATTTTAATTGATGACTTCACGATAGAAGGGCCATTCGGATGTCATTACATCTTCAACTCGGGAGTCCAATACATATTTTGAATTTTGTCATAACGCTGTATGTACCTGCACCGTGCTGTCACTTGGCGTTCTATACTCATGTACCATAATGTCATATAAAAACTATTCTACCACCCCCTTCCCCACCGCGGGTCCAATGGGTATGGAGCTGTTCCGATCACAGTCTCAATCACGCATGTCACAACCAAGAATACACACGAAACAATCCATTTGTTGATCTGTAAGAACTAGCAAAAGCATGAAGTTATGGACGACAGTATATATCCCTAGTCTATTTCAAGACCCAATGAGTACCTTTTCGGCTGTTGGCTAGTTACTAGTTGATATAGCTTTCACGCTTATTGAACCATTGAGAGGTTGTCTCAAGGATGGAAGCCTTTATCTGCTGCCCCGATGCATGTCCTGCTCCGATGCATAATCCGGGCTCCAGGATTCCCTGATTTCAGTGGACTTGTTCTGCTCACCAAAGAGAGCCATGTTCCCGATACCGTATATCACAAATTCTGCAGCCGCCAGCGCGTCGCAAGGGTACACGTCTGGTATATAGTTTCAATGTTCACAGTTCTTGCCAGTATTATTATATTTCCTGACCCAAAGCCCCAGTAGAACCTTCCGTGCTGGGTAGCGAGAAGAATATGGACAACTGCGAAAGGAGGTGAGGAGTTGATTGAACGAAGTACGTAGTGTATAGTGAAGAGCACGTCACATGCTTCTCGGTATATAGAATCTACATCACGATGATCAGAAAAGCATAACAGAGACTATGGAGCAATCAAATGCACCAGAGCACGGGATTACTGCATTAACAACGCTGGACTGGCTCCAACCAGCCATGCACGTTCATCTCGCCGCGGAGTCACAAGGTACTACCGTGCGCTGACTTGGACTGTATCTCCTGATGCAACAACCCCTATTGACACTCAAGCGAAGCGTGCACAGTCAACCACCTTCCACCGAACGTGATGTCCGGTGTCGTGGATAGTCGTCAATACTCCCGGCCCCTTCACTTTTCTGGTTTTAGCAAGTGTATGAGTCTCTCGGTCAGGGCCCGACGACATCCTGGGTCTGAGGCGGGCTACACCGGGTTGGTATCATGTCGAGCGATTGATTGATCCCAAATGTCATGAGGCGTGAAAACTAAGATCGGCATGTCTTCGCCACTTTCTCAATTTGGTCCCCTCTCAACACCTCCCTTCCATACCCGTCTAGAATGAGAGGTTGCACGAGAATATAGGCTGGACCTTCCACAAGCTCGTCCGTACTGAGCGTATTGCCTGTTTGGGATAGCTATGTCTTGCCTTTGGGTCAATTGACCCCATGGCCTGCTATGAGGGACGCGAAGGAAGGATTATGGTGGGTCTTGCGGCTGTTTCCCTCCAATACTGTGAAGACCGGGTCTGAAAATCCATGTCGTAAACAGCACTGCTCCCTAGTACTATGGACGAATCTGGCTCAGTTGACGAGACTCCAGCAAAGGATAGGTGTCCTCCTCGGCCACGTGTGCATCAACAGGATCTAGTGCTTATTATTGATTGATGTTGTCTTCTTGCCTCATAATAATCAAAAATCCCGGAGAGCATCCGGTGGATTTCCACCAGGCTTGTGTATAGCCTCATCTGGTTGATTGTTGCCTAGCCAACGCCAACGTAGCAGCGCCTAGGCTGGACGTTGTCAACGGGCCGACCAACCAGCATCTTAGTTCGGGTCCAGACCCGATCAACCTGTTAGCGGAACTCAGTGGGCGTTGATATTATTACGTATTTCGTGCAGTCCAGATGGGCACATAAATACCCAAGAAGCCACGACTACTTGTACTGGGTATCATCTCCTGAAGATCCGTTCATTGCTAAGTTTACTCGAAAACGGTTTATTCGACTCAAAAATTTCCTCCAGAGTTACCAGTCCATCTTCGATATGCAGCTATTCGACGTGTTCACCAGATGGCGACCACTCCCAGCCGATGAACGGACTAAACCAGAGATCAAGCGACAGTACGAGGAGCGCAGCAACTCTCCGTTATCAATCGCTTTGGCTTCAACAAACTCCAGCGACCGCCCATGGAAAAGTGGAGCCGCATTCACACAAGTCTTTGAAACCGGGGACAACAACAAGACTGTCTTTGATGCCACAGTAGCTCCCGTGCTCTCGAAAGTCCTCGATGGCGGTTCGTGCAACTTCTTTGCGTACGGTCACTCGGGGAGCGGTAAATCGCATACAATCATTGGATATGACTTCGAGAATGTGGACGAATTCGGGCTATGTCTATCGGCGGCTCGCCATCTCAGCGAAGTACTGAAGGACCTCAACGCACAGGACGACGACACAGCTTCGCAACTAGGCATTGGACTCCGCATGTATGAGCTCCGGGGTAATACGGCTTTCGACCTTCTCAATGGACACTGCAAGTGCCATGTTCGCGAAGGGTACGATGGACAGACACACATCCGTGGCGAGACGGAGGTGTTCGAGGATGGCCGGGTCAGGGTCCAGCCGATCGTCACCAAGGCGTGCTGGACCTTCGAGGAACTTCGAAAAGAGCTTCTAAATGGGTTAGAGCTGCGAGCGACTGGAACTTCGACTGTTCACAACCAAAGTTCCCGCACGCACGCAGTCCTGGAGCTTGAGATTGTTACGAGAGGCCTACTCGATGCACGCGCTGCTGTCATCGAGCGACAATCCGAATTAGTCCCGGTTGCGAAGCGTGCCACCGACATATACTTGGCCGAGAATTCCAAGGGGTTCATTCAAACGCCAGAGGGAAAATACGTTCCGAACCCAGATTATCAGATTGACCAGGCTAGCATCGACGCGGCGGAAGCGGAGAAAGCTAAGTTTGAGTCGTACGTGAAGAAGGCGGAGGAAAATGTCGAGGAAGTCTTTGCATCATGCCAGAAACCATGCCTTGGGGGAAAGCTGACTTTTGTCGATTTGGCCGGATCGGAGTATTATCATGACAAGACGGCTCCCTCTCTTCCCAGGCCGAAACAGACTCCCCAGGAGCAACGCGAAGGCCGGCAGATCAATACCGACCTCCTCGCTCTTAAGGAAGTCATCCGCGCGAGGGCATCAAAGCAAGCCCGTATTCCGTATCGGTCTTCTCCGCTGACAATGGTGCTTCGTGGTCACTTCCAAGGCAGCGATGCAAAGGACAGCTACTCGGCAATGATTCTCACAGTCTCACCTTCGTCGGGCCAGTACGCTGCCACCATGAACACGCTGAAATACGGAAATCTGTTAGGCCTCGCTGGTGGGGAGAGGAGGACGACGGTGCGAAACAATGGAGAAAAGTAGAACGTATATAGGCAACAATTGACTAGTCACCATAGATGCCAACACGCCACCATAGATTGGCCTGAGCTTCTATTTTCCCTAACGCTTAGCAAGACACAAATTGCTTCTCAACAGTCCAGTAAAACCCCAGCTTTCACTACATCCCCATTTGGCACCGTTTGCGCTCAGGCTATTGGGATCCCAGTCATAAGCGAAGCAAGGGCCTTCGGATCCAAAGCATCTTCAATGCCGAACCAGTACTGAAACTCTTCTGATCTGCCCTTGTCGTACTCGGCTTCATCCAGGATCGCCTTTTTATTCTTGCAAAAGACCTGCAGCTCTTTGCAGGCCACGTCGCCATTACGTTGCAGATACTCCTTCATGATTTCGCCACAGCTCATGATCATTCGACTGCCAATTTCCGCACCATTTCTGGGCGCAAGTCCCATTGCACGAGAAGCATCTGCCGAGCCTCGAGCCACATGATGAATCAGAAGCACGATGTTTGAGATGAAGGACTCGTCGGGCATATAGGCTGCTGTGAAGTATTGGACAAATTTGTGGTGCTCTTTCGCCCTTATGAGCCTCAGCAGCTCAATGGAACGTTTATGCATGCCGAAGTAATTGAACAACAAAACTGGCTCTTCTTCAGCTAGCTTATCCTTCAAGAGGGTGAGAAGTTGCAGTGTGCCGATGTTGCGAGTATGAGACCATTTTCTCTCAAACGTTATCTGTTGACTTGATTGTTGAAGCCTCTTGCTGGTCGGTTTGGGAGCTTGTTCCTGCGAAAGCTTATCCAAGACCTGGTCAATGTTTCTTATACCACCACCTTCGCCAGCGCCCACCACATACTGAGGTCGGAGCATTTCTGAAATTGTAGTTGTCGGCGAAAGCAGTCGAGGATTCTTGCCATCAGGACGGTGAAAGTCATACGCCTTGGTACGAGAATTGCGGGCAAATCTGGCAACCGAAGATATGCCTGTGGCCAGTTCAAGTCTGTTCAAAGACTCGCTGGCATTCTTTGGTCTAGACCCAATGAATATATGAGACTCGCCGTGGATCTTGATGAAAGCCTCCATATCAGGCCAGCTCAAGTTCTTGGCTGCTTGAATTATCACAAGATTGTATAGGAATGCTAGCTGCTGAACGTCGTACCACTGAGTGATGAGCTGTTGACCAATAGACTGCATCCGAATGTTGAGATTAAACAAGATCGAACCACAGAGAACGGGATGCTGAGATAGGAGTAGATGTTTCTCGACCGTAGCCTTGGCTGGAAATGTACGACTGGCAGACCGTAGCTCTGCGAAGGGGTCATTGATGATGACTGCATCCACAGCAAGATGGATATTCTTGATCTCTTGATCACCCTCCTTTGGCCAGAATGGAGGCGGTGGGTGAGTCTTGGAAATCTTGAAGTACTCATCAATGGTCTTTTGAATACGCAGTCCAGATATGCGGAGATCCTCGAATGCACTCACGGTACTGTGACGCATAACATGATGGATGTCAATCAGGATTTGGGAGGCGAAACAAAGCCATGGATCGAGCGCCTTGGTTTTGCAAAACTCAACAAGACCCCTGGTAACCAGATCCGAGCTAGGCATGTCAATACCAAACGTACCAAGCATGCAAAACTCTGGCAAGAGTTGGAGAAGAATTATTTTGTCTTCATTGAACTTCTGACCCGCAGACATTGCCTCTCTGTTTGCCTTAGGATCGTAAATGCCGAAATGTCCCTTCCTGAAGACTGGCAGGTGACCATCTTGCAAAGCATGAGTGAACGATTCCAGCAGGACCCATGTTGGCAAATAGCACCATTCGGCCACATCTGACATGTCTTTATTATAGGGCAGGCCCACTTCAGGTGATGGAGTCGGGTGGATACCCCGGGTGATACAGGCAGTTTTATAGACGAGTTCCTGGAGGTTTTCCTCGGGCGAAGTGGTCGAAGCAGCCCAGTCGTCCACCACCTCCTGCACCAGATCACGGGCAAGTTGCAATGCACTATCGGTCACGAGAGCCGCGTTCATAAGGTCGATCTTTCTGTCTCGATATTCCGACCACGTATGGGAAATAAATGCGCGCATATTATGCAAATCCTGGAACAGGCAGAGCACCTTGAAGAACATATGGCCGAGATATGATTCTGTTTCCTCATCCTCGCCCTCCTCAACCAACTCTACCTTGACGATCTTTTGCGATTCAGGGGAGACTGTCCGTTCCTGCTGAGATTCTTGAGGCTCCTCAACGGTGAGTACGGCAAACTTGTTCAAGAAGACGTCAAGGTCCGGATCACGATCATCTGTGGACGAGGTTGGGGGAGAGTTCTTGCGACATTCGTTGGAAGATTCGTTTATTTTCCGTTCCAGAGTCTGGCAAACCCTCTCCATCGCAGAGATGAAGTGGGCGTGTCGTCTGTTGTTTGCAGTGTCGCCCTGCCCCAAAAACCACGAGGTAACATGCTTCCTCAACTTGATCGCTCGTCTAGCAATGACGAGGATAGGCTCAGGCACAGGGAGGGAAGATTGGGCAACAACTTCAGCGAGCACTTGGAGACCTTTGGTCGTTGTTGTGTACTGGGCCGGAACTGAGGCATTGACCGCTTTGCTTTCGTTCTTACCTTTGCCATTTGTCGTTGGAGGCGTGGTCAAGGTAAGGTCTTCGGGTTGATAGCCGCATTTGTTAGCTGCCTCAAGTAGCCAGGTTGCGAAGCTGTTGGTGTCATTCTTGTAGCGAGTGTAACTGCTTTGCAGGAATTTAGGCAACATAGTGTCGATTGTGAGCAGTCAATGGCTGGAAAGATGGGTTCGAAGGAACACGAAGAGCCCAGAAAAGCCAGAGAGATGTTTTAAAAGCTCAATGCCTGGTTGCAGGACATCATGGCATGTTTGTTGATGGATCTCAAAGAGGTAGTGGCTGGCCATATCATATCACGTGACCGGGTCATGTGACTTCTGTCATAATCCGACCTGCCTGGGAAACACGCTCTCATAACGGATTTCCCGGAATCCAAGCGTGGGATTCTAAAAACACATGTATATCAGAGCCCACAACTTCACTAACGCCCCCAATTCAACATGCCGCTTTACAAGGCTCCCTGACGATCTCTCGTTCTTGGAGCATATGCTGATGCCTCAACCTGCGTGACCCCATCCGCAGGTCGCAACCAATTCACACGGTCTTTTGTGTACTGCTCCACACGGGGCTTCAGATCCGACTCATGCAGGGCGAAGTCATCCACAGTCCCAAGTCGCAGGATACTGCATCCGTGGTATGCCTCGCCGACTCGGTACATGAGAGACCCGCAAGTTGAGCAGAAATAGTTGGTCATTGATTGCTTTACCGGACGCGATCGTCTTCGATTGACTGAACATACTGAGATTGTCTCGGCCCCGTAGGTGCTTCAAATGTGCGTCAGCTATGATGAAGTTGGAGGCGAACATTGATGCGGTGATCTTTCGGCAGTCAGTGCAGTGACAGATAAACGTGTCAATTACCCCTGGGCCGCGGGTTGGCTAGATGAACGATGTTAGCGTGTTTTGTCTTAAACATTCGAACCATGACCTATACTAACGAACGCCAGTTGCACGGCACCACAATAGCATGTAGCAGTCGCTTGTCCTTCTTTAGACCAGCCATCATCGGCGCAACCGGCATGAGGTATATATGGCGTCGATCTAGCTTTGGCGGCGACCATCTTGCATTACCTTGAACCAACAACGGGGTAATTGATAGCTTTGGGGGGTGGTGAGCTGGCTGTATGTAGGTAGCTGTGAGTAATCGGGAGATCCTCTAGTTCGGGTCAGATTTGGAAACATTCGTGGTCTACTCGGCCAGGACCATGACAGACACCTAGGTATCTATGGTCCAAGCGGGCCAGTAGCTAGTTATTGGGGTAGGTATTATTAATTACTCCAACTGACTCTTCAACGCGGGTATTTGATTCGCTAGCCGTGTCGAAGGATTTTCCTGTCTGTTTTAGTGCTCACCCCTCGGTACTCTTTACTCACTCAGTATTAAAACTTCTAAGACGAAGCTAGAACCCAGAGAATAGAGCTGGCATGTCTGGAACAAGTGGAGGAGACTTAGGGGAGGTAGTTTGATGGGCCTTTACAAATGGAAGATCGTAATGTCCGGTTCCTTCCACTATATATTCTGCGACTCAAGTGCGAATTCTGGCTTCAAAACAAGCCACGTGAACAGGATGAATACGTCAACCAATGTCGCGGTCACGATCTAGGGCTTTATATGAGCGATGAAATAGGCACCGTATAGGTCAATGTTACCCACTATGAACCAAGTCATGAGACTTCTTTATGCTGCGGAGAGCAAGAGATGAGTCTCCAGCAGGCCCTTGATCATTTTGGATTTGACGTTCAGCTACCGTTGTTCGGGCTAGAGGATTGGGCGTTGCTGGAAAACATGGAGTAGATTACATGATCTGCATTAAATGATCAGTCAGAGCATTCTGAACTTTGGCCTAAGAGTGTTAAAGCATGAAACAAATATTCAATACCCCTTTCCTGGTCCATCGCTTATCCTAAACAAATCAGCCGCCCCAGGTACTGCATTATCGATATAAGCTCTATGAAGCCTTGTCCACTCGTTCAAAACGAAACTGCAAACGATCTTCCTGGTGACACAAAGCAGCTTCGACTGGGGAACACAGATGCCAGCCAGGCGGGACTTGAAATGTTCTGATATTCTCGGAATGGTCAGTCCAGTAGTCATGCAACCGTCCGAACTGCTCATTGCCACTCGTCACAAAGCCCTTGTTATCCTCAACGACCAATGTGATAGTCTGCTTGGCCAGCTGGAAGCATCGCACAAGAACAAAGTCGAGCTCTTCCACAGGGAGGAACCCCAGTGACGAAACGCAGAATATATGATCCACCATTTCAGTTTGGCGGGCGAGGAAAAATTCCATCCTGTCATATACCAGTTCGCTGTATAGACCGTTTCGGCGACAGACGTCCAACATCCCATTGGACATGTCGACACCCACTAGACGAGTGATTCGGTTTTGAGACCCGGTTTGCAGCGCGCGGCCCACAGCTCCAGTGCCACACCCAAGGTCAAGTGCAGTGCCCTCGTAATGGCCCAGCCCTACAACATCAATGACGGAATGTGGCATAAGACTGTATTGGTCGAACAGGGCAGCTAGCTCCGTGAAGCGTACTTCTCGGAGACCAGGATTCTTGAGAAAGTAATTGGTGATGTAGGTATTAAGAACGGCCCTGTAGCTGCCCGGAAATCCGTATCTGACGTCCGTGTCCTCCAGCTGGGATCCTGTAGGATAGAAAAACACAGGAAGAGGGTCCACTTCGATCACATAGGCTCTTCCATCACGGCCTAGGCGCATGTCAACATCGCAGCCCATGTAGTTTGTATACATTTTCTTAGTCGTGAATGCCTCTACTGCCGTCTCCTGAAGATGTCTGTATAGATCGGGATTCTCGGATTCGTGAAGAAGTTCATAACCCGACTCTGGATCGAACTTGAGGTCCAAGGTCATGAATCGTTCATCCTCCGATATTTGCTTATATTTCACGCGTTGGGGTGTCAATGGAGCCGGTCTCTCGCCCATCGCTATCACCACCACGGAGTACTCTTCCCCGTCGATAAACTCCTGCACGACGATATCAGTGCTATCCCCTCCGGCTGCTTCGCAGTCGTCGGCGTATTTCTCAGGTGCTGGATGGCCTAGAGCTTGCGCCCGTTGAATCCTGACTGGGCGCATTGACTTATTCAATCTTTCGATGCATTGCCGCAACTCGGCCTCGTTGTGACACAGAGAATGCCTATCGATGAACATGCTGCCATAGCCCGACGCTGGCTTCACGAACAAGGGGAAGCGCTCTGTTCCCGGCACCAGCGGGCTGCCGATACGTTTGGCTTCGGCAAAGAAGTCCCATTTTGATTGCGCTCTTTCGGCGCTTTGGACGCCCGCAGAGGGCAGATTGAGAGACTCAAAGTATCGGATGGCATCCACGCCAGCCAGAGAATCATCATGCGTTCCCCACATGAAGTTCAAGTAGAAGCCATAGCCTTCTCGTACAGCCTGGTCGATTTGCTCCCGGGCTGTGGCTTTGTGAATGGTCTTGTGGGCCACGGTATGCTGCGTGGTGAACGGTCCTGGATTCATACATAGTTCCTGCGCATCGCCGACGGAAGCCTGAAGCTCCTCGAAGCAGGATTGAAACACACAGATCCTCATTTGGACGTCCAAACCCAAGACATATAGCGGTGCTCTATACTAATCTGTACGGTGCGAGAAGTGTCGCGTGTCCACCTAATGTTCTCAGCCCGATCTGCATACCCCTCCATGCAAACCTGCAGGATTGACGAAGTCTAGAGTCACCCATGACGAGCTGAGTTTGGACCTTCTGGACTATTTGCTGCAGGAGGATGGGTCTATTCGGGGCTGCCAGCTTTCTCGACCACTCGTTTACACCGCTTATCGCCATACCCGGCAAGTGTAGTGGATCTTTCTTGATTCGATCTCGATCAGGCCGAGGATTAACTGACTACCTAGTAGTTAGTCTTGGTGGGGAAAACCACCGTGGCCGTAGCAAAAGCAACAATGCCCTCCTCTCGTCCTACAAATCCATTCTTCTCGTTCGTCCCAGCCTTGACAGACACCCGCCCCCGATCCAACCCGACGATCCCCGCCACCGAATCCCGCATTGCATCCCGATAAGGGCTGACTCGCGGTTTCTCACACACAAAGCTCACGTCACAGTGCGTGATCGTACCGCCTGCCTCCACCACCAGCCGAGCGGCATGACGCAGAAACTGATCGGACGAAGCCCCCTTCCACTGGGGGTCGGACGGTGAGAAATGGCTGCCAATGTCGTCGGCGCCAATGGTTCCCAGGAATGCGTTGGTCAGGGCGTGCAGTCCAACGTCTGCATCGGAGTGGCCGAGGAGTGAGGCACTGTGCGGTATTTTGACGCCGCAGAGGATGACCCCCTCGCCGGGCACCAGTCGATGTGTGTCGTAGCCGTGGCCTACGCGGACGTCTGGTATCGTGGGTGGGGCTATTGGTGAGTTTCTTGCCTGTAAGAAGCGCTCTGCCTCCTCAAAATCCACACTGAAGGTCAGCTTGATGTTTTGTGGATCCCCGGGTACAACACGAACAGGCAACCCGGCTTGTTCGAAAAGGGACGCATCGTCAGTGTAGTTGGAGCCCGACTTTGCGGCGCGCTCGTGGGCGGCCAGAATTGACCAGAATTCGAACGCCTGTGGTGTTTGTGCGCGAAAGAGCCCATCCCGCGGAACGGTTGCTGTAATGAGACCATTTGAATCGGTCTTCTTGAGTGTATCAGACACAGCGATAGCCGGAATCACGCCGATAGATGGGTCTGTAGATAGCGACTCGAGAACACTATCCAGTAAGGCGTGCGACGCGAACGGACGCGCTGCATCATGGATGAAGACGTGGGACGGGACGCAGTCTAGCGTAGAAAGGAGGCGGAGTCCCTGAAGGACAGACGCCTGCCGTTCGACACCTCCAGTTGTGGTGTAAATCTTCTGGTCGCGATCTATCGAAGCTTCCAGTAGTGAGGTGTCATCGGCATGGTGAACAATGACAATGGGACAGTCGGCATGCCATGACCGGAATAATTTCAGGACACGATTGATCACAGTGTCACCAGCAATGCGGCGATATGCTTTCTGACAGCCTTGCCCAGCACGCGTACCTCGACCGGCAGCGGGAACGACAATCCCAATCGTTGGAGGGTTTGGTGAGACTACCATGGCTGAAGCGTGGGAAATGTCAACAGAAAATGGCGGGAAGGGATGTCGCCGTGGATGAATATCATGCAGCCTGCCACAACTGGCTAGATTGACGCGTGACGTCGTGTGGTTTCCACCGTCCAAATTGTTGTGCGGCAGGAATTCTTCACACATTGCTGTCATCATGGGCGCTGTATCGCACTCAACACCCTCACTCTCCCTCCGAGTTCCAGCCAAGCTCAATCCGCAAATTCGTGCTGGGCCCCTCCGTCAAGACGGGTATCACGATGTCACATTGGTCTACCAGGCCATCTCCCTTTATGACGTCCTCACCATCTCGCACAATTCTAATGGCCCCACGATCCGGGTAACAGGAATGGACAGTGGCCGGGTTCCGTCAGATAGTCGGAATCTAGTCGTCAAAGCCGCCATACTTCTCGGGAATCACGCCAATATCGAACCACGCTTACATTTTGATCTCGTCAAATCCATCCCCTCGGAAGCCGGGCTTGGAGGTGGAAGTGCCGATGCAGCAGCCGCCCTCGTAGGGTGTCGTCGCTGGTGGAAACTGGACCTCATAGATGATGATGATCTTATGGCGCTCGGTGCACAGCTTGGCGAGGACGTCCCCTTCTTCGTCCACGGTATGATGGCGATAGGATTGGGGCACAAACAACCATTGATTAAATTGGCACCAAGCGGACACAAATGGCACTGGGTGTTGGGAATCCCCTTCCGTGGCCTGGCCACAAAAGATGTTTTTCAGATGTATGATCGCACATCGGCAGGTTCTGTGTCCCAGGAGAAGGATTATTTGTTGAGACAAAAAGGCTGTCTCGATATTCCCTGGGAGAGCGGTTCACCCCAGGAACTATTACCAGCTCTTGTGAACGACCTAGAGCTACCATCCACACGGCTACTGCCGGATATTGCGACGGCGTTGGAGGCTGGAAGGTCCGCGGGCGCACTAGCGAGCTTAATGACTGGATCCGGATCGACATGTGCCTTTCTAGCAGAGAATGAAAGCCACGCAGCGTGTTTGATGGAGCAATTCCGGCGAGAGACTATATTCAGACAGGTAGTCGTGGTCTTTGGTCCCGTCGAGGGAGTATCTGTCCTTGAGAGCCATTGAATGTATCTCCATTGCGGCTGTTAAAATCTGCATACTGAATGAAGCTGTTTAACGAGACGTGCTATCGTGTATGATGTTTCCGTGAAAAAGATAGTAGGTTAGTCTGATCACTGGGATGCAATCGGTAGGCTCTATCTGAGGACTTTCATCATACATTTCTGAGACAGGTAGAGAAGTTGACGCATTCACTGCCCAGACTCAACCCACGGTCAATTTCCGCATTTACATGTAGGAGACCAGTGGTTCTTTGACCTCCGTTTAGTCAATGATCATATCTAAGTTCATCCGCTGGCCTCTGTCTGGCTCTGCCGAATTGTTGGAGACAGCAAGCAAATGCGGGGAACCCTGCCCATATCAACTTGATGGGGCCCTTCATTTTTGCCGATGGGGTAGATAGCACCGAGACTATACTTTGAGCGCTCTAGTACCCTTGCTAGCCCTCTGGGGTCTGATAAAAGACGGAGGAGTTACAGTTGATTGGGCCATCGTCAAGCCCCTTATCGGCCCCATCTGATGCGATAAGTGCCGCGATCCTGCTCTGATTGAGAACCTATTCTGAGCGCCCTTGTGCAGCATTCGCGCTAGATTAACGCAGGTATGGGAGAGAACAGGAAAAGGGCGCTCCGTGCGTATGTCATCCATGACCGAAACGACAGCCAATACGGTGTTGCTGATGAATCTTTACCAGCTGCGACAGCTGTAGGCGTCTTAAAGAACGGTGCGATGGTGGCATCCCATGCAAGAAATGCTCTCATTCCGGGCGGACGTGCGAATTCGAAGCTTCAAGGGGGAGATCGCGCGAGTTCCGGCCTTACATTCCACGGTCAGATTACTATCTTGTATGCAGAACACTTTGCTAACGTGCGGTGTCCAGGGCCCGAGTAGTACAAACAAACATCCAGGAACTTATCCAACGCTCGAGATACATGGAACAAATCCTAAAGCACAAAATCGAGGGAATTGCACTGGATACCCAGAGTTTAGCCCGGTTGGCCGAAGACCTAAGCCGTCGTCGAGCGAACGACACGGTCCCTGGCCCGGAGCCCGATGAGGCTGATGATGGCCTGGAGATCCAGGAAGGGTGCACGCTTGATCCAGTGGGGAATACTACCACACGTAGGCACCCACTGTCTTGGTTTAGGGAACATCATGCTTATGGCGAGACAGACTTCTCGGGTGAATTCTCATACTGGAATTTCTCAATGCGCATTAAACAACACATTGAAGATCAAATGCACAGCTCAATGGTGTCGGTGAGAAATCCCCGGAAGACCTTTAGGTATCGACTCATCGCAGTTGCAAACAACTAACAACACATATAGACCGACGACCTGGTCCGAATTTCTGGATACTGGCGGGCCCAGCAACTCGACGCTAGCCATAGTCATATGGCAACTGCGATTCTCTCTTGTCCACCCGAGAAGATAGCAAGATTCTTGGCCACGGTCTTCTTCAAATACACCGAGTCCCATTATCCCATCGTTGACAAGGAGTGGGTCTTTGATCGCATTAAGATTCTATATACAGATTCCACAAGACTCTACGAACGAGGCGGCGAATCCACAATAGCGATCCTCCTGACTGTGTTTGCTGTCGGGACTCAATATGCACATCTTGAGTCCCCCGAGCCCGTCAGGCATCAAGCACCCGATTTCTCGGAGGAAAAGATTGGGGCCACCTTTTATCGCAATGCGGTTCGTCTCCTACCAGAGATTATCGAAATATCGTCACTCGAAAGCGTCCAGGCCTGTCTGTTGTTCGGACTATATGCGCTCCCAGTCGATGCATCCGGGCTGGGATATATCTACATAAATCTTTCGATTCGACTTGCCATGCAAAACGGCATGCACCGGAAGTGTCATGGAAGTGCCTTCAGCCCCGAAATGGCTGAGACTAGGAACCGAGTCTGGTGGTCAGCGTACATGCTCGAAAGGTGGGCGAGTCCGCAAGTTGAACAATACAATTGTCTTCTGATGCAGGATACAGAAAGATCTCCATATTTCACGGTCGCCCCCTTATCTGTCCATAGATCGGACATCGACGCAGAGCTACCCAAATGCGAGACCGGCGATGAGGACCAGCCGCTGCGACATATCGCGCGGGCCATTGCTTCCCTTCAGCTCATTTACTTCCTTGAAGACTTTTTCAATCAGATGTAAGCGGCCGTCGTCTTCTGATGAGGAAGCCCAGGTAAATTAACTATATAGTGCTACAGAAGAGAAGTTCGCAGTTGTCCCAGAGAACAGCGACGGCATGCTATAGCTGGCTTATTGGCGAGACGAGACGATCTTTACAAATGGTGGGAACGAACTTCGCATGCAACAGGGGACGAGCCAGGGTGTCTATCACCCGCAGATTATCGTTCTTCAATGCACTTGCAGCTGGAATACTGTCTGGTCCGTATGTTTGCTGGGCGCCCCTTCATGCTCGAGTGTGGGCGGGTACATACACCAACGGGTTCTGCAGACGGATATTTTCAATCTCCAGGTGCGAATCCCGGGCTTTCAGGACCCCATGGAGATGATCCAAAAGGTAATCGCTCCGGTCGAGAAACATTGATAGATGACTGCATCCAAGCAGCTAGAGAAGCCCTCGAGGTGTGCCAACGCCTACAAAACCATGGTCCAGGTTTAGCACGGGCCTCATATATCGAGTACAGCTCTTGCCGGGCCTCTTTACTTGTCCTGATAGCCTATTCCATACAGAATCCTTCCGCAAACTACCGTGGGGATATATCAGTCGGTCTGGACATGATCCGAGGGATGTCCGCGGCGGGTGAATCTGCGCGATCAGAGGTCTCACTGATTGAAGCACTTGAGCACGCCCTTGTCCGACTCCAGGAGAGGGCGGGTGCTTTCAATCCACGTTTCCACACCAATGAGCCACCACCCCGGACATCAGATTACGAAGCCTTCCTGGAATGGGGTAGGACAGGGAAAACGAGCGTCGGGACGATGGCGCCTCCGGAAAGACGTCTTCCACACCAGCTCCGCGACCAGTTTACAGGGCCAACAAATGTTACCCAAGAATCGTCAGTAACCGACGCTGGTCCTTCGAACGAGTCAACCATATCTAATATGGACGCGGGTTTTCCTGGAACGCACTTCGGACTTGATAGTCTGTCCAATCTGGAACCAGTGCCCAATATTCCCTACAACCCCGAAGACGGTATTTCCGCATATCTGGGCTGGCCATCGTTTACCGAAACCCATGTCTTGGAACAGTTCCTTATAGATAAAGGCGACTGGGTGGAGCATAACGCGACATAGGTATACGCCTACTTATAAGATGTTGCCTAGGGGGGTAAAATCTCCAGTATTACCTGTTAGCCTATATTCTACTCATTGGCCTGCCTTCCTATCAATGCAAGTAGGCAATGACGATTTTCATGATATGTACATGTGTGGTTAAGTACAACTGTTGAGTGTTCTGTCTGGGTCCCATATAAAAACAACACACCGATCTATTGTGACATTGCGACGATATTCTTTGCCATCTCAGGTAGCGTGTCTGCGATCACATCCATTTTTTCATCGAAAACCTCCGAGCAAGGTTCCTTTTCGTACACCGTACAGTACGCCCCGCGAAATCCCACCTTGGTGGCAGCAGACACATCCCACATATGCGCCGCTGCAAACCATTTGTCATCCCCTGCACTGAATTGATCAAATACCGACCTGTATGCTGCCGGTGCTGGCTTTGCTTTGCCCTGGGCATCACAGCTGATCAAGTTCTCCGAGGGCATAGAGACACCAGAGCGCTCAAAATAACCCGTCACCCGCTTGACATCTCCGGTGGTGAGACACCATACAGTGAATCCCGCTGCTCGGAGGGTATCGAAGCACTCTTTCAGTCCGGGCCTCAGTTCTAACTGGAAGTATCCTTGGACGCATTCGTCTCGCTCCTGCTCTGTCGCAAAGGTTCTCGGATTCTCAATCCCAGCCATGTATAAGGTGCGAAAGAAGAGGGCACCCAGAATCTCTTTATATGGCTTGTAGCGCTCCGAAATCGATAAGAAGGTGAATTCAAGCTCCGCCGCGGTCATCCAACTGAATCCAAAAAAGGCGGCGGTGACGTTTCGTGCAGCAAGCTTCTTCCCGATGACTCGGTCAATGGTCGCGTAGAACGCGTCAAAGGACACGCAGGTGCCGACGACATCGAACACCACGTGTTTTTGTTGCGACATCTTGGATCTCACAACAATAGTTTCGTATCGAGGGGCAGGACTTGTCGTCTCTCCGACAAATGACGTCAATGGTGGAGGGGATGAGTGCTTTTGATAAGAGTTGTCGGTATGTTGTTGGGGGAGACGCAATTGATTGAGCACGGGGTGGTGACTAGATATATATCTAACGTTAATTCGAAGAGAGACGACGATTCGAGATGGGCCGTGGAAATCCCCTCACCTCTGTGAAAGTAATGGCGGCGCCTATTCTATGTTGGTCCTGTCGGATTCCCCCGCAACAGCGTCTAGATAGCTCCGGTGATGGAGCAGCAAGAGATTCGTTTTACGATAAGCAGCTCTCCTGCCGGGACCGGATTGCCTAAACAGGTAAGACCGGCCCGGTGCTGCTACTCCATCGGGGCCGGCAGCATATCAGCCGCGGTATCTCCGATATCAGATTACAGTAATGATTGATGGCCTTTTGACAAAAACACAGCCGTATGGGAATTGTGGGGGCAAACTCAACAGTCCGTCGATAGGATACGTGTTCTTACGCTGCTAACGTTACGTACGGGCTTGGCTTAAACAAAAAATGGGTTCCAGTGGTAGAGTAGGTAGCATTATGCATATTGGTATTGTTCGAGGTAAATAACGTTGCCCATAATGGCCCTTCTTCAAGACCACAGAATGTTCAATCTTCGAATCCCCCTCTTCGGCTTTGGCTCAGGCTCAGGATTGTTGCGAAAGCTCTCAATGAATGGGCGAATGGGTACCTCATCTAAAGGTAAAATTCGGGTTTTCATCGTGAATTTGTAGCCAAAGTATACGACCACGATCAACGGCAGGTTGAGATACGATGAAATGAAGGTCTCGGTGCTCCAATGTCCTCGGATGAAGATGGTGAATCCACCTGTGAAGAACAATATGATGAATATCGTCAATGATACCCACGTGGTGTATGGTTGGAAAGGAGCTGCCCATGGGAGCTCTCGATGCCGGTCGATGCCTTGCTTCGAACAAGCGTGGAGGAATCGCAGGTACACGACGCAAATGCAGATCCAGTTCACAAGGGTGGAGATTGACACAATATCCTGCAGCCACGTAAAAACCGTGCTGGCCGAATTTGAGAGGGTCATGTATCCTAGCGCCATAAATAGACCGTACAGTCCTACGGCGACATATGGAACTCCAAAGCGACTGATTCTCTGAAAAATAGCCGGAGCGTGCCCATGGACTGCCATTCCGTACAAGATTCGAGAGCCCCCAAGCATATTCGAGTTCCCTGAAGACCATGCCGATGTCAACACAACTGCGTTGATTATAGACGGAACCACCTTGATGCCAGCTTGTCGAGCGGCGATGACAAACGGCGACTGCGCTGCGGTGTCGGTCGAGTTGAGGAGGTCAGGGTCATTGGATGGTACGACCAACCCAACCATGAAGATGGTCAAAACGTAAAACACCAGAATACGAATGAAAATTCGCCTCGCCGCCATGGGTATGGCCCTCCGCGGGGATCGGGTCTCCGCCGCGGCAACCGTGATGTTCTCAATGCCCGAATACGCATACAGGGCATTGTCAAACGTTTTCCAAAAACCTAGAAACCGACCCAACGACCCCGGGATACCCAGATATTGGACCATTGGCCCTGGATTGTGCCAGTAGCTGAAGCCGATTGCGGTATGATTAGGTCCTCCGCCGCAAGTGATAACCAGGGCCATGATGTTGATGCCGACAATCAACATGATTTTGAGCATGGAGAAAAAGAACTCCAGCTCTCCGTAAACCCGGACGAAGAGGAGAGCAGTGACAATCATCAGGAGTCCGAACACAGTGATCCAGATGGCGTTGTTGATCGTCACCCAGAACTCGACAATCACTGCTGCGGCGACAATTTCGGAGGGAATCGACACAATGTAGGAGTAAACCTGATTCCATCCATTGGCGAACGCTAACGCTGGATCGCAGAAGATCTCGGCGTATCGTATCACACCACCGTTGAGAGGAACCAGGGCACCCATTTCTCCAACGCCAAAGATCACACTGGAAACCGCCAGGCCGATAATGATGTATGCAAGGAATGCGCCTAGAGGACCAGCCGTAGCAATCGCTCGACCGGAGCTCAGGAAAAGTCCGGTACCGATAGTCCCTGCCAGTGCAATCATTTGGATGTGTCGCTGGTATAGCCCTTGCTTCAAGGCGTGAATCTCCTGCAGGTGGGCAGTCGCCGTTTCCACATCGCTTATGTTGGATTTGGCTGCATAGTCCATGTTCTCGGGGTGCTTATGTTCTTGGTAGGCCTCATCCTCCGCGAGAGGATGGGCGTCCGTCTTGGGATGAATCGTGATAGCGGGAGCCATGGCAAAAACACCGTGGGTAGCTCTGGTGCTGGCCTATCGAGCATGTCTGCCATCGCCGCGAGATAGTGATGGTTTTTGTATGTAGCTTGTGTATTATGCTTTCTTTCCACACTTCCTACTAGTGTGCGCTGGTGCAGTCAGAATCCATCCACTTATCGGAGGCTAATTGGAAATGCTGAGACCATTCCAAATACACAGCAAGACGAATACCCGGTAATTACAACGGCCCGGGACCCTCCACCACTGCAAAACACATGCATTCAGCGGATTGATGGATATCTCGTGCGGATCAGGCCCATTGGCTAAGTCTTGCTCCACAGCCAGGGGCCTTGAATTGGAGACATTCCGATAACGACGGAGTTCTTCAGAATGACTACCGGATCTCAACCACCCATCCACTCGTTCATAAATCCGGTCCGGCGGAGTCATACGATCCGGTAAAAGAAAGATAGGAGCAGATAGGAGCAGGTCAAAAGAGCAAGCAATGTGTCCTGGGAATCAACCCTCAGTCTCTTCCGACTTCATTTGCGGCGCAATCTCGTTATCAACGCCAATTATATATCCTCGCTCTTCTTATAGAAAGCAAAATGGTCATCATACACTCTGAGCAGTCCAACGCGACCAACGGGTGCCACTCGGGGTGCTTTCCTGTGCAGAACTCGACCGAATGCTTCTGGCAGACTCACGGTCACAAGCTCAGTGAGCTCCGCTCAACCCCCGAGTTGCCAAAACACAGTGACATTGTTATCATTGGTGGTGGGTATGCCGGTGTCAGTACGGCCTATCATCTAGCTGGAGAATTCGGCGATGCAGCTGGTTCAATCACCCTTCTGGAAGCTCGCGGATTATGCTCTGGTGCCACCGGCCGGAATGGGGGTCATCTGAGACCCGACTTCTACGGTCATATTCCCACGTACATTGATCGCGCGGGAGCTAGAGCCGGGGCGGAAATTGCAGAATTTGAGATCGCCAATCTCCGGGCATTAAAACGGTTTATCGAGGAGGAAAAGATTGATTGCGATCTGACGTTGACCCGCTCTATCGACGTGTGGTGCAACGAGGAGGCTGCAAAGAAAGCAAAGGCAGTGTACGATCAAATGGTTGCTCATAATTTTGAATACATGGAGGACACGATATTCTACACTGGTCCCATGGCTGAAGGAGTGAGTTCTCTGACTAGACTATCGTCGAGAATTGTACAGCTAAGACTATGACAGATCTGTGGCATCAAAGGAGCAGTAGCATGTGCATCATTTACTGCTGGAACATTGTGGCCATATAAGTTTATCATGCATCTTGTTCAAAAGCTTGCTGGCGATGATACGGTGAACTTTCAAGCGCATACCCCAGTCAAGTCGATCACCCCCTGTGCAAATGGAGGATTCCTTGTTGAAACCAGCCGAGGAACCATTCAAACAGACAAGGTGATCTACGCCAACAACGCGTACGTGTCTGGTCTCCTACCGGAATACCAGAGGAACATCATCCCTTGTAAAGGGATTTGCTGCCGGATCACGTTACCTGATGGGACGGTGCCCCCACTGCTCAACAATTCTTACATTCATCGCACCAAGGATAATACGCTCTCATATTTAGTCCCTAGGGCAGATGGAAGTATCATTGTTGGAGGTGCCGCGGCCCAGTTCCGGCCATTCAAAGAACAATGGTACAACAACGTGGATGATGGATCCCTGATTGACGCTGCGAAAGACTACTACGATGGCTACATGCAGCGTACTTTTCACGGATGGGAAGGTACAGATGCTAAGGTCGATAAGATATGGTCAGGCATCATGGGCTATTCATACGATTCTAACCCCCATATCGGTATTGTCCCTGCCAAGGATGATCAATTTATCATTGCGGGCTTTAACGGTCATGGAATGCCTGTGATTTGGCTCGCGGCAAAGGAACTGGCGCGAATGGTGGTTAAGAGGATCCCTTTTGAGGAGACAAGTATGCCCCGGCTTTTTCAGACCTCCCAGTTCAGGATTGATCGAGCAATGAATGGGCGAGAAGAAGATGGCGATATTCTTGGTAGTGGAAGTTTTCCTTCTACCAAGCCGTGAGAGAACAGCTTGAGACTTCGCGACAAAGGTCGCACCCAATGAACATGTACGGAATCGGATTTGTTGCACCTGTATTCCATGAATTGTATCATCCTTCGTTCTCGTCTCATCGAGTCTTATACCAAAAGTGACACATAGACAATGACATGGAGTTTGTACAAGTAATATGCCTGGCAAATAACTGCTTTCAGTCGCAGCTTTCAGTTTGTTCCGATAAAGTCCCATGATATGACCGTGTTGTGGATTAGTGTGTCCACGCCTTGCAATCGCTCATCCTCATATCTCTCTTCTCAAATATAACTGCGGGACCTCTGTTAGTATAATCGCAGTTCCCAAAATTTGACGAAGAGAAAGGCAAAGGCAAAAAATAAGAAAGGCGGCCGGCAACGTCAAGGCTATACTAGATTTTGCAGAAGCATCTCAAGGATTCTTAGCTGCCAGCCAAGGGCCCTCAATAACAGAGCCAAAGGCTAATTGCCAGCATTGGCTCTTAGGTGTTGCTTAAAGTTCGGACGTAAGAAATGATATCACATATAGGCAAGAGATACAAGCCATCCGTGCCAGTCACCTGCATCATTTTCCTTGTGCATCCACGTAATATGGGCAAAAACAGGTCTGAGCATTAGAGCTTCTCATTTGAATAATCAACCATTGGGATGGAGTGAATGAATACCTATCCGCTGAAGCTTTTTTGTGGCACGTGTACTGCGGCTTTACAGAGACTGCGTCCGTTTTCACTCATAGACACTTTAATTCAGCCTTGCTAGGTCATTGATAATACAGTCTCGATCAGGAAATGTTGCGCAAAGCCAGGGTCGTTGCATTCACACTAGGATATGAGAAATCCGATTGGAAAGGGGAAAAACCATATCAAGACCGGAATTACGCATGTCATCCCTCATCAGTTCCTCTGAAGAAACCGTCACCAAGAAACACTGTCTTTAGGTGTAGCCGCCTGCCCTGCATAGCACCAGGATAACCGCTGAATATCAATTATTAGTGGATGGTTCACTTAATGCTGGAGATTGACACTCATATTGCTTAACAATTCTGGCACCGAGAGTAACACCATTTGAAATCATGTTGACGTGTACATCCCTCCATACAGCAGTCATCGACGCAGACAGGACCACTACATTGCAACACCTCCAGGCGGTCTTTGCCGAACAAATTGCTTTGTGCGCCCGTTGCGATGCTAGCAATCAGGGCATATATGAAAAAGGAAGGCAACATGATTTAAGGTCTTAACATAGATTTTGTCAGTAAAACAGTATGCCGATAGCACCACGCATTCTGGCCTGGGTATGCACGAATGGTAGATACTCACTTATATCAACTGCGTTTAGATAGATTAGCTAGATGGTAGAACTTAGAACTGGCTCATGGGTCAAATACTGAGGATATGTTGAACTATAAGTAGGGTATCCCAGAGACTCAGTTAGGAAGACGTAACATGACGTAGAAGACTAGAAAGGAGACTAGAAATGTACATTACAGCATTTCCTAGGGAAGAAACTATTTTCGCCACAATTTGGATCTACCTTTTGATTCTCGCCCTTCGGGTTGGTCAAGCCTATGCTACTACAGTCGAATTATTACCTCACGGCAGCTGAACCAGGTTTGGACTTCCATAACTTTTCGCCCAACAAGCGATTGGAAGTGGCTACAGTCTACGTAGCTGTGTCACGCTTACACGTCTATACATTGCTCTTTTTCGCAGCCGTAGCCAAGTAATACAGTACTTCCCAATCGATCTATCAACGCTAGGTAGATCGATGGAGGTAAGTACACCCCTCCGTCCAGCCTTAATCTAGCCACTGCACTATCACTTGCGTATTGATACAGTGTACTAGCAGATCGGAGTCTCGCCGATTAGCCCAAGCGCCACATTCATGAGGGCGGAAGTGGCCAGAAAACAAGAATTAGACGGCAATCTGCCGCATGAGCTAGTATTAAGCTGTACGCATTCACTGACGGGGACTGCGGGTCAGAAGAAACCTAATGCAAGTTAAGCTTATAATTGCTTTGAGTGGAAAAGATCTAGAGTTCTTACCTTCTCCTAGTCGGAAATGAAGGCCCGACTAGACCCTATCAGTATTTCTACTTGCGTCTGTAGGGATGTGGTGTGGTTACACATTATGGATCAATTACTCTTATGAAGACTTGACTCTTTACCTTTTCATTCCCGGCGGACGCCGGAAATCTCATGCCCGGGACGAAACGGATGGAGAGGGAAACTCAGTGATACTCAAACAAATTGAACTGTGCTCATAGACATACCGCCAAAAGTCCGCATCACGCAGGGTAACTGAGCCAGTGAGGCTTGACCGGGCAGATGGAAAATCGAATTGGCCTAATTAATATTCATCACATTATACCACAAATGTCCAGGAGGCGGATAGCGTAGCAAATTGCAGAGCCCAGAGGCCGAAAGGTAGGATTGACAGTAGACGGCAGAGAATCTCAGTAACTTAGAATGATCCATCACGGCGCGGTTGCGGGACGGCGCGATATAACGACATTCCTTATATTAGCCGTCTCTTACAAGCAGCTCCAACCTGCCTTAGGGGGTTGGTTGCTTTATCTCAACGCAAATCTCCACCGTAACATATTTTTGAAGCAATTTAATTTGTTATACAACTAAGCCTTGCGTACTAGAGATCACCCGCACAGTAGGTACTAGGCCAGCTATTCCCGGTATATGGATACTACTACTACTACTACTACTACTACTACTACTACTACTACTACTACTACTACTACTACTACTACTACTACTACTACTACTACTACTACTACTACTACTACTACTCAAACAATATGGGGTATCCATTATGAAGCAAGGGTGCCTAGCCCTATCCCTAAGGCTGACATAGAATTCGTACTCACCTGCAGTTTGATAGCTATTGACTCACCTTCGAAAATTGTATTCTGATATAAGTGGGTTCTATAGGCAGTGATGGTCACTCAACTTGCATTCATTCAACAGCTTAGAACCCCTCCCTGCCTGAGGGTCATTATCTGTTCTAGTTGCTCGTCT